TGTCAAGATGGTTAAGAAATTGAATGCTTGCATGACATGTTGTGATGCACTTGGTTCCATCTCTGGCAACCCACCAACTAATTTCATGAAAATGAAAGACAGGGGTGGTCTCTTTAAAGCTTCAGCCAGCACAATTTTAATATGCAATGAAACAGAGCGCCGATTCCAAAGAATGCTTGCAACAACAAAAGGGAACCTACCAGTTCAGAAAGGAATTCCAGATGCCATTGCTTTGTCTGTTCTGCAAGACCTTGATATTTCAAAAGTTTTCAGAGAACTAGACGATCACATGCTTGAATGCTCAGTTGGAGATAGTCATGTCTTTGCTTTAATTTCAGGAATCATCAAGTGTTATTGCAAGATACGGTTCCACCATCTGGGAAAGTCAAAAAATCAAGAAGCATCTGGGCCAAAAATTCGAAAGAAACTGAGCAAGCTTGTCTTGTTCAAGCACCAGAAGACATTTGTCTTTAACTGGTGCCCAAATTAAACGGTTTTTTTAAAAACCACCAAATCTACTAGGTTGGTTATCTGCCTATGCACACACACGGTAAGATTTGCAACAATTAAATCCCCATATTTTCCAAAGGTGAATAAGCATGTTTTGGTTTTTAGCACCCAAGTTAAAATCGCTTTAGGCCGCCTCAATCTAGTTAACATATCTAAAAGTAAACGAATAAAATCAAATTTCTCTGTTTCGCTGATTGAGTCGCCAAAGGGTTATTCACTAGAAATATCTCTAGTTTATCAGTTTGGTTAGAAAATAAACAAAACAAAACTGCTTTCTTGATAGAAACTTACCTTCGTTCATGTAAAGCGGAAGATTTCGTTGCGAAATTTATAGTAATATTTTACTAAGCCCCAAGTCATTCCACAGCTCGTTTGGGTCACACTGTCATGGCGCCGGCTGTTTTCAATGGTGCTTCACAACAAAGCGCTGGTTGCTCGATCCAGTCTTTTTTTTAGATCAGTGGTCTCAGCCCATGCAGAAACGCATGCCCATGCAGAAACGCATATGACACCGGCAGTCGACACCAATGGCAATTCAATCCCTCAAAATAAACTTCTATTGTGTGAAAACCTAAGGATGTGCTGCTCAGTATATCCTGCCATATTTTTCATGGTTTGTTTGATAATTTGAGCAACAAGCGTTGAATAATAATAAAGGATCGCCGAAGGCAGTGCCGAGGAAGGAAGGTCAGAGGGGGGGGCGGTCACTGATCTAGGGGCCACAGACTAAGGGCCGATAGATAAACAATAACTCAATTAGAATAGACCAGGCAAACTTGAATAATAACTCAATTAGAAACTTGTAAGAGTGTTTTGCTCGAATTTAGAAATCGAATGTATTTCACTTTTTAAGATTTTTTAAGTGTAAAGAATCGTATAATTTATAGCCAAGAAATGTGTATGCATTATGGCCTAATCATATAATGATAATAATAATAATAATAATAAAATAGCCGAATAAAACTAACAGCTATCAGCACAATTTAGCCACCATAGAAATTTCGGTAACTAAATTAGCCACCAGAGTAATTTTAGCAACCATCCTCTCAAAAAAATGTCCCCAGACCCCTATATGAGTCTGCAGTGGCGAAGCTGCCTTTAGACAATGGTTATGCTTTATATGGAATAGAAAACCGATTGGGGTTTGGAGCATAGCCCCCAGGAAAATTACACACAACCACACCCTATGGATGCTTGGAAAGGGGGGTGACGCCCTTTTTAGTATATTGAATCAAATAGCTCTTGTTTAGATCGCAATCAATTCTATCAATGACTTCAACATCTAAATGTTCTTTCCACCCCATTCTCCACTCAGAGTTTGTCTTAAACGTGCGTTGCTATTTTTCTTCCGTTTTGGTCGGGGCCCATAAACGCCCATAAACCCTCTCCGCTGCCCTGGCCGTAGGGAACATAAACAAATGTTAGTTTGTTTGACTACAATTTCCAAAATGCATTGCACGCGTGACATATTTAGAGGTAAGGTCTATTGCTCCACTTCGCTGCGATGAATCGCTGCTACTGCCCCTTAGATTGGTATTTGGAAACTGTCCAAGTCAAAGTATCTCCCCTGAAATCTCCAAAAAGGCTAATGTAATTCCAGTTCACGAAAAGAAACTTGAGAACTTAAAACAAGAGTATATGTGTATGTTTTATAATTTTCGGTCCTAGAGAGGGGCTTAAAAGAGAGGGGGCTTTATAGAAAGGGGTCTTATTGGAGAGAGAGGCTAATGGATAACTCAGAGTAAAAGAGTTATAAAAAGGTTCTTACGCATAGTTTTGTTTCTAAAATGTCATACAAACGTTCTCGATAGTCTTTGCTAGCAGCTTCGAAAGCTTCGTAAAATTAATAAATTATTCTGTCTTCTTCAGATTCACCAGGATCAATTGATAAGCTTAAGACATCTTCTGGACAAATTATGTCCTCTGGACTTCTCTGAAAGGATCAACGTCAGTATCTTCTTGACCAAGTAAACCTGGCAGTACTGGCAGTCCCCCACTTTTGCAAAAAAAAGCCAAATATTAAGTATCAAACTACCAGAAAAGCCTCTTTTTATACGGTTTTAGCCCCCCCCCACTTTTTTAAACCCTCCACCTTTCTAAACGTTCTGCGGTGCCTGACATGGGCCGTATTTAATAAACATCTTATCATTATAACACCCATCAACGTGCATTTTTTCTTTGTTTGACATCAGAAGCTAAAGAAAGGGGGCTTAATTTGAATTTTTGCTTGATAAGGGAGACTTAATAGGGAGGCGGGCTTAAAAGAAAGTGGAGCTAAATAGAGCTTTTGCGGTATTCATACATAGGTTCTATATCTTTGATTGCCTGAGCCAACTTTTTCATACAACAGCAGTTTTTCATAAATTTATCAAAGATTCAATTTTCACAAAAAAATTGGGTTATCTTTCAGCACATTTTACACTATTATTTTTTGTGGGTAGTGGTAAAAACGTCAAAAATAGGCCTAAATCTAGCTGCGAGGCACGTTTGTTGTCTTATTCTTGAATTCTGATTGGCTGGCTAGTGGGCTATAGAGAATTTTGATCGCTCAGCCAGGGATGCAACTTTTGGGGGGGTTTGGGGGGTGTTTCACCCCTCCCTCCACCCCCAATCCTGAAAAACAGCATTTCGCAGGGCAAAGCAGAAGGAATTAGTAGTTCTCGCAGGGCAAAAGAGATCAGAAATAAAGTTTCCCAAAATATCTTGATTTATTTTACTTTCTTATCAAATCAATGAGTGCAATGACAAACATGGAGTTGATATTTGTTCCAGGTTACTAAACAAAAACCATTAGCAAATAAGGGTAAGATGGTCCTCAGAATGTTTTACCATTGTCAATCATAAGACTGAAGGTGGTGTTCTCTCATCATTTGAACCATTTATTTTTGGGCTGTCGGTGCGCCAATCGCAAAGACGGCCATAAATAAAACCCCAACCGTTTTTGAGGGGGTTGAGAAGAAGAACAATGGCCTTCTTCCGCCACGAGCGAAGCTCCCCCAACCCAAGAATGTATTCTCAAGTGTCTGGAAGCAAATGAAATTAATGTGAATTATCTCTGCTTCTAAACATACGATTTCGCAAATAATATGGCTGGGAGAATTGCAGGGGCACAGAGGGTTCTACAAGATACTATTGAAAGACCAGTCCCGTACATTCCATGTCAAGGGCATCGATCTAATACTTTCAACGAGCATTGTGCAAGACAAAGTGCCATAATTACGTCGATGTACGATAATCTTCAAGATATATATGTTTTCTTCAGTGCCAGCTCCAAACGAAACAAAATTTACAATAAAGAGGTTCAAGAAGTTGATGAGTACTCCTTGAAACTCCGCAACATGTCTAAAACGAGATTGGTCTACTCTTCAGAGTCGATAGAAACAGTGTGGCGAAGTTTACAAAGCATACCCAAAGCAATTGAAAAAGTTGTCAGTGACGACAGCACAGAAATGAAGGGTAAAAGTGAAGGGTAAAGACATAAAGAAAAAGTGTCAGTCATTTGACTTTCTTTTTGCATTGATGTTCATGAGATTAATTATGAAGAAAACAAAGATTTCGACGATGCAACTCCAAGCAGAAGAGCTTAACATCCTAGAAGCAACAGTAGAAAATCTTAAGAAGATCGCATTGATAACAAGGCTATCGATGCAAAGTTGGATGCTATAAACAAGTGCGCTAAACAGCATGGAATAGATTTAGCGGCTGAGTTTAGTAGAAAACATCGACTCAGGTTGCAGCCAAGAAAGATTAACAACGGTCCAGAAACATCAGCGGAATTTACATTCAATTCCTTCTACAGAACAGAAATGTGTGCTGTTCTCGATTCTCTGATAACAGAGTATGGTGAAAATATTAAGGCATGCTTAAAAAAAATTGATAAGCAGCCACCACTCAAAACGATAAGCCCAGAAACAGTCAACGATCTTTGCAAGCTTTTCCTACCAGGCTTTCATATTGAAGCAGCTGTTATATTATGTGAGCTAGATGTTTTCAGGTCTATGATTGAATAGCAACAGATCCAGCCAACTTCCGTCAAAGAGGCTGCCAAACTTTCATTTGAAAACAGACGACTTTTCCGAACGGTTTACAAATGCTACAGCCTTCTTCTTACAGCACCTGTGTCTGTGGCTAAAGATGAGCGAACCTTTAGCAAACTTAAGATTGTTAAAAATTCGCTGCGATCAAGGATGAAAGATAAACGATTGAATGATCTCATTCTACTTGCTTGTGAGAAAGACCTAACAGACACTATCCCACTTGATAAACTATTAAAAGTATGGCATTAAAAAAAATGAGAAGAATTTCAATTAAGTAAATTAGTGTGAAAGTAGACTAATTATTGACTTATTTTATTGCGATTGTTGGTTTCTGTTGCTTTTTGAAAATAATTTATGTACTTATAATCCTCAATTTTTCTGTCCAGGCTGATTTTCGAATGATGTTAACAATACGCGGGTCTTACGCGTGTACGCGTGTTGATCAGCAGGGCCCTTGGCCTCGGTTTCCTTGGCAAAGAACCGACATAACAAAATGGCGTCCAATGTTGTGTTGTGATCTGCGTTGAAATGTTTGTTACTTGAAAAAAGAGTTTACTGGAGAAGTGGTAGCTGAGATATTTTAGCAATTTGAGATGGAGGTTAAAAAAATTTCGCTCTTTCAATAAATAAGAAAGTAAAAAGTGTTGGCTTGCTCAATTAATCCTTGGCAACCCGTGTGAAAAGGTGGGGGGAGAAACAACTTCTGGCATCAAGAAGCTTTGCAAACTGCATTTAAGACTGTTAAAGATTTGTTAAGACACCATGGAGGAAGTTGAAGACTACAGCAATCCTTTGATAAAAGGTGTACAACAGGATGGTGATGAGAACTACGCTGAAGACGATGTGGAAAATGAAATGGCCCCTGTGAGCCCCCAAGGTATTTCCATGTTTTAAGGTTTTGATGTTGTGGACTTGACAAATCAACGCCTAACCATATAGACTGAGAACGCCATATTACAAAAAAAATTACTTTCTAGGCCTATCTGTTTTCCTAAACAACTACTACTTGTATTCTGGGTACATTTAGGTTCTGGAAAGACTGAGTTGAATGATCTGGAAAGACTGATTTTAAGTAACAATTTTTATTGCAGAATAAGTTTTTAGCTTAAAACAAATACGCCACTGAATATAGACTACCATGCATTCTGGGACCAGTATTTGCCTATAAAATGTTTTGTGTCTCATAGAAGATTAAACCAAGATGTTTCCTAGGCAAGCAGCAATTGTCTGGAGATTTTTCTTATTAGATTTTTATGTTTTTGAGCCTGCAAGTTGATGAAGAGATGCAGCTATATGTTCATAAAGATTTTGTTAATATCCTCATTGTTCATCCATTGGGATCATCTTGAACCTTCTCAATTTCAGTTGACATAACATTAAATCCACCAGAAGATATTGACAACGACAGTGAGCCATCAGACATATATGACCAAAGCTACTTAAGTGATGAGGAAACAAGTTCTTTAGCAGGGTATTTATATACTTATTTTTCCTGTCATATCTGTCATAAAAATGCTTGTTGCTCCTTATGTTTCCAATTGTTGGTAAAGAATCAAATTTCATTGTTAAATGGGCTGTGTCATGGTTTTGTTAACAAACTAAATACACAGGACATTGTGTGGATAATGGAATGGGCAATTACTATTTTTTCGTATTTGTACCAACTGGCGACACGAAATGTGTAAAGCAATTGGTTGAGGCAAAGGAAATGAAGCTTCATTCAACCAATGGCGAATATGTTTCATTTCTTTTGGGTGAATTTGGATGGCAAGACACTTTACAACAAAATTATCACTCCAAAATTGTCCAGGATCTGCAAACTTTAATGTCTTTGCTCATAATTTTCACTGGTAAGGTAGGTTTTTTGTTATTATTTGAGTCCATTTCTATTAACTGCTCCCTTCGAGTTGCCGAATCAAGGCTGTAAAAGTAGCCTTTATTTTTCTGCATCTCAATCCTTCATCCAAAGAATTATGGTGATAAGACTGAAGAAAGAACCTTTCTTATTTGTTTCCTTTCATAAAACTTACAATGATGTGAAAGCCTTGCACGATTTGCACGGAATACAAAACACAGTTTTGTTCCATGTTGATTTTCCTATTGAAAAAGGTTGTTTCACCCAAACAACTTTAGCGAATTGGCGTGTTGCCACGTGGGATGTCCCTTGTGACACAGCCCCTTTAAGTCCATGAGATATAGATTATTGAACTGAAATATGAAAACCAAAATTTTTTTCTATGCTGCTTGGTCACATTTACCACTACAAATGGTCAAAACTTACTATCGCGCCTTTGAAAATGGTTATATTTTCATAGCTGAATTTTATGAATTCCAATCAATTTTGTTGATTTTTCTTTCATAATGTGCTGAAATTATCAGGGGCAGTTGACAGAGGTTTTCAAGTTCTTCAGTGAAAGCATTTTTATTGTCCATCGGGCTTGCACACCATTACCATAGAGTCCATCCGGTGTTTATTCAGCTTGCTCACCATGACAAGAACAAATATCATAACTTACTATCAAGCATTTGAAAATGATTTGATTTCTATTTCTAAATTATATGTATTCCAATAAATTTTGCTGATGGTACTTCCTTATATGCTGAAATTATGGACAGAAGGGTTATGGATAGGGGTTTTCAAGATCTTGAGTGAATAACTTTTTATTTTCCCTAAAATTTTACAAATAATTATTATTTCAAAAAAATATTCATCAAAATTAATAAGAAGACAGATTGAATAAGTGGCTGTTCATTTGGGAGTGATATTTTTAACCAACTGAGCCCACAATAATGGACTTGCTTTTTCCTTTTTACTTTCAGTGCTGGCTGAAAGTGCTATTACTGTTGTTAGTCGAATAGAAAATTTCCAGCAAAAGCTTTGTAATCTGCTGGTCATAAATGTCAATGGAAAAGCAAAACCCTTTGTGAAATCAGTTTAATTTAACACCAGACTGTTTTCTTGTACTTTTGGGATGGTATGACAATGGAAAGTAAGCGGAACTCATTATATTCCTAATTGGTTTGATCCTTTCAAGAAAAAGGCCTCCCTCCTATGATAACTGTGATGCATCTTAATAGCAACTTTTTTAGTTCTGCCCTTGCTTGTGACTCCTTGTACGACATGGAGCTGCGAATCATGCTCTTCTGAAAGACCAAATTTATGCACTCATGATATTTGCCAAACCATTTCTAAATTGCAAGATTCTTTCCTTTGCTCCTTCATTCCTATGGCATATTGTCTTTTAATAGAAATTTTGTTGCCATTTCTAAATAACTAATATCAAAATATCAACCTAGCCTTGCTTATACAGATAAGTTTATTCTCAAGCTCTTACTTTCTTTGCAGCAAAGATTTAAATTTGCACTTAGATCAATTGAAAAAATATGTTAACAGTATTGAACAGGAATTCTTTGTCCTTAAAAAGGAAGACTTGAATGTACTTTACTAACAGACATGATTAAAAGAGGACTGTTAATAGCAACAAACAGTGAGACTATGCTTAAGGGCCTTTTCATTGTAAGCTGATTGATTTCATCTGTATGCTGCAGCCCATCAGAGCCAAAGCCTACAGTTGTAATTGAAAGACTGAGCATGTAGGCATGACTTTGAAACTTCATATTTTATAGCCATTTTAACTTTTCCATTGAGGCTTGTTATTTTGAAAGAAGGTCAAAATTCGAAAGAAGAATGGCTCAATATTATTTAGAACTAAGAAAAGTATGGAGAATGAAAATTGAAAATTTGCAAATCTTTTAGAGATCAAAATCAAAATTACCTGTCAATATAACATTGCTTGACAAATAATATAAAGCTAGAAGCCTGACCATGGGCCATGTTAGTCAAGAGATCAAATGTACCTCTGCCCCTAGCTATAGGTCCCATGAGTTTTTGCTCTACTCTTCAGATGCAGAGCATGAAAAAAGACAGATCAAACGATGAAACCATCAAAGAGGGTCTGATTGAAAAACCAGCGCTAGCCACGCCCTTGATACTGGAATATTCTCTGATAGCTGATAGCCATTTAAACTCTATCCCAGTGTTACTCGCTAGTTTTTTATTGAGATTCAGGTCTGTTGTCCTTTGTTTGTGTCGCAATGCAATATCAAGGTATTCAGGCTCGGGGGGGGGGGGGGGGACAAAACCTATTTCGGGGGGGGGGGGGGGTGACTAAGCCTAATTTTGGACGGGGACGTGCAATTTTGGTTAAAGGTAAAGCAAGCGGGAGTTTTCAGGAACATGTGATTTTTCATATCATCGCCCCAGCCATTACGGTTGTTCTGTTTATTTATCCTGCTGCGAGGCTAACTTTTCATGTGAGCAGTTTTGCATCGCAAGAATATTAACCAATCGAAAGCCATTATTTTAACGACTGCCTTGACAAGTTGGGTATATGCAGTCTTTTTATATGGACACATTACCTTTAAAAAAATTTGGACTCATAATTCCGTACATGTCTGAAAAAAGGGAGGCATAATTCTGCACTTTTAAGAGAGAAGGTACCCCTCAATAATGGCATGTTCCCATAACTTCAAACATGTTAAGGTAGCCCCCCCCCCCGATAATTCAAGTCAGATTTCTCTGTAGTTGACTATGACATGGGATCATTTACTAGGCTTTGAACATGTGACAATGTGACAAAAAGATATTGCAATGTGAACCTTTCAGAATAAGCATTGCTATTAATTTTTGAATGATTGCTTGATTAGTTACCATGTCTTTATTGCAGGAGTTTTGACGAGTATGGAATAAGTGAAAAAGACGAGGATAGCTACCCATCTGATCCACAAATGGGTAACCTGAAAAGAGAGGTATTTTGTGGAACATATCGTCATTCATATTAGTCATTTTGTATGATCCTACCTCAGTAGACAATTCTCTGTTTTGAAAATTATTGGTATCCTTTGTCTGTCGTGTCAATAGTAAATAATGCTTTGATAATATGCAGCAAATCAATAAGTTGCTTTGCAGTTAATTCCTGTTTCCAGATTTCGACAATTCCAACGATTTGCTGCTATTTTAGGAAAAGCTGAGAAGGAATGCTGTGAGGAGGCACCTAGACCAGCTGGGTGAACTTGTTGTAGAGCGAGAATATATTGTTGAAAGGACAAGGTTAGTTTTTAGACATTTTCAGTTTTTAACTTGATCAAACCTGCTATTCATAGCGTTGCCAATGTTTCTGGAATCACGTCACATATCTTATTTACACTGGTATGTAGTAGCATTTAAATAATAGAATATTTCAGGTTTCAACAAAAGTTTTTAGCCAGAGACAGTGAGGCATGTCCGTCTTCTTAGCTTCAAGGAATTTGTCTGACAATATAAAGAAATACCTTGTGCAGGATAGCTAAGAGTATTCTAAGTATTCAACAAGCCTCACACTATCTATAATCTTATAGATTTCACTTAAGGCTCAATGCACATAACTTTAATAAAATGCTTTAATGATACAAGGCAATTTTGAGACATTGATATATTATAAAGAGCAGAACACTCACAAAGAGACACGGCTCTATTGTCATGGTAGAACTTTGAAGTTGATATCTTTCTTGCAGAGAGCAGCTTCTCAGATGCCGTGAAAATATAGAACAACTGGAAAAATGCTTAGAGGAGGTTCAAGAGCAAACAGAAGAGGAAGATAGCAAAGGAAATAAGTAAGCAAATCTGCTGAACCAGGCAGTGACATTGAGAAAGCAACATTTTATCAAAAATGGCCGTTATGAGCTTGTCATCAATTCTTTCCAAATTATTGGCAATGGTATCAGCTAATTTGTCGCTTTTGATTAATTTGTTTCAGCAAAACTTTATCTCTTATATTGTATAACTGTTGATTTCAGGGCTGCCTACTTTCGGTTGAAGTCACAATACGATAAGTTATGTACTGAGCTCCAAATCGAAAAAGACCTTGAACAAAACATAGCGAAAACTCTAGAAGATGCCGAGTAGGTGTACTTTATTTCATCTGTGATTCCATATTTCTTTTCTTATTAATTTTTTTGTGCTAGCAAGGATAAACAATTTTTTCTAGCTCTCTGCAAATAGTCGGCGTTAGTAATTTGCACTGTTTTTGTCGACTTCAATTTAAATATCTCTTTTGCTCTTTTGCTGGATCATATTAGCTTTAATTGTGGGGGAAATTTACAGTGTAGCCACTGTAAAGATTGGCAGGAAATAGCAGTTTCAAACTGTCCACCAAATTTGTTATGTTTCTCCCTTATGAATTTGACAAACCTTTTAAAAATCATTCATGAAATGTTTGCTGGCAACAATGATGCTTCTTCTAAGCATTTTATTATCATACTCATTTTCTTAAAGTGGAGTCTTTTTAGACTCCAATTTGTTTTTATCAGTTTTCAAGAGCTTCGCTTCAGCCGATCTTTTCCTTCCTTCTTTGTGAATTCCTCTTGAAACCTGTGAAATCAATTGCAACCAACAAACATTGGTCACAATAAGTACTTAAATCCAAAATGAGGAAAGACAAGTACTCTCCTCTCTTTATTTTAAACGCGTGAGATGATTTAGAAACGTGAATGATGATTAGAAGTCTGTTCACGCTGTTGTCCAAGTCGTATTCATAACATAACTTTTCCGGATAGTCAAAGTGAGACGAGACGATTTTCTCCCCTCAAAGAATCTCCCCTCGTTTCTTTCTTTGTTTTCTTATAACGTGAGTAATACCTTTCTGTAATAACATAAGTAATCTATGTGTTTCTTTCTCGCCACCCTTGCATATAAAAGGAAAGGGCTATATCTCCCCATTTCATGAACTTATTCATTATTCCAAAACCTTCACCTCTATTCATTGATCCTCTGAAACAATGACATATATTACGATGGACTGAATTTCAGCAGTATGGAGTCTTTTCGAGGGTTGATGCAGTAGTGATCTTCTGTCTTTGTAGGTTTGCCCTTTGCCAGGCCTATATTGAGCACGGCAAGTTCCTGCCTCTGGAAGAAGAATTTGCCACCGATGAGAGAGCCATTGAGAAACAGAAAGCTGAGAAAACCGCAGCTAGGATTAAGAAGGAACACGCAGCGGTGTTGAATGCAGAAAGGAAGCGTCGCACCAGGGAGAGGTATGTCTACATTTAATTTCATCAAGATTATTTTAACCAAGGGGAATTACAGTTGTTGTTTCAGTAGTTTCTATAGTTGGCCCAATTTGTATATGCCAATTTCTCTTTAAATCTACTTAAATTTAAGGAAGAAAAGAAAATAATAAGGTAAAGTAAAAAATTTCCCTAGAATTAAGAAAAAGATGAAAATTTGTTCGCATTCTGGGCTTCTTTGTTTTAATGCCATTAGTGGGGGAGGGGGCATATTTTCTAGACGATGAATCTCAAAAACCGTACTTCATATTTCTGAATTTATAATCGGTATGCTGTTTTGGCACAAAAAGAGAAGAAGCCCAATGTTAGGTGCCATTTTCTTCAACAGAATATCATTCGTCCAGCATTTTGGTTAGCATCTTGCCTGTTAAATCATTTCTACTCGAAAAAAAATTAATTAGAATTTTGTAATGACTTTAAAGGGAGAATCTTGCCAACATGAGAGAGAGAGAAAGGAAACACAGACAAGCTTTGATTGCAGCAAAAAAGAATCGCGAGCTTGCAATGAAGTACTTGAAGGAGACAATGTCCAGGTAAGATTTGTGGTATAATATATTGTCGATAATATGGTAATATCCGAGCCTGATCTCAGGCTAGTAATTTCCTCACTAAGAGAAACTAAAAACTCCAAGTTATTTGATGCTGTTGACTAGTTGATAGATTCAGTCTCAGCTTTGACTGGTGGATGTGAATTCGCTTGGAATACTTTTTTTGTTACGTGCTAAAGATAACTCATTATTTCACATAATTTGAACTTGATATATGTTGAATGCGACATTTTTGTACGTTGTTTCTGGTATGAAACTTCCTCTTCTACAGAGTTCGACAGAGGGAAAGTGAGGAGGAGGAGAAGAACCGCATCGATTTACAGCAAAGAATGCACGCTTTATTGAGTCTGAAAAACAACATTGAAGGAAACAGGGTAAGGAGGAGAGGGCATTACAGCTCATTGTATTCCTTAGCAATACGACAGTTTTGATCTGTTTTTTTTATGACTAAACTTATTTCCATCTTTGAAACATAAGATTTATTTTTCATCTGAACAGTTAGTCGACATATGCGTTGCGCAACATTGAAATGATTTTATGATAATGTTTTTCACATTGCTTATAAAAGCGATGTAAAACACGAAATTGCTCTTTTTGCAATGTTTCTGATAATAGCCCCGGGCGTTAACTGGAGGATGGGCGCTACATTTTAGGAAAATCTACACGCTCTTCAGGCGCGAAGGTCATATGCGCAACATCAGGAGACATTGAATGAGGAGCAGGAGAGAGGTGAAATCATTGCCGAAGGCCTGAATCCAGATGAAGTTTTGACACGGAGGAAAAGACTGCGGCAATTTGAACGAGACAAAGAGTATGTTTAAGACTAAAGTTTGCTCTTATGCTTCATCAATAGGAAAGTACAACAATCAGGGCCTGTCGAGGTTATTACTCTCTCTACGAAATTTCAAATGGTTTCAAACCATTCAATGAAAATCTTTCTGCATCTGCTTTCTGGCTTGCTAAGCGAGACCGGATTTCTCTTTATGTAATCCTCTCGTTGCATTGTTAAAAAATGTTTTCGTTCTGAAGTTGTCTATGACTATGCTATTCTATAAAATGCTGTTCTTCATTTGCAACAGAGAAGTTAGCCTATGACTGTTGTTTATGTGGCTGTGTTTTCATAGTTGTCTGTTGATTTCGGTATGTTTTTTATTAACTTCCTTTTACTTTAGGGCTTTTGAGAGAAAACAGAGAGAACGCGAGGTAACCTTTGACAGTAGTTTTATTGAAACTATAATCTGTGATAATTGTTCCTTGGTTTTTCTGATGACACGTCATTCTGCTGTCATTTCCTTTCTTCTTGTTGCCTTTATCCAGAGTCCTTAGTTGCTCCTATTTTTGTTATTTGCAGATTGAAATAGCAAACAAGATTTTGTCTGAGGAAAAGCAGGTGAAACGAAAGCAGCAGCAACAACCTCAGCTTTATCCAGATCGACAAAGAGATCGCGTCAAGGTTTGTTAAATTCAACGACTTTCGCCCATCTTTTTCTAAACCCTTCGTCTACACTCCACAAGACAAGTTCACACGCTCTTCAAATTATCAAGCGAGTTGATTGATTTGTCTCAAGAGACTTAAAACTTCTATATGCCAAAGTTGAAAAGAATCCAGTTTGCCAGTTAATGTTTTCCAATTGTGCGACCTCTTTCGACGATTTCCAACACGTTTCGTTGTTTAAGTAACTTTCTCCATACGAATTACTTCCACTAATGTTCTTGATAAAACATCCACTCCCTTTTAACATTCTTTTTACTTTTATATATCCAGTTTTTTTCTTTGGCTCATAATTTATCTCTGTTGTATTCAATAAACGGTTATGGTTTTTAGCGCGTTACTAAAAGAAAGCCGAAACAGAAGTTCTCCCGCTCAAGCGGCTCTGAGTCCATGGAATACAGTGCGGATGTCGAGGACACAGGGGTAGTATGCTGTTTTTCTGCAGTGAATTGTTTCTAAATACTGTTATTGATAATTATGAATGTCCAAGTGGCTATGTTGTTTGTTCCAAGGCGGCTGTGAGTTATAAAGGGCTTTTTTCAGGTAAAGGATACTTTTGGTTGGCCTGCACAGGCTATGTGTTTGACTTCTGTAAGTTAAAATTGTAAATGGTGAATTTGCAAAAAGGAGTATATTATTAAGTGACGCCTTAATGGAAGAGAGGCGCTTGGGAATATATTGCTGTTGTACTTTTGTGTCTGCATGTATTAATTCTGCTCTGGCAAAAGAAAAAGAGAGAATTTTTCAAATGTTGAAGTTTGTTTCAACTGCTTTGAAACATCCCACAATTTAGGGGAAGATGCTTGGCAGAACTGAACATCGCTCACTACGTTTTTTATTTGCTCTGTTGTGATTTATCTATTGAAATATTCTTTGGTGTAATTGTTGTGTAAGATTTCGTTTTGCTTACCATAGGGAAGGGTTTCCTCTTGTAACCGCCTTGGTAGCCGATTAGCAAAAGTGTCTTCCGATGACGACGACTTTTCGCCATACGGAGCAACTAGCAGAGATGAGGCGAAGACTGGGTATTGTTAATCGTTTTGCTTTTGTTTGCGCTCGTATCGCTGCTACTGTTCATGGGGACATTGCTGCTACTGTGCTAGTTGATCTGTTCCTATGCTAACGATTTATTATTAATCGTTTGATTATAACCGTAATCAAGTAATTTAACTGTAAATCATGTAGGTACTGAATTTTGTAAGAAGTATTTAGCGATAATATCGTTGCTCAAGTGAGATTTAGGTTTGATAATTCTTATACTCAGACTCGCAGGAAATTGTAGCATCATAATTTATCGCCCTTTTCTGCCCATGGCAGTTGCTTATGTCTTAGGGTGAGAATTGCTTTTGCTGTATTAGTGAAGTCGAATTACGTAGTATGGGGTGGTTTTTAGAAAAAATACAGGCTGTGAATGCTGAGCAAATCTTTAAAAATTTTTTGTGTTTAGGGAATCAGAGGAGGAGGTAACAATAGTTCCTGAGTTTAAAGGGCTGTGGGAAACCGACCAGGGAGAGGTAATGATTTTTCGAAGTCCTGTGAGTTGTAGCGTTAAATAGGATTATAGTTTTGTCTTAGTTTCGCAACTCATAATGGTATCATTCCAATTCTTGCTTTATGCCAAGCAGCATCTGATAATCCACTGATGTCAGCAAAGACACTTCTGTGATCTGGAGATCCTGCGAAGCACAGGGCAGCCTCTTTTTCAAATGGAAACTCAAAATGCGCTTAATACATTAACCCACTGTCAATCAACAAAGAGGCTTCTATATTTTACGGCCTATGTTGAATAATAATTTGGCAAAATCATTTGTTTTTTTTGCATTGGCTTTTTTGATTATATTTCCTTGATAGCGTTATATACCATCATCAAGTAAATTAGACACGGTGAAAGTTTTTCACTGTGAAAAGCTAATGTTGTTTGTTGTGAACTCTTCACGTGTATCTTTGCATAGATGAAAGATGAAAGTGTTAAAAATTGGCGTGGGGAGAACCAAGAATATTCGACATACGAGCAAGTAAGCTCTTATCCAAACAACCTTTTTTCGATGTCTCTTTGCATTTCCTAATACTTTTACACTTACCTGAAAGCCTGATACTGCATATAATTTCTAATGTTCAGCGAGTGTGGCTTAGCAGTAGATCGACAGATTTCTTCTTATAAATGTATTCCCAGATAGTTCACATATAGACTTTTACAGCAGGCATCAATAAGTAGTAATTATTGCTTTTATCAGCTTATCATTTCCTTGGAAGCATAATTAGAATTGAAATTGATAAAGATGTGTAACTTTTTGAATTTATTTCATTGACAGCAAATGATTTTAGATGCACTTGAGAAACAGCGAGAGAACATTGTGCAAAAGCAGGTTGCAGCGGGCAAAGAATTCAAGGTCTAACTCTACTTCTTTTTTCAATTTTCAAACATTGTTTTAGTACATTTTCAAGGTAGAATGTTTAGTACTTTCATGCAAATGAAAATTGCGTTTATTTTTCAACCTAGCAAGCTATTGACACTGTTGCTGCATCTGAGAAGAGTCTCTTAGGCCTGTTCTTTCTAACCTTTTGTCTCATTTTGACAGGGTGCTGCCTTTTACAGTAAGCCAGATGTCGTGGTATTCAAGGTTCGTCGCTTTTTTATACATGATTATTATCCATCCCTCATTAGATTAAAGAGAAAATGTAGATTTTAATTTGTGAGGGAGGCGATTGCCACACGTTCCTCAGGTTCATCTAGATTTGCTGTCAATCACTGATTCTCGCTGAAACTTTTCACAAAGGCAGCCACAAGGTTAATGCGTATTGTATTCTCTAACATAGCAAAAACGTTTTTCAGGACTTTGATCTTGGGCAAGTTTACAAGAAGAAGGTCTTGTTGACGAATGTCTCCTATTCTCAAAATTTCTGTAAACTTATCGGCGTCTCCGAGAATTTGAAGGACTTTCTTGACATCAAGTAAGTACCACTTCGCATTCATTGGATAGCGGTTGAAACGATGCAGTTTTTTGCAATGTTTGGTGCTCTATGCCCCTTAACTATTTCTACGACAATGGATTCTAGCACCGTTCCTGTTTTACGTATTATATTCCTTGCAGTCTTGGGCTCCCTGTTGGCTAAAACTACTATTGATAAACGTAGGCTATGAAACGTAATAATGAATTTAAGCTAGCTATATAGAACACTTTGCTGGAGGTAATATTCTGGTGTTGCAAGCTAATTTGGTCGTCGGTGCACTGCACAGAATAATACTTCTATAAACAAGCCTATGCAATTTTAGAGTAGAGGTTTAAAGCATTCCTACATTTAGATCTAGAATAAATTTAGCAAAGCTTTGGTTTAGCAAAGCCTTGAATGAATTTGCTGAGAAATTTCTAGTCTAAGAAAAATGAGCTTCCATACTATGTGTGCGAACGGAACCGAGAAAAATGCTGCTTTTTTTGCTTACTTAATCAGAAAATTCAATTGCTTAGTTGCAAATTATGGCTACCTTAAGCAAACCTTTGAAATGTAACAGAATCCGTTCATAGACCATGCAAACATTTCTATGCCATCAATATGCACTTCATTTCTATGCACTTCATATCTGTATCCCTTTTCATTGGTTAGATTTGACCCACCTGGCCCAATGTCTGCTGGCCTGACATGCGAATTCATTGCTGTTCTCAAGCCAATGGTTGGTCATTTTCTACTACATGTTTTACCAAACGGGACAAGAGTAATTTTGTCTTGGTTGTCAGTTTTGCTTGTAATGTTCTTGTTGACGTTTCTTTCAAACTGATAGATGAGCTTTTAAAAGGCGAATCGATGACCATGTTTTTTCTCCTCTCAACTAAACAATTTAAATTGATTTTGTATTTAAAATTACTGTCTACCGATCATTAAGCAGTTGATGCCGTTTAGGCAGGGCTGTACACATTTTTGGTGGTGAGTTGTTAGATAATTTCATGAGAATCGGAGTAGCAAGTAAGAACTGTCCTGTACTATGCTCCAAAGGCTTGTATTAGTTCTATTTATTTTGATTCAATTCTAATAAACTAATCAATCATATTTTTAGCTCAACAAGGATATTGATGGCCATGTACTGTTTCTAGCCCAAACTGGACAGTTCTCTGTGCCAGTCAAGTGCTTGAAGAAGCGATGCGAGGTATGGCTACACTAGATTTTGCTGGAGTACTTCCTAGATATTTTTTCTAAAATGTTGCAGAAACAGATAAGAAAATTCCAAACTTTTAGCAAAAAGTAGGACAACTTTTTGCCTAGTTACTTAATTTGACTTCCTTTAATTCACAGCAATGCTCTTTCTGCTTAAGAGTTTTGTCCAAGTACGGCAAAACAGATTTTCAGATGACTAACTGTCGTGAAGTTTAGACTTTTATTGTGTGATAAATATGATGTGAAATGTTATATAGATCAATAAACCTTTGTCAATATCACGTAACATGTTGCTTTATCGAAAACCTTTTCAATCTCCCTTCTTTTTTGTTAGCTCAGCGTTGATGTAAACAAAATCAACTTTGAAAGTCAAGTAGTTGGGGAAACACGCAAGAAGACAATAACACTCGTTAACAATGGAGCATTGTCCACCGAATACCAGTTCATAAAGATTAAAGGTGTGAATACCTCGTAGCTTCAATCGTAGCCTCGTTATTTTTGAAATTTCTTTTTCTTCCTTTAACTTTTCGAACATTTTCGTTGTATCTGCATTTTTGTAGGAAGCGTCGACGAGGGTGATACAGAGCAGAAGGAGGAAGGACTCATTATAGATAAAAGCGAAAACAGGGTCAACGAAAATAGGGCTGGGGCTGACACCGGTAAGTTTCCCTGCTTTTTTTTGGTACTCTGTAATATTTTGATGCTCAAAGATAGAGTTTCTACACTATATTTGCTGTTTTTGTCAGCTTCTCTGTTTGGTATTGCCATTTGCCTTTGCCTGTCTCATATTTCCCTCCCAGTGCATTAAATCAAGCGGCAGCCATTTGCTAAGCTTGATTTTTTTCTGTGACTTTGCTCTTATTTTTAGTTTTCGCGAGAATGTTTTCCTTTTTTCCTCATACATAGAAATACTTTGTTTTGCACAAAGTCTGCTATCTTGTTGTTGCCATTTTTTAAAAGTGAGTAATTGCTCTAATTTTAATTATTTATAGAAACAGAAAAGGATGCTGCGGCAGATGGCGAGGATAATAATCAGGAAGAACCTATGTCGATTGGATCGGTAATTCAACGTAGCATGTCACATTTAAACTTGATCAGCAAAAATTGAAATTGATGTGCTCTGTTCTATAAGCATTTTAACTTAATTTCCTCGGTGTTTGTGTTGTTTTGTCATAACACTAGATACTGGAATATCTTTACATCGATGAGATTTTTCCTGCTTTTTAAGTGAGTTTCATTCGCCTATACTTTATTTGGTAGACTGAATACTTTTAACTGAAAATTTACATCTGATGCGCTACTTGGGTTGCCCTTATTCCTTTTTTGCATTTTAGCTCAATAGTGGCACAATAAATCCATTCTCCAATGTCAAGCTGGAAATTAAATTTTCTCCTATGTTCCCTGGTGTGTTTGCGTCGCTTTTCAAAATAACGTTCTCGGATGAAGAGACAGATGAGGTACCAAAGTTTGGTTATAATTCTCGTCGCTTTCTTATGTTTTTGTTGTTCCATCAATCGTACTCATACCAATCGCATACTTTTAGTGTCTCGTATTATGAATAATTCAATATCCTTTGTCTTCTTGCATTCATATTACTTAAGTCAGCTTGAATTTCGATACTTTTCTAGCTACTTCGTTACGAAAAAATTCTTCAAAATTTGCTCTTGTAACAAAATGATTGGTTGTTCAGTTTGCCCGTGTATTTTTGCAGTAGAATATCTTTTATAATTGTTAACTGAGAATACGATATTTGCTTTTTCTAGATTACAGTAGAAGCAGTTGGCAATGGCATTGACGTTCCTGTTTGGGTGGAAAGAGATGTACGTATTAATTCTTTTATTAAAGACCTTAATTATAAATGCATCTTTCTCTCCGCTATCCCCTATTGTTCATCTCTTTCTTTTTCATATAACAGTTATTATGTTTTTATTCGGTTATGTCGCCACGCTCCCCGAAATCTCATTCTGTTTTGAATCCTAAGCCGTTGCCTTTTCATCTCCGTTTTTTTCTAAAGTTTCTACCAAACCATCTTTAACTTCGATTGTTTTTAACTTCGATAAATTCATTGTTTTCTACTTGCTTCTTTTTTCTTTACATAAGGCACATTAAACCATTTCAGCTGCATTATCCTTTACTTTTTAACCTAAACGACGAGTTACCTGCACTGTATGAAAATATACCTGCATTTACAGGTTGTCGACATGAAGATTTGCATGTTTGATCGTCTCTATCAAGATGCTATCATTGTTCACAATAGGTAATTTTTCTCTTTTGCGTATATTACCGTATCGTCGTATATTGATGAGCAAATTCTGACATTATCATTTATATGTGTCCTTAACATTTCAACGGACAATTGTTTTTCTGTCAGAATGCTTGTGTCATATAAAACAACTATCACCTCTTTTTGCCTATGACTTGAAAATTGAGCTGACTGATTTTTTCTTGTCGTCAAAATCGTCTTTATTGGCTGCTTCGTTTTTTTAGAGCAACTTCGGCACTTCGCTTAACTTTCCAGCTTCCCAAAGAACTGCGTGACTGCGTTGACATATTGCCAAAAACAGCATACATCCAGGCCGAGTCCGAATTTTCTGCCCAGCTGAAATTCCTCCCTCGCTTCTCGCTGCTTAGCAACGATAATCGCTATGTAAACCTCGATAGTGGATATCTCGAAGCGCCTATCCTCATTCGAGTAGCAGACCAGGTATGTTTACAGCCGATTTCCATCTATCTATGAAAAATGAGGGCCCTACAAAATCTTCTTTACTCTTCAAAGAGCAGTATTCTCTAAACTTTTGCCGATTTTGCCAACCTTTAAACTTCAAATGCTCATTTCTTTCATGAAATATTTGGTGTAAATAATTGCAATTATGTTTGTTGATCCTATTTTTTGTTTTGTTTTCACAGACTCGACCTGTTCCGTTCACTATTAAGGCAACAATTACGTCTTCAGACCTTCAATTCGACACCACCCATATCGATTTTGGATATTGCACTGTGTACGAGGCAGTAAGCAGGACTATCGTGTTAAGAAATAAATCGGTCCTGTCCCAAGCTTATGGCTTTGTCAATGTTCCTGAGGTAATTTGTTACGTTTCAAGACCTAGACTGAAGCTCATCCTTAACATTTTCAACATGTTCTTGTTTTCAGTTATGTTCTCTCTCTCTTAATTATCTTTGTTGCTTTCAACTGTCGTCGGCTCCATAAATTAGTTTTTTCTGTATGTATTACATTTTATTCTGTAGAATTAATTCTTTAAAGCATATTCGTTCTTTTTTCCAAAACATTACTTTGTGTGTTCTAAACTTGCATTCTTCTATACGTCTTATACCCGTTTTTTTTGCTTTTGTTGTTCAAAATTTGTTGGTCAAACCAATCAATAATTTCCAATCAACAAGAAAGCTTGTATAATGTCCTCAGGTTTCGTAGTAAAATGATTTTTATGCATTCTAGACGATTGATGTTCAACCCAATGACGGCTTTGGTACGCTCCTTCCAGAAGAATCGCTTAAAATTGACATTATTTTTAGCCCTAGAAAAGCAAAGGTATGTAATACATCCTAATCACATTTTTTTTACAACAAAGTAAATTTATGTGCAATTTTTATGACGCAATTGCCGCATTTTGAAACAAACATTCAATGAATTCTCAAAGATCCGAAAAGCACCTTTATCTGATAAAGACTTTTTCCAGGAATTATTGTTTGCCTTCACTGCTGAACATTCAAATGATATACGTCACGGTTTATTTCTCAGTTGTAACGATAACGCTTTTTGTGATATCCTGCTCTCACTATTTACTGAGTTGCACTCTTGAAAAGATGCATTGTCTTCTCCCTACAGGTTTGCTACGGCCTTTATTAGTTTATTATTTATTTTCAAACCTCTTTACGAACAATTACCATTTCAGGATCACAAATTTGAAATAACCTGCAAATCAGGCATTGGCAGAGAATTCAAATTGTCTTGCACTGCTGTGGGCGTTTTGCCGCCATTGGAATTATCTGAATCTCTGGTGAAATTCAAAGCCACTGCCATAAACGATAGCTCGGCAGCAAGAATATTTGTTAAGAATACCCACCTGAGTTCCAATGAATTCACCCATGCTGTTCCAAGGATAGGAAGCGAGCCCGTGTTCCCGGTCGGGCCTACATCATTTGAATTCATGTTACCGGGAAATGCTCCCATTTCGATCTCACCAACTGTTGGTACAGTCAGGCCAGGAGATGTTAGTATCATTCCATATTTCCTTTTTGTGTTCACATTGTCATACTTTCTTTTTTCGCAAGTTTCCTTTGCCCCCATGGTTTCACTTTCTTTTTCTATTTTGAAGAAACTTATGATACTTGTGACATTCAGTCCAAAACTGGAGGAAAATGCCATAAAGCAAGAAGCTGTGTCCATTCTGGAGAGAAATGGAGACCAAGAGGTGAAGCCGACAGAATGTATGGTAGCTCAAGATACAAAAGATTCTGTGAGTTCTGTTTCAAAAACTGTAATGGTTTTCCTTGTTAACAAGATACAGTGCTTCTTACTGCTACTTATGCCAAACAATTCAACTTGATTTTGTAGCTTTGTTCTCTAGATGCCTTTAGAGCAGCAGCTACTTTATGTACGAATAATGTTCAGAATTTTAAATTGTCCGCTTTGTCTTGTAGCATTATGAATGTTGATTTCCCATATATTTTTTGGAGACTTCACTGCAAATATTAACAGGATTCTTTTAACAACTTGCCATAGTTAAAAGCAAAATCTAAAGGAAAGAAGGGAGAGCTAAAGTCTGCAAAGAGATCAAACTCTCCAGGGCACAGAGTTGGTTCATCTTCTCCAAGAGCCAAATCAGCAACCAAAATCATAACAGTTGATGACGTCATAACTGGGTAAGAAACGCTTCATTTGTTTTCCAGCTACTCCTCGTTACTAGTTAAGTCTTAAGTAGCCCTTAAAGCAGCTGCACTTCGAGGTGAACTGTAAATGATAATAATATGGATGAGAACGCCCTCCAAATCTTTATGATTTCTAGTTATTCTTGTATGAACTTTCAGTCTTAGGCCTTTCAAAAAGATGGAGACAAACTTTTTTACTCTTTTCGTAATCATTCTTCCAACTGTAAACGAACTGTTCGTGAATAACTCACTATTCAGGAGATTATATATTCAATAGCCCCTAACTCTTCAAGTTTTTTTAAAAATAGAAATAGATGCTCAATGAAAAAACAACTTGGTTGACGTTTCGCTGTAAGCTTCTTCAGAAAGGTATCCTGCGCTGACCATCCTGTAGAATAAAAAGTGAAGTAATTTTGAAGGCTTTTTCATTTTAATACTGGAAATCTTGATTGGCTGTGTCTTTCAGGTCGGACGACTATGAATCTGGGCAGCTTTCGTTGTTAAAATCGTACAAAGACACTTTTGAATCTTACAAAATACCATGTTTCATCAAGTATGGTGAAGCAGGCAGCGCTATTGCTTCTGAAGTCAGGTATGTACAACAAAGCAAGGTTTCACCAAACCCTACCACCTCCCGCCCCCAATTTTTGTGAATTTGTTAGAGAATAGGAAAGCATTGTAATTCTACATTGTAAGCAACTGATTGTTTAATACATCAGTTTTGTAGTTACTAGAAAAGACGGTGGCACCTTTTTCATGGAAAAGCCCATCGGCACCTTTATGTCATACAAGATACTGAAACATGGGAATTGAGATAAAGAAAAGCGTTTTGGTGTTGGCGCAGATTCTGCCAACCAAATACACAAGGGTCTGAACTTGAACTAGGTTTAATGTGCGAATTATCCTTTTTTGTAACATATTTTGAATGTTAGGTAGATGCTCTTAAAAATTGATCACTCGCTTTGAATATATTCTACTGTGTTTGCTAAATGGATGTTCTGTTGCTAGTCGTTTTGGCAAGTATAGTCCATCACGAATTTGATTTGCTACATAGACCCCTTACTATGTCTGATCCTTTACTATGTGTCCTTTAAATATTTCCTGTAAATTTTAGCAATTACTACACGGTGTTTTTGGAGCTGCACTGTCCATGTGTCAAGCCTTCGGTAATCATCATTTCTGACAAAGGAAGATCGCTAACAGACTTTGGCAATGTTGCCGTCGGTGAGTAGCACTTTGTTTTCAACCAACCATTCTGTGCATGGCAAATCCAGAAGGATCCGTAGAATAGATCAATTTGTTGGTGCATTGGATGTTGTGGTGTAAAGGGATTGGTTTGTTAAAGTGCCTATGAAATGAAATTTTACATATAGTTTTTTGGATAGAAATTGAAACTTCTACATGTTGATGCGAAAGAACGTAAATCAACTTGAAAAATTTGCACAGGAAAGTTTTTTTTTGGGGTGTTTAAAACAATGTGTGCGAGTGAAAAAGTTTTGAATATAGGATAGTTTGATACGCTTTTTCAATATAGGACAGGAAGCTTTGCAATAAGTGGCAATCTGACACGCATAAAATAATAGGATGTAGACCCCATCTGAAAAAACCCCTTTGTTCTAATTTTAGACTGGGGTACACTGCCCAGACCTGTATTACCGTATTTCAGTCGTATTTTGGTGAAACAGTATGAAACTTTGCAAAAACGGACAGTTTGATGCACTAAAAAAATTGGGTATGAACCCTGGCTTAAAATTGCCTCCCTCGGCTATTTCAACTGTAGTTTCAACAGCTACCTTAATTTTGTTTAGTGCTTAATTTTGCTAAACCACTAAACGCCAACTGCTTCCGTGTTTGCAATCTTTGTGAGGTCACGGAAAACGCACGCTTTGTTACAGTCGAAAACGTGAGCATGGAATATTCAACCTAAATTTTTAGTTTGTTCCGCAAGAAAATTGTCATCTCAAGATATATCATTGAAATCAGCAAATTTTGCTTATAAAAAGTGCCTTTTCTTGTCAGATATCTAAACTTGTCAGATTTCATTTCATAGGCACTTTAAGGATGTGATCCTTTTTGCACTATTCAGACATATTTCTGGATCGGATCTTGATGTTGGTCTTTCTTGTATAATAACAGGTTCTGCTTTTTTGCCAGGTCAGAGAGTTTCAAAAATAGTTTCCTTACAGAACATTTCAGAAGAGGAAATTACCGTATCCTTACATACGCGTCATTTCTGCCTGCTTGATGATAATGAAAGATTTAGACATGGTTGAGATGAATACCTAACAGAAATTACAAAACTATGTAGTTATTAAGGCCAGTCAACCCTCATTTTAAGATTCAATGTAAAATTAGTGATGAATATGACATCACTCAAGGCTTAACGAATCAAAAGTGAAGCACTGCATGTTTTCTTTCCCTTGGTAGAGAATTCCTTCGGTCATGGCGCGTCTTGCATTCATTAAGCCTGGTATTTGCTGAATAATGTTATTCAGCCGATCTTCTTCATTTTAAGCTGGTTATGCTAACAGTTTTATCTATCCCACCTAATAACCAAATGAAGCGGTGTTTCATTTATTCTAGCTATAAAAACGTTTAAGCAAATGATCTCTATTTCTAACTTTCACGCAAGTATCGCCCATAATCCTCTACTTCTTTGATAATGACCTTAACACATCCAAGTTATCAGCTTCTGCACTAGATCCGATTGGTCCTTTTGAAGTCGTTAATGCATTGCGAAGCTTACAGCCGGGTGCCATTCATAACATGAAACTTGCCTTCAGCCCTCAATCTTCAGAAGAGGTGAGCTGTTCCCTTTCTTTGAGTGATTTGAATGACCAATATTGAGATATATTTCCATTCGATTCTCATAGATTTTTGACATTCATTCTGAACCCGTCCCTGTAAATTTGTACCGTCGCCGTTCGGCACTTTACCAACTGGTTTTTGCTTTACTAAACCAGGCCTGAAGATCGTAAAACTAAGAAGGACTACCTAACCATCAATTAGCGATTGGCAATCAAGACAAAACTATCATGATCATATATTACAGCATAATCAGCTACATAAGCGATATCGATATTAAAGATTGACTTTGACAACTAAAAGGCCATCTTATACCAATATATCACTTAAATGTTGTTTAACATTAATTGAGTTATCTAAAACTGCATTATTTGTTTAATTGTACATGGCAATCGTGAATTTTCTGGGTATCATTGATCCTGGTGAGAATCGTGTTTTTCAGTTTTACGAAGTCTTCCACGTTGGATGTTCGAAGTCCTCTGTTGCAGTCAAATTAAGTGGGAAGGGAGTCAATCCTTCGATTGCATTGTCAGCTTCCAATGGCGTTTTGGATGTTGGCGATGCCTTGGTTGGAGACAGTGTATTTACAGTTTTAAAGGTGTTATTTTTTTCCTTGCTTTTTAAGTCTTTCAACATTTGTGCTTGTTGTAGTTTCTATCAGCTTAATTGCTGGAACTCTTTTCAGGGTAGCTCGTTGGATCTTGTCATTTCCCTGTATCTGCTATTTCCTATTTGCTCATGTAAAACCATGAGTGCTTTCTAAATCGGTTCATGTGCTACGTGTTCATTATTTGTTTTACACATTTAATTTGCCCTCAGAATCATTCGTCCTCCAGATGATAAATTTTTTTTTTAAATGTTATGATAAAATTTTATTTAGCTTCAAAATACATCCGAGTTGTCTTTGAAAACTGAACTGAAGCTTGGCAGTTTGTTGCCGACTAAACATGGTCGATGTCAGCGCATCATGAATGATGTTGAGACCATTGAAGAGATCCCATTGGATGATGGCTTTGTCATAGGTAATTAAAATCATTTCATTAATCACGTGATTCTATATTATGGCTTTTATCGTGTGCAAGTATTTTTTATTTGGGTTTCCTTTTAAGTTTTTCTTCGCATGGCCGAAGTCGTTTTTGGTAAGAGAATTGCTGATATTTCAAAACTTTTTCTGAAACTTGAATTACGCCTTAGGAAACTGCAATTGGAATGGCGTTTGTCCGTTTGATTGTCAACCATCAAATTGTGTTATCAAACCAGGTCAGTGTAAACTATTCTTAGAATTTCTTACTTGCTATAATGAAAACCTGTGGCTCCTTTTTACATGTGCATCGTCTTACAAGTCAGTCCTCTAAAAATCCTAGTTGCTTTGTTTTTTGCAGGTGAAGCTCAAGAATTCACAATTACTTTCGCTCCGGATCATGAAGGGGAAGGCTTTTCTGATGAACTCTGCATCAGCCTAAACGGCGAAGTAACTGAACACTTATTTTATATGCTATGGAAGATTCGCAGACTGTAGATACTTCTGTGTTTTAAGTGCCTTGGCTCATCTGCTCTATTTAATTGGACTCAATTTCTTCATAACACTGTTGACGTTTAATTTTTTTGTTTCGAAATGTTCATTTGTGCCATTTTTGTGCGTTTAACTTCTTCTGATCAAAGCTGATTTTGCGATTGCAGGACGAGAGCCATCGGGTGAGACTGCTAGCTAGAGCATGGCCGCATCTCACCTACCTAAGAGGGTGGGACCGCTTGAAGCCGCTCAAGGAAAGCTGCATCGCATCATTTGAAACAGAAGAAATCGAGGGTAAGTATGCTGACATGGTTCTTACTTGATAAAAACATAGAACCGTTGTAAACAATAAAAATGCCCCTGTAAAAGAAGATTATTCTTAAAAGAACCTCACCTGCTTGAAGTGGTTCATAATTGTAAGTAAGCAGCTTGCCTCACACTGGAGGACCAATGCCTTCAAGTATTTTCAATTTTACAATGTTAAAGTAAGCTTGAAAACCTTTCATTAACACCTCATAATGGCTAAAGTTTTCTATCTTGTTTATGTCTTAAGTACTTCGTTTTTTATCTTAATAAAATTTTGAATATTTTGTGTATGATGACTGATTTATAATGACCTGCAAATAAGAACATCTTCTAATTTGCAGTATAAGGGAGTCATATTAAGGCTTAAAGGTTGAAATATTTACTGCAACACAGAGTTCTTTATTTCAGCACAAGACTTGAAATCAGTTCAGAAAACTGTACTGCTTACGTTCAAATGTCAATTGGTTGATGACAATTTCACTGAAAGTGTACGAAATGTCCAAATTGGCTGCATTAAGGCGAATTCACAGATTAAGAAGGTACTCACTTTACTTCAATAATCCTTCAATAATTCAGTATATAGCTAACCTTGGTTTCTAAGATGTACGTTTGCAAAAAAAGTTTAACCCCCAGATATAAAGTCAAAATTGTAAGCAGTATCTTTTAGCAAGGCGTTAGAGTGTCTGTGAACCCGACATGTTTTAAAAAGCATTTTGCTTCATTTTTCGAACCGAAAGGGGATAATTTTAGGGGCTAAATTTGCGCAATTTTCAGGTTTCTATGCAAAAGTCGCGCACCTCACAAAGGTTTTGGGCGAGTCAGGCGTGGCGTAGATGCCGGGACGTGATTTTGCTTCGATGCTGAGTGTATACTTTGCAGCAAAGCGAGGAAGGAGTTCAATAAAGTCAAAATGCGTGTTGTATATTGTTCTGAAGATAGAGGCGTTTCCTTGTACAAAATTAAATACTTGAAAAAGAATGGCTGGCTGCAAAAATGAGAACTGTACATTTTATAAGATCAAAGCGGGTTTATTTGGAGCACAGAAGTGTCTAGATAGGCCCATGAGGCCATAACCCATTGCTGTTTGGAAGATGCATTTGTTTTGGTCTAACTAGCCAGAGTACACCTATGGGGCCCTCGCGAGTTGGAAAATTATCTGATTGGAACAAAGCTATACCAACTATTGCCACAGCTGACTAGAGAGGAATCGAAGCAGGCCATCATGAAATGGACCGCCATGGCTGTCGAAGGTAACGCTGCTGATCGCGTTGAAAATGCCGTTGGTTCTTTAGCTAATGAAAGTAAGTCTACTTTATTCTGTTATATGTGTAATTTTTTATGTGTGATAAAGTCAAAATATTTGCTTGAGAATCTAAATGTTGGTAACTACGACCTCATTTTTTCTGTTACACTTTTTTGATTGCAAGAAACCCCTACTTGAAAGTTCAACTTTATGCAAATTGAAATGTATTTCCATGACCCCCAAAATTTAGAACTGGATTGAAATTAGGTTGTGAAGATGCAACACTTGAAATATGCATTGCTTTGTAAATAAAACATGCATAGTTATTTATTTTCTTTGATTTATTCTTGTAGATCCACACATATTTGTAAACCCTATTAAATGGAGCTGAGAACAGAGATCATCAAGCCTGTATATAGAAACAATCTAATTTAAAATTCTTGATATGTTTTGTTATTTATTTTTATTCTATTTGAAATTCTTAATGAAGGTATCCTTGGAATATACTAAATATTTTGCTGATTCACGATTGTTTGATTGTTTGAGATTTTTGTTTGTACTGTTGTCCTATGGAAAAGGAATTTTAATTTCCAATTTGATGGAAATAAAAAATGCGTTTTTCAGTAAGAGCTAAATTTGTCTCTGCACATTTGGTCGAAAAATTATTTTGATGGTGTAAATAATATTAATATTGCAATCATTATGATCATGATTATGTTTAGAAATTTGTTTCTCCTTGAAAATAATTAGAAATGAAGGGCCATCAATAAATGTATATTAACAATCTTATGAAGGGGGTCATACTCAAGATAAACAAAAGAGCTTGATATAATCAGATTCTTGATTGAGATAATGGTATGATGGATGCGAGGTTGCGGCTGATGGTGATCATAATTGTCATAATGGAAGTATTCCATTATAATTACCTTTTTCTTTTGAAATATTTACACTAAATCCACGAATCATTGTCAGTTAGCAGAGATCTGAAATATTTTTAACCTGTAGCTGAGAACAAATAGTAATAGTTTGGAGGTAACCCCAGTTTAATTTATAAGTGTGAACCCCCCAAAATTTATTACCAATTGAAATGAATGCAGGATATTTCAGATAAGAGCTTAAAGTAAACAAGAGAGCTTAGGGGTAACCAACATAATATTAGAAGAGGACTGTCTATCATTTGATTAAGTAGTTTTAAGAAAGGGCCTTAAATTAATAAAGATAGCATGATAAGAAAGCTTAAAATATTTTTCACAGTGAAAAGAATCAAAGAAAACTGTACGTGCAAGCAAATTTTAAGATGGGGCAAAAAACAAATTAGAGGGCTTGAAAATCAGCCAGTGAACATCGAAACAAGGAGGGTTAACCTAGTACCCCAGTCACTGAGACATTTTCACCTTGTGTCTTATCTTATCTTTTTCAGAGCTCAGAATAAACCCAAACAGCCAGGGTTAAGTCTCATGCTGATATTAAAATTGGCTTGGGACCTAGTGCTCCAGTCAAAAAATAGCACTTGGGACATTTTTCAGATTGGGTGTATGTCTTGCCTTGTTGAGCATGGCAAGATACCATCCCTACTAAGTTTTGTATCAAGCTGGTATCAGAATTGGCAGCAAAAGTTAATGCAACAATAGCTTGTTGAGCATGGGACTTTGTACCCCAGTCTAAAAATAGCACTTGGGACATTTGTTAGCTGGGGTCAGCGTCGTATCTTTTTCAGTGCTCAAACCTACCCAAGTGACCCAAGTTTCACACAGCCATTACAATTGGCTGCAACATTTTTGGAATAGCCACTCAGGGGACCTGGGTCCTGCTTTCTTAGTCTAAAAATAGCACTTGGATATTGTTTCAGATGGGGTCTGCATCCTTTCTTCTAAACCATGTTAAACTCCCTACCCTTTCTAAAGTTCGTGCTTTAAATCACGAATGGCAGCAAAGGCAATACAATAAACACTTTTCTGGACCGCCATCGACGTAGTCTAGAAATAGCACTTGGGGCATTTTTCACTTGAGAACTGCCTCTTATCTTTTTCAACGCTCCAAGTAACAAAATTTCATGCTGGTATCCGATTTTTCACAATTCTCGTTAAGTTTTAGACTAACGGCCTCGACTACTACATGTTATTCATAACTAAACAGGTCCCGCCATCTACGTCACGCCTAGGCTTGACCCAGTCCTCTCAGTGCGCGTTTTTAACTAGAATTCGGACATTTCGAGCGCCATTTAGAAGGGGTAATTTTCCGATTTTTATGTCTTTCGTAAAAGTTAGGCAGATAGCCGTTGAAAAGTGAAAAAAGAGTAATAGGGTTCACAGACACTTTAAGGAAGCAGTTATTTGGGTATTGCAATACGGAATAAGCGAAGATTTGAAATTTGCAGACAAACGTCGGCCGTTGCATTATTACTTCAGGCCTTCTCTTCAAAGATGCTTCCATATACTACTTTCCATCAATGGTAACCCACAGAGATGCATACTTGGCCGTGACATACTGTGATTGCGCGCAACATATCGGTAACACCAACTAGTAACATTTCATTAAAGGTAATGTGTCCAGCTTAAGCTAGCGACTCTGCGGGGGTTTTTAGAAACGTGATTTTTCATGTCATCGCCCCAGCCATTACGGTAGTTCTGTTTATCTATTCTGCTGCGAGGTTAGCTTTTCATGTGAGCAGTTTTGCATCGCAAGAATACTAACCAATCGCAAACCGTTATTTTGATGGGTGGCTTGACAAGTTGGGTATACGCAGTCCTTTTATATGGACACATTACCTTTAATGTTTCGTATGGAAGTTGTTTCCAATTCATTGGCTGATGTTTAATGCAAGGATTAATGGCTTGTCCGATCCGTCTCATAAGAAGATTTGCTCGGCCGCACATGCTTTGGCTGCAATTTTTGAAGGCGCTGACTTAATATACGTGTTTAAAGTCTCAGTACTGTAATTATTCGTTTATCTGCTAACATATTCTATACGTCTGTTGAAATTCGATTACTCTAAGCCTATTTTATTGACAGTCATGTGACTTCTCCTTCGACAATATCAAAGAAGCAAACGATTTTGGCTTCACCTTTGATCCAATGAAGGTAAGTCTTGATCTTAGCAATTAATAAATTGTTGTATTTTGTTTATTTGTTATGGAAGCTTGGTCAGATCTGCGGCAAGATGCGGCGGTTCGCAACTGCTGCAGATGGGACTTAGCAATTAATTCGCTCGAATTAAAGGCGAAGAAATGTCATTTTGTAGAATGGCATATGGCCTGGCAGCTGAAAATATCTGCTAGAAAATTCAATGTTGAGTATGGTTCTTAAGTATATCTACTTTAGTATTTAGGACAATTCGATTAGACACTCTTCAATGGCTTAATTTTGTTGCAAGGAGACTGTCGCTAGTCTTTCCAACATGAGACAGCATATCTAAGCTGCGGCTTTTTTGTTTCTGTCAAATGTTTGTAATTTTTTGTGTCCTTAGCCTGTTGTGAATCAATCACGATAGAAGAGGCATGCAAGAGTGCCTACTGGTGTTTCCATATGTATTGATGCTAATGAATGTTTTACATTTCGAGCCCCTCCTAATTCAGTTTAAGAAAACTGCAATTTCTATTCCTGTATGGGTCATTTTTCTTTAAATTTCACCGTTTGAATTTCGTCGTGCCAATAGCATCCTGTTTCTCTCTAATAGTTTCTCTGTTTAATCGTAGGGTGGAGTTGACATTGGCGTCAAGAAGTCAATAGCTTTTCGGTGGAAACCGCCGAGTGATCACGATGTATGTGCTTCAAATCAATGCGATAGCAAAATGCATATTTTCTTCCTAATAACCTGCTAATGTTTTGAAAATACCTTAATCCATGATAATCGATTTCTGTTAAAACTGACTGATGCTAAGTACCGTTGTGTTTTGTGTAGGCCAGCACACGACGTCTTCGCATCTTATGCATTTTTAATGCCGCAGCGTTAATGATAATCTCTATTGCATCATGCTCAGTTATATATCATCCCTATTGCCAACCGCTTTGCTATGGAATTAATTGCTCAAAACGTGATTTTGTTGTGACTTTCGCATCAAGTTTAACTTGAGCAGCAATGGAGGGTCGCCTATTAGTTCAATAAAATGTTTGAATCCCCGGCTATGCTCTGCAGTAGAAAACGTTGACCTGTTTCCTGTAAAGATTCACACTGATACATTCATTTGATATTTTGGAACTGGATTTTTGAGCGTTTCCTTGTTTTGTTGGGAGGGAATGCCTTGATTTTGATGAAGGGAAATTATGTGACCTAATCGAATATACTTATTTTTTCTTCTCTGAATGATAAGCTAGATTCTGTTACAAATAATTCCATAATTACAGTTATGGTGAATAATTAGTCTGTAACAGGCTCTTATACCAAATTGGATTTGGGTTTTTCCGTGGAAAGATTGATTTGCTAGGATATTAAAAACGTTTTTCACGAGATTCATTGTTTCCATCCTTTTGATGTCTTATGTTTCAAAAAATTTAGATGAGATAAGGTATCTTTCTTCTGCCCGAACGTGTATTCTTAGCAAGGAACCATTTTGCTCACGAGGACGAACAGCTTTTAGCTGTGTTTTTGTAAAGAGTTGAAGAAAGAACTCCATCCTATCTCTAATTGTCTTTATAAATATTCCTGACAGTCGTTTTTGTCAATATCAATGTGATTGAAAAAAGTGTTTTTGGAGTTTCCGATAAAGTAGAGAAAGCCCTTCACTATATCATTGTGAACCTTGGCGGCGCTTTAGTCTGTCTTTACGTCACAAATTTCAAGACAGTGGAAATCAACTATCCGCTCTCTTAATCTTTTTTATGGCTGCGATCTTATTTATCTAACTGAAAGCAAAGTATACATCAAACATTTTCAATTTAGATTAAAATGTATCTTTCTCTTACTAGCCAGCAATGTTTAGTTTTTTTAATCTCTGGTGTTTCGAAAACTTTAATCTTGCTAATTTTAGATTTTTTTCCATGTGAAATTCTGCAATTTTTTCATTGAATTTCAGCCAAGCATCCCTATTCACACTTCAGTTACGGTAAGTATGTCAGTCTGTTGTTGTTATCATATATTTGCATCATCTAATAATTCTGTATAATATTATAATTCAAGGCAAAGGAGCCTTAACCCTTCATTTCTCTCTTTTGTTGCAATGGTTTTTTTGTCAATTGAATTTCATTGTTTTTAGCTTATTGCCAAAGGAGATGTTTCCTTGATGTACAAAGTTTTGCTTCGCGGATATGTTGTGACGCATGCATGACCTCTCGCTCAGATTTTACAGTTGTACAGTGGACTATTATTTGCCAAATATTACTTGTATATTTAACAAAGAAGACTAATTCGTTGGAAATCGTCGTTTTTCATCACTACCGTTATATTCTATTGGAAAAGATCTCAGTTGAACTCTGTCTTTGTTTTGAAAAGAACGCAGGCGATGAAATCGTTTTGTTAGGTGTTTTGAATAAAAACGCTCAGCACTCCAATGTGTGACTATTGCTCACATTTAATAAAAGTGCTGCTTCTAATATAAGTTTATCAGTGTGTCAACAGATCTTAAAGAAACAAAGTGAGAAGATAAGTCCCGTTTCTAAGTAGTGAATGCTCTTTGAGTAGCAATTCGTTACGTTGCGTCAATATTTTATGAAGTCATGTCGAACCACTTTGAAATCAAGTGCTGGTTTTGTCGCGTAAAATGCAGGTTGTTGAAAGATTCTATTGCTTCAGAACACAAAAGACCTGGTCTCCTTTTCCATCCCTATCTTTGTGCTTTTTCATTCAATGCTTCTATATGTTGTTTCTTTTGTGAAGACCCAAACTCTACTTTTCGAATTTTTCTTTTCAAAAGATTATCTTGGCTCTCTGCTATCAACATAAGAATTCTTAAAATATGAAAGAATGCTTCACCTGAACTCGTACAGTTGACTACTCGAGAATTCGCTTCTATGAACGGCAATGAAGGCCAATAAGCTATTCCTTTCAATTTATCTTTCTTTGCGGCAATTTTGTATATCTTTAAGAATACCAGATTGAACATGAAACTGCAGATTCATACTGAAAACTAGTTATACATTTTATTTTGGATGCCATAATACTTTTAAACATTTAAAACTACGTCATCGATATTATATACACTATGTACATCTAGATACTTGTATTTTCAAAACTCTTCAATTCCTTTCTTCTCTATCTTCTCTGCCGAATATCTTCTTGAATTCTATAAAAGAGAATTTACAGCAACTTAGAAAAGTAATATTATTTTATAAACATAAAATGATTCTTTTTCCGTAGCTCTCGGATAATATCTCCATTTTGTACACAATCCGGCGAAGATTTCTGAAAAACTGAAAAGAGAACTTTGAAAAGGCCTTCATTGAACGTCGTATTAAAGTTTTCAACATGGATTCTCAATATTGCCAATCTCATTCGAAGCACCCTTTATCTTAGCCAAAAGCACGCTGTAAGTTTTCCATTCCAGGTCGTCAAATGCCCTTATTTGGCAGATAATACAGAAATTTTGTTCTGAATATATTCCGTGATGTTTCGAGGATAAGGCGCTCAGCTTATTTGCTTGAACCAGCTTTTGCGACAAAATGTTGCCCACAACTCAAAGGCAACACACACGACACAACACAGCAACAGTAAAAAGGGAGCGGTAGAGATCAGGATGTATTGAAAATAACAAAAAACAATGCAGAGACGAAATAGGGGATGTTAACCATGAAAAATTCTACTTTTCACAAAAATTAAGTTATTAAACACATCGCAAATTTTGTTCTTTTGATCAGTTTTACTCTCCTTCCAATTTGAAAGTAGTTTATCAATGAAGGTGATCTCTAATTGAATTAGAAAATATCTCACTACTGGTATCACAAGCACTGGCACAAAACTGGTTCACATACGCTATAGCACAATTTTCCGAATAGCTCCGAAATGTGCTGCTGAGGCTAATGACAAAATATTATAGCTATACAATTTGCAATCAGCTACTTTAGACGCAAAACAGAAAACAAGAGGACCTACCTTCAAAGCTCACTTTTCCGTCGCCATTTGCATCAGCAACCTTAATCATTTCTCGAATCTCTTTCATCGATACTCTTTGCCCAATCTCCTTCCACATTCCTTTCAGCTCTTTTGCCCCAATGTACCCCTTGCCTTTCACGTCCAGTGATTTGAAAACCTCACGCAATTCGTCCTCGTTTTCAACTGTAATTGGTTTGCCGACCATCATGTCTATAAACTCTTGATATTCTAGATATCCATTTCCTGCCAAAGAATTTCCTCAAAATTATTTAAGATCGAGCCTGAAATTGATCAATACAATTGATTTTCTGATAGTGTATTCATCCTGCCAAATAAGCAAATATGGTGATACTAGAAAATCTCCATCAGAATAAACGTTGAATCTCCATAACTTCGTGCGCAGGCGCAAGATCATTAAGTGGTCATCAAAATGTGTCTCCCATTCCTTTAAGCTACTTTAAAGGAATAGCCTAAAAATAAAGCCTCAATATTTTAATATCCTCCTTTTTTATACGCAAGCATTGAAATAAAAATCTCCCTTTTAAGAAAGCCTCAGAGATGCTGCATGCAGCACAGCTGCTATATTTGAGATAAATTCTAGAAAATGTTGAAACGAGCCAATATCCTCGAATTGTGAGGCTGACTTCTCATTTTGATGTAACATTTAAGAAAGAAAATAGGCTCTTTCTAACCTCTTGCAATTTTGAGGAAAAAGTTCATATTTCACGTCAAAGTGTTGTCGTTTTTTCCTAATCGATTCATTAAGAGTTATTATAATTGACAATTTTGACGTGGGAATGATATATGATGCTGAAAGGACAAGAGCCATTTCTCATTTTAATTCTTTACCTCTGTTATAAGACAAACAACTCATAAGTTGTGTTTAAAATTTTTTTTTGAGCCATGGGAACTTCTCAAAAAGTTATCAATTCCATGTCAATTGGAATAGCTTCGTGGCCTAAACATTTAAAATTTAAATGTTTCACCCGTTTATTCTTATACTGCAAAGCCGGCTGACTATCTTTTGAATATTTCTTTAATTAACATCTCATTTTTGCCTGTTTTCTGTTAAGTGTATCCCTTTGACAAAGAATCTGTTACGTTTTTAAACAAAAAACGATCGTCTGGGACGTTTATCAGAATTGATACGGCAAGTTCGTTATGACAACCCTATGGTTAGTTCACAAGCTAAGTACCTGATGTAAAGAATTTTAAATTTTTGTATCAAAACCTTGAAAACAACCTGCCATTTATGAAATGTATACTTCTTTTGGATGCATGCAATGACCCCAGTTTTTAATAAACGGCTCCTTTGACTGCATTGAATTCATTTGTGTCATATGCAAGTAGAATCGGATTTTTCATATGTAATTCAAATTAGGTTTTACATTTGGCTGCTCTCGAGTCTAATGCGCTAGGAGCTCAAAGTGCGGATGTCATTTCCTACTTTGACAATTTATTGCTCAACAGCTGCTTTTATTTGAGAGGCTTTCGAAATCAATCAATCATCCATTTGTATTCATTAATAAACAAAAACAGCATTTTTACCATCTGTATCTACACTCTTGAGCATTTCTTGCACCTCTTTCTGTGAAACGGTGTATCCCATCTTCCGGAGAACGTTGCCAATCTCTTCGTGTGAGATCTTGCCATCTCCATTTCGATCAAATATTGAAAATGCCTCCTTCAAATCTGAAACAAGAAAGAACAAGTAGAAATGGGCTTAAGTTATTTTGCTGGAAATTCGGGCTTCCTTTTCAAGACAAGACTTCTCCATCCACGCTCTGCTTCAACTTTTGCTCTCCAAAACTGGCTTTGTTAGAGAATCTTTGCACAAAACTACTTTTTTTAATGTGTAACTAAAATTAAGTTTAAAATGCTTCATTTGAGTCAGTGCGGTGCTTTCAGTAACATTCCTTCCACTGCAACTCACCACAATTGCGTATTTAGGTGCCTCTAGCCTATTCTAGTTTCCATTTCATTGCAGTGGAGTCGCTGAGGCATTCTGTTGAGCTGCAATGTGCCAGACACGAAAACCTTTTTCCAAAGTTCACAATTTTTTTCAAACATTGAAGAATTTAAGTTTAAAAATTCAAAGGACATCGTGTGAAAAGAATGAGTCCAGTATGTCGTACTTATCTTGCAACAGAGATACTGTCCATTCTAACCTCTGTTTGGCATGAAGAATGCGCCCCTCGCTCATTTAGAGGCAAGAGCTCTACTACTGGTCGTCTGCCGTCAAAGTACACTCTTTTATATAAGAACAAACATTTTAAGATCATTGAGGCTTGATTTGCTGAAACATAAGCGCAACACGAGAACATGCCAAGCTTCAGATGAACACTGTAATCAAACTGGAACAGAAGCTCAGTGTTTTAGGAATCTACTCGTACAATGTACCACTTAAAGTGCCTCGTAAAACTTGTTTTAAGTGGTCTTGGAAGCAGTTTACAAAATGAAGTCGTAGATATCAATGCTAACATAAGACCGATGCCTAGCATAAACTTACCTAAACTAATAAAAGACTGAATATAGATAGGCTCGCTAGTCTTCTTACCGTTCTTATCTTATACGTCGTTCTACACCTTTGCTTCACAATGCTTTGCTTTTTCTTCCTATTTATCAAATATCTGCTGACAAGCACGTTTACAGAATATCAACACTTGGATGCTGCAGCAACTTGACAATTTCAATATCAAGGATTCATTTGACAAGGATGGTACAAAATCAACCAGTTTTTGCTCCGTAAAAGTGAGTGAGCCTTCCGTTCTTAGTTGCTTATTCATAACGCAGTAGTTTTGTGCTCAGCCTTTTACAACATGCGATATGCAAAGAGGAAGCACAAATTTAATGGAAATTTTCTTCCAAGACAAGAAGCTGCTTCACAGCAGTCTTTGAAATTTGAAATTGTCACGAACTCTCGTGAACTTCTTTAAATAGGCTAACTGATAACATTCTAATTTCCTTGAGTGCTCTTATTTCAGAACTGCTCTGTATCATAATTTTATTTATTATTAAAAAAAGGTTTACTAAATATATCTTTGCAAACAAGAAACATTATCATTGTCGCAGTTTGCGTCCAATTTGCAGAACAACTACTAAGATCTTCACAAATTGTTTGTATCTCCTCAAAATCAATTCACTCACCTAATTGTGTGTAAAATGCCATTTCGACTACATTTCACATCCCTTTATGTATCCAGCCTTGCTTGATTTTGGGATCTCAAATAGTGTCTGCAATCTGAACTCTCTTAATAGTTAATACATTCCTAGCACTTCTCCCAGTTAAACTAAATTTCAATGTGTTGAGCAAGCAGGTATGGAACAAGCACGGCTTGATTAGCCGATGCCCATTGGCCATGACAACGTCTTAGTACGACGGTATGCTACATTCGATACGCCCCTTCAAATGAAAGCCACTATCCATCGGCCATAGCAACCGCTATATTGTGGTCAGCATTTAATTGAAATTCTGATGAAAATTTAAAATAGTCAGCTGACGAATTCAGTTAAAATTAAAGAGCGTCACGCTGTTACCTCACCGCGAGGATGAAAAGCGCCAGAACCTGCAACTCAGTTGTTATTGTCATAAGAGGCACCAAGCCTCACTTTCACCCGGACCCTCCTTTTTCATGTCTCCCGTCCACGACGTACTTCTGGCATCCCTTTTACTGCAATAAAGGGCTTCATAAAACTTCAGATTTCTTATTTTTCTTTTTCATGCCAGTGATCTCTCGAAAAATTTCGGAAAAATTGATTTTTCCTAAAGATGGAAAAGTGACAAACACCCAAAATGATTACCGTTTGTTCACTAAATAATCTTTATGTTATGATGGGTTTCTACCTGTGGAGGATTCGAGAGATAATCTTATTTCATTGCGTTTTAAAGATATCCAGCTATTCATGGTGGCATAGCAGGTCGGTGATAATGAGAAGGTTTCTTTGGAGGAGAATCTCCTTTAGAAACATGCCGCATACAAACAAATTGATACAACTCTTTGAATATAATATAATAGGATTGGAAATTTCTGAACTGTTGTCAGGCATCATTTATTGGTAAGTAGGCAGACAGAGTACCGTTAAGGTACCGGGATGTGTGCAGCGAACAAGTTTGTTAAATTTGGATATCTGCAATTGAAAATGAAGCTAAACCTCCTTTTTGAAATATCATATACATAAAATATTGAATATGATCCTCCTTTGAAATTAATCCTTCTAGACCAATTTTATACACAGGATACCTAAGGATGAAGGGTGAATTTTCTCAATTTTTGTAATAACCCAAGGATTGCGACATTTTTACTTCTCGTTTAAAATACGCCTTTTTGAACTAATTATAGAATCGATCAATTGCCACCAGCACACTGATGCTCCACCAGTATCTGAACAATCCTATTGTCTTAGCAAGTGGTTGGTTGCCTGTTTTCTCTAAGCTGAAAATGTAACCTTTGGCAGACTAAGTTTGAATGGCAGACAAATCTTTGAACTTTCGAAAACTCTACACGTTCATGATATGGACGCTTTCTTGGGTCTTATTTGGGCATTCACCTCAAATCTGACAGTGAAAAATTCAAGCCTAAAGTATTTAAATTAGCGAAACATTAATAAAAATTCTGCCTCGGCTTTTGTCGCTCGAGTAGATCGATGTCACATTATACAAACATGTTCTATTGACTTTTTAATGAGTTTTTAGATGTTGCCTAGCTTGCTCCACTTATGTTATGGTATTACGGGTTTCTCCATTTTCAATGTGCAAATAGTCAAGAGAGCAAAAATACAGACCAATTATAGCCAACGAGTGCCTTCTGCCTCGCTTAAAAAGGAAACAAAACACATTTCAATCTCAATGCACTTTTGTACGGGAAAATCGTTTTTTCCATATATAAATCTCTGGTTGTTTTCAATTCAAACTGATTGTAAATGAAATTAGCAGAAGGCACATGTTTACGGAAGCTGTAAACGCACCTGCATAGGAAAAGATTGCTCATGAATAGAAAATTAAACAATGAACGACGTTGACCTAGAAATGGATGAACGAAAAAAAGGTAATGAGACAGAGACAAAAAATGACTACCATTTCCACGATTAGAAAGGAAAAAGATGAAAAAATTAGGAGCATATAGAAATAATAACGGTATATGCATATCCATTTCTAGCACTAATTAAAATATGGCCGAAAATTCTGAAATGGGATCATTTTCCGCTGTGAAACAAAAACGTCCGAAGATAAAGAAAGCTGGAAATAAGAAATTTTTTACTAAACTGAGTACAACGATTGAATCTATTTAAAAATATATCAGACGACAATGACATTCCAGTTTCAGGATTAAAAATATATTTCTAATGCAATTAAATCGTTTATCCAGTTCACATTTTCATTTATGATAAAGCTTGAAGACATCACGTAGTCAACCTAACGAGCTTTAGTTCTTACAAAAACTAGAACAAATACAATAGAATAAATATTTCCTATTATAATATCACAAACATATTTACAAGGAACGTTATTCTTCGCATACGAGCAGACAAATCCGTTGTTTGGCTAAACAGATGCAGGCATTATCAAATTTTTTCAAATACTAAAACGAAGGGAGTAATTCGCCCATCGGAATTCATTCTGTGGATCTGACAAGAATCAGCTAGCAACTGTACAATTTGATATTGAAAAACTGACTATACGAACGAGGCTTTAATGTCCATTGGCTTCAGATTTAGGCTTTGTTATTTTGAAGCATCGTATCTGCAAATGATCACATAACTCATTTACCTGGAAAACAAAAATAATTAGACGTTAAAAAGATTAATAAAAAAGACCTCAGTAATGGAATTACAGCATGGGAGACTATTACACCGCGCATACCAAAACATCGTCTCTTCTGTGACATTTGGCTCAACGAGCCTGTGCAATAGCTATTATGCATGCAATCCGAACATCCAAACGCAACAACGCATATTCAAATACTTCACGTAAAGCTTACCACGCATATAGCATAATGTGACTGTGCTAAGGCGGCGAAAATCGCGTAGGCATAAAGGAGGTTCCTCTCATCGCAAAGGCCTGATACTGAGCACGCAACTACGGGAAAGAGTGGAAAGAGCAACCAATTGAATCTCTCGCATTTTGACGAAGACATCTGTGCAACTATCAAGCGGCACTAAAATAAAATGAAAATAAGGTCAACAGAGCGATCATTAAAAGCAAGATAAACGCTTAAGGAGTGAACAGAAAGAATGTTAAACAAGCCATAAATGACATCGTATGTTGCATCCTTGGGTAATCATTTCAAGTTGCTGCTACTACCCGCATTTACGATTCCTAAACCCCGACGGACTACGACTTTTCAAGGTGCCAAACACGACTTTGGCCTTAAAGCTTTTTATTAAACAATTCTTCTAGTGAATAGCAAAAAGTTGGTCTTTCTTCAAGGAAACTAGCCGAAAATACAACACTTACTGAAATACAATACTTACTGTTATATTAGAGAAAACATTTCCAAAGGCAATATAAAACATTCTTGGGTAATTCTGTAGAACTTGTGATGGCGATAAAAAGCCCCAAATTGTGAAAAAGGAGAGGAGCATTCCAGTTGAAACGAGTGGCATGAGCCCCTCTAGCACCGTTGGGCAATATTCTGGGTGCTTCCATCTCGCCCTGCAAAATGATAACACAAAAAACATTAGCATAACAGTGACTGTTCTAAAAACAATTTAGACAGCCATGATAAGAGTAAAGGCAGTTGATACAAAAACAAATAACAAAAAAACAAGACATAGGACTAAGAAATTTACTATAAAATTTGACCAAAAATTGAAAGTTGAAATAAAATATGAGATGTAGTCGATTATCGATTAATTTGTTAAATGATTTGCAGGCACCATGATTTTTTTCATATAACATCATAAATGAAAAGGTAACATTAAACGTGTACACTTTAACATCCAACTGACCAAACAGTAATATTCTTAAAATCAGCAATTTAGAGCCATATTCAACTATTGCAGGCCGCATATAGGTCCTTATCATGGTGACCAAAAGGGTGCAAGAGAAACGAGACCAGAGTAGGTTGAAAAGGTGTAAAAGCTTAAGGGGGATCTAGTGAATACTATGATGAAACAGTGGTGGTATAAAAGGTGGCATTGGGTTGTGTTTGAATGGGCAACAAGAATGTTGTTCAAAGGAGATACAAAGTCTAAGTTTTCTAGGTTATGTAAGTCTAAGTTTTCTAGGTTAACACAAACACGTCTGCAGTGAAAAGTCACTTATGACAGGTGACTGTGAAGAATTTCATCACAAGGTAAAAATTTGTTCTGCTCAGAACTTACAATATGCCATGGGACAGGAAACAGCCACTCTAAATGACACACATAGTTATAACAAAATTACATTTGCGCCCTCTCTTAAACTTGTACAGTAAAACAATAGCAATGTAATGCTTGCATACCTTATTATATGCCAGACAGTTGACGGGAGGCCTATTCCCCACAGAGAAACTGCAAAAAGACAAAAGTGTTGTATCGACCAAATTATGGAAACTATATAAAAAACTTTCTAGGAGTAGATGGTGATAGTGGAGGAAAAACAGCAAAGAGTGTCAGATTTTAATTCATTGAAAGATTGAAAAGGGCTTTAATGGCAATGATCTGTATAAAAAGATGCAATTCAAGGGCTTAAAGCAAATAATCAATCAAAATGACCTACTTACAATGAACAGTGGCAACAAACAAATGACTCATTCTTATACCATTCCAAAAGGTCAACTTCCAAATGTCTGGACTCCATACAAAGGTCAATAAGTATACAGTTGTGAGTCCCTAAAAATAAATTCATGCTGCATATGACTTTAAGAGATACTAACAGCCTCAATTGAAGGTTTGGAAAAAGAAATTTGCATGGTTCCCATAAACTTGTAGGAGTCTGGAACATATAACTGAATGTTTTCATTGATCGGAAGAACCGTGAGAGTCAGGAACATTGACTCAGATCAACTCTCCCAACCCTTGTGATTCATAATCGCAGTCGTAATGATAGCAAGATAGTATTCCCATTAAAGTTGCAAGACCAACACAGACTGCCACTTACAGGTTTAGTTGCCTTTAGACACTCACAGGTGCATAGCTTATAAAAACACCTCAGACAGTTAAGAAACCAAACCTCCTCTTGAGTTTGGAAACCTTGTAACACATAAATACAGATCATGTTTAAAACCTACACTGCTATCTAGAATAAGATCTTATTTCTATGTCACCACCTCAGACCACAGTTAAGCCTTAGAAACAATTGAAACATCTATTGCAGACAAAATGCAAATGCATGCTTTGATAAGACAAAGACATTGATAGAAATTTGCTTACAACTTGGCTGAAGTCATATGCCCATGGTAGATACAAAACTGAAGTGTTGTACTTTTCCCAATGAGCCAAGAAAAAGCCAGCAGCGATTACAACAATGAGCGAAAAAACCTCATAGTGTGAATGATACTGCGTGCCAAAACAGGACAGGAGGGACACAGCCATCATCCATGCTGCTGTGCTGTCTAGACCATGGTCAAAGAGCTCACCAAGGGGAGAACTATGAACACAAAAAACAAAAAAGCATGAGATATCAGCAAGAAATGCAAAATGTAAATGTCATTGACAAGATCTGCTAAATTATTGTTGGAAATCAGTTGAGATAAAGTTATGGCAGCACTGCGTTTATCAGCCTATTGGGAACCCATTGGTTTTGTGGGTAGAATTAAAAAACACATGCATTGCTCAGAACAGCCATCATCTAAGGTTTCTGAGGAAAACACAAGAATGACATTTTGAAGATGATCTAGATATTCTGAATAAAGTTAGATTTTCAATTTCTTCTTTGAGACTATAAAGAAAAAGTTGGATCCCTGTCAAAGAAAAGGAAGTCAAGATATATTTCAACCCTCCCACATGTATTTGAATGAAAAAGCATCAGTCCATGTATATACTTAATTAACATATGCACTAGTGTGGTGAATGCTAAGCTTTAAATAATTTCCTTGTTTCTTCATAAATTCTTTCATAAAGCAAGCAAAGTTTGATGCTTATGATACACTAAATTAGCTGATAGCTGACCAGAAGTCAAGCAAATTGTAAAAAAATAATTCATTTCAGATAAAATTCATAGCAGATAGGCAATAAAGGGCAAAATAAGCCTCCACGCCGCCAAAGTAAGTGCTACAAGGACAGCATCACAAAAAAGGTTTTGTGCACAAAAACACATTGGAGATGAAATTAACTATGATACATCATTCCAGATATCTTAACATCACAAGATTTGTTTGTAGTTCAACAGAATTTAATTCATCGTAAAATGAATCTAATTACCTGGAGCCTGTTCTCCTGGCTTGCTTTCCATCAGTCCCATCGAGCGTATGTGACAAAAATTGAGAGATGGCACAGAACAGCCATATACATCTTGGAATGGTAGAGAACCCAGCAACTGGAGAAGATGTAGCTTTGAAATCCCAGTCAAAGTAAGCAAGGACAAGGAAATTGGCGAGAGTGAACAGCCAGCCAGCAAATGTCATTAGGTTAGGGGACAACCAAAGCGGGTATATCTTGAAAGTAAAAAGAAATGCAAAATATCTGCCTAAATATATATCAATAAAAAATAAGTAACAAACCTAGTTTACTTTATTGTTGGCACCTTATGGTCACTTTTAAAATCGCATTCATTGCTGGGGCATTAAAGATGTAGGCGCACTGTGAGGGGATGGTGGAAGCAGACAATAAACACCTAAAAAGATTGGGACAGTCAACAGCTTTGGAAACAATTAGGCCGATTTCCACGAGGTAGAATTTTCCGCTCGAACTTCAAACTTCTGCTCGAAATTGTGCGAGCGAAATATTGAAACCATTTCCACGGCATTTTCATTTCGAGAGCAAAAGGCGAATCACGTTTACTTCACGATGGCGACTTACAACATTCGTTTTCTGCTGATAAAGTTAACATTAATTCAAATATTACGACGACAACTTGAGAGAGGACGACGTAAATGCAAAAGGTCATTTTTGACAAGAAAGATATACCAGGAGCGTAATAAGAAACTTTTTTGACTAAGCAAGACACAAATATGCGGGAGTCAATTGGGGCTAGTGAAAGACTTTGTTTGACTTCGAAGTATCTTGCAAATGGCGATGCACAAAGTAGTATTGCCACAAGTTATCAAATAAGTGCTGCTGTGGTTAGTCATGCAATAAACGAAACATGCGGAGTTCCATGAAATGAACTGAAAAACCGAGACTTTCTACGTGTCCCAAATACCGTGGAAGAATGGAAAAAGGTTGCGAAGGTCTTTGAAGAGTAGTGGAATTTCATCATACCCTTGGTGCCATTGATGCCAAGCACAATGTGATGCAGTGTCCTGCTAAAGGGGGGTCGGAATTATTTAATTACAAAAAAACGCACAGCAATGTTTTATTGGGAGTCTGTAATGGAAAGTATGAATTCATCATGGTTGACATCGGTGATTCTGGGAGGCAAAGCGATGGAAGTGTTTACAATAACAGCAGTAATGGCTATTGCATTGGTAATAATATTCTAAACATCCCCTCTCCCGAGAAGGTATAAAATTCTCAAGAAGTACTCTCCTACGTGTTTCTAGGTGACCATGCCTTTGGCCTAAAACCAAATCTTTTAAAGCTATACCCCGGACAGAACTTGCAAATCCAAGAGCGAATATTCAACCACAGACTTTCAAGAGCTTGAAGAACACTTTTGGAACTGCAGCCTCATGTTCAGAATTTTTCACAGGCCAATTACAGCCACAGTTGACACCCTAAAAGCGATAACCAAAGCAGTTGTTGCACTTCACAACTTTTAATGGCTTACAGATTACAAGAGCCATATAATTACTGTCCTCTTGACAGTGTCGATCAAGAGGTAAAAGGTTTATTAAAACAAGATGAATGGAGAGAAGAATCGGACAATTCGGGAATGTTACCTATGGGAAGGTGTGGCTCTAACAATTTCTCAAGCAGTGCAAAGGAAATGCGAGACCGATTTAAAAACGTCAATTCTGACGAAGGCCGTGTTATTTGGCAAATTGATTTGGTTAATCATGTTTCAAATCCAGGTGAAGAATACTGCTTATAAATAAGCTATTGTGATCAACTTTCAATCAAGTTATATCTATACTTTCTAGCGTTTATTTTAAATATTTTTTTAAATGTCTTTTTCGTTTATATTCTTTTTAATCCAATCTAGCATAACATTTACCATCACGCGATGCTATTTCCATTGCATCTTGATTGCCATTGATCATTCCTTTGAATAATGAGCCCTTTTCCTAATACTCGTTATCAGTCTCTTTTTTTTCATGATCATTTACGTATTTGCCTCCCTTTCATCCTTTCAGAATATACTATTAGAGGCTGACTCATATTTTTTGCAATATTTTCTCATACCAAGTTTCAGTTTCAGTTTCAGTTTCAGTTTTCATTTTTTAAATTCCACTACCCTTACTGTTTTCCTAATCTCAAAATGGACTATCTTAAGCAATCATTTCCCGTAATTTATTCATACAAATGTGTAAAACTTGTATATGACTGTCCTTCAAAAGTCAGCCCCAAGATTAAAAAAATCTTTAACTGAAGCTGATGCATAAAATCTAGAGTTTTAATGTGTGTTAGTACTAGAATGACTCACTGTCACAACAGCTTATATTAAAACATATTCTGTCAAATGAAAACTTGAGTAAACTTGTATTAACATAATAACTGATAACAAGCTTTCCACCCTTTCAAGTTTATTTGAAATGTTCGTGCCAAACATGAATTATAAGAAACTAAGACAAGATAATTGAGATTAACTATATTTTTTATTATGAAGATACAATTACATCGAATCATCAAATTCTATTTCAAAAAGCAATTGCTGTATTTTCATGTTTGCATATGTTCTTTTTGGTTGAAAATCCTTTGAAAATTGGAACTAGACTTTTACAAAAACAAAGATCTCTGTCTGTTTCTTCTGTTGCTTTTTGCTCATTCGTTTTTTCCAAGCTTTGTAGCGTTTGTCCAGATCTTGATGCCAGATCTGTCCAGATCAACTGAGTTTCCAGGAAATTCTCTAAAACAATAAGGTCAAAATAAATTTTATGATAAGGCTTAACCTCAGTGTAGAAATCAAAATTACGTATTGGATTGTTTTTGAAACTTTAGAATTTTCAATACGAGCATAAATACATACATACATAGATACACAAACAAGCATATTTTAATTAAAGTACTTACCATTTTTCCTGAAAATATTTGCAAGTTTATTCCATGCACTTGCTTTGACAGTGCGGTCTTTGTAGGACGAACAGGAAGTATTCCGTAAGCATTGGAGGTTTCTAGCCTCCTAGATGAATCAAATCAAATTGCTCTTCCTCTCCACAAAATTTTCCCGACCAATCATCCTGGGTCAAACTCTTGTCATTGACAGCAACACAAGAAAAACCAGACATATCTGTATTCTGAGAGTTTTCTTCAAATGCTTCATTTTTTCGTTACTTGCTTTAAAAGAACCCTGATATCTATCCCTGCTAAGTGAAAACTGTTCCTCAAAGCTATTTGGTTCCTGAGACGCCATTTTGAATAACCAGCATTTCGAAGAAAGTTCAAGCAAAATCTTCCAAAAGTGGAACCAGTTTAAACTTTTCTACAAAAATGATTCAGACTTCGAGCGGAAAAGATTTACTTAATGCAAATGCCCAGTAAAAAGATCAAGCAGAATTTCCTGTTTGAGCGAAAAATTCCACCTGCTGGAAATCAGGCTTAATAGTTCAAGATGCAATTGCTAAATATTTTCAACTCATACAATTAATCATACAAGCAACTAACTTAACAAAAACATAAACAACAATGTAGTACAACTAATTTATTATGAAACAATTGCCCTTTTCATGATTCATTCAGCAACTTGCTCTAAACGAAGTAACTCACTGTAGGCACTACGACATAAATAACCCTTTATGTCAACTTCTGTAACATTAAATGAATTCAGAACAAAATTCCAATTACCTTGACAACTTTGTTCCAGAAAGGATGCATAACATAGTTTGAAAGTGGTGATGTGTCAACTGATTTGTACTAGAACAAAAATATTTTTAATAGTGAGAGTCTGGTAATCAATTTGCAGAAAATCAAAGGTGTTATTGAAACCACATTTATGCTAAAGCTAAAGCAGTTAACACCACTAGCATATTCCTTATAAGCCATCACCTCATAGTTATACATTCTGATTTAAAAGACAAACACTAGTCTTTAGATATAAATAAATTGCAGAGCAAAGAATCAAACCTGCATTTTACCATCTTATTATAAAAACAATTTCAAAACTTTCTATCATCATATTACAAAACATTCCTAAATTGGTGAAAACAGCTGGAAATTGTGTTGTGTAACATAGCAACAATATCACAGTGTTTCTGCAATGCTGGTATTTCATAAAATACTGTAAACATTTTACATTCTTATTATCATTTTACAAACGATATTATAAATTAGGCTCAACTGGAAAAGTTACAGGATTAACCCAAAAGTTTGTGTTGTCTTTACATAAAGAAGAAAAAGAAAACTAACAAAAACTTTGCTTAATTTACTATATTGTTGCTTGATTAGTCAAGCACCTTTAATAAAACACATTTGATAGCAAGAACTTATCGCTAGCAAGCAGCAAAAAGGAGGCATCCTCTACAAACACAATATAATTTTGTGTCAATTTTCACCAAACAAAATGAAATATTTCTTCTGAAAAACTTTTAATAAACTTGCCTGTCAGAAATGCTAATATTATTAATTATAAAAATGGCTCTGAAAAAAGCAAACATTTTAGAACATATATACATACTTGAGTTATTCGTCTGACACTTTTAGAGTATAAAACATTAGAACATAGATTGAATACTCTATGCCAGGAAATGTGTTTGCTTTTTTCCAAAGCCATTTTTAAATTCCATACCACAAAAAGGTTATTTGAAAATAAATTACAATTATTGTAAAAATTTTCAACAAAGGAAAGTTTATACTTCTGTTGAAGATATTTGTCTAAAATTTACTCAGAAGATAAATTGTGACTGTGTGGTAAGAGTATTGCTAGAGCAGGCCTTTTTGTTTCACATGGTTGATTGCCCTTGTCCTTGCCATCGCCCTTGTTAAATTACTGATGCAGTCAATTGACCAGCCTCACAGGTAGTTTTTCAAAACGCGAGTGCTATCAAAGGGGGTAGAAATCTGCCGTTCTGGTCATTTAAAGCCAAAATTCCATGTCTTAGAATTGTTGACAGGACCTTTATTCAAAGATGCTTTTACCAGAAATTGGGCCAAGAATTCCACAAATCCTTAAAATTTCATAAAAATTCCATAACCAATGTATCGTTTTTGAGAAAATTTGCATCTGGCAAATGTGTAGAATTATGTTGTTCCGTCCAGAAATTGCAAGATTTCTGTAATCAGCGACAAATTTCTTCCGAAGTCCATTGCTTGTAAACCTTGATGGCCCCCATAACGAATGTCAGTTATTCATAAGTGGGAACAACAAATATTGATAATAAGCAACTATGATAAGAACTGGACAGTAATGGAAAGAAATGCTAAAATCAAAAGAATTGTTGGAATATATTTTGAGGAAAAAATGCAAGACTGTTATTTCCTAATTCGTTTCATTCCACCGAAAATAACAATATTTATTTAGTAGCTAACAACATTTACTTATAAGAGACTTTCAAAGTATTACTAGTCAGTAAGAGACTTTGTCTTGAAGCTTCAAAATAATCTGAGAACATAGATAATGCAGTCAGAGAGGATGAGGGAGAGAATTTTTCAACTGAGTTGGAATCTAATTGTGATTCACAAACTGAAGAAGAAATTTCAAATTAAGTTGATTTCTTAGATGGTGGATTTGATGATTGCAAGTTTTATCTTATGTCTTCACTAAGCTGATCAAACTAAATGTATTTTCTTTTTGACTGTCCCTAAAAGTTCAGTATTGAATGAAGAGTCAATTTGTTAATGAAAGCAAAGTATTGTTTCCCCAACATCACATCAATTATTTTCGCTACAAACTGGCAGTAATCATGCATTTAGAAAATCAATGGTTAGGCAGTCTTAGTTAGATAATACCCTAATTCCGCTAAGGTCCTGAAGGACTTTGTTTAACAGAAAGTGTTGGATGGGTGATCCTCTTAAGCTGGTCCATGCAGGCAGTTTGCCACCTTTACGAAAATTTCTTCACTAAAAGCCTATATTAGTAGAGTATAGGTATAACAAATTTCAGAAATGCATTTACAACACATAGATATAAAATAGGCTCAATGGCCTAAGGGCATTGTTTAATGCATCAAGAAGCTTAACTTGTCAAAATCCAGTTGAGAGGACATCAACAAGTGTATACCAGAATGAAAACTTTTCTTCTTGTGTGGACAAGTCCACTTTGAAAATCCAGATTTTGCACCAGAAATAAAAAGCACTTTAGTGATTTTACATACCCAACATGCAAAATGATGCAGATATTTGCATGGTCAACTTCTTGTGGACACTCCACGAAGTTTGCGGTCTGGAGTATATAGATACCAAACCCACATGGTTCTTTTGTTCGAAAACTAAACAAACTTTTCCAAATTTTATTTGAATCTTATTGGTTATGTGGATCAAACAATTGCTTGTAAATTTACAATTAAGAAACTTCAATGAAGTTCACCAGCTTGGGTTTCTTTAAATAAAAAGTTTATTTGATCTGTTGGTTGATGATTCCAATCAGTGGCGGACACTTGGGGGGGCGAGGGGGGGCGACCGCCCCCCCAATACTTTAAAGAACAATGGACTTTTGTTCTAGAACAATGGGAAATGTGATGTCATCTTATTAAAACAATAGGCTTGCCCCCCCAATATTTGACCAAGTGTCCGCCACTGATTCCAATATAAATTAGTGTTAGAAGGGTTGATCAAAGAGTTTTGCTTGGAAATGCAAGATGGTTTGAGAAAGAACAAAGTTCAACAGTACTTGGCCTAATGTGCCAGGGTCCATGAGATTGGTTGTTTGCACAATGAAGAAAATAGACATGCATTGTGAAAAAGGTTATGGGCATCCATTTTCTCACAGACCACAAATATGCTTAGGCCAGCCAACTTACAATACTAATTATCTTTTGATAAGAAGCATCCCTTTCTTATTTAAACATTGTAACTTTCTGACCAGGTAGTGCAAATAGTGCTTTTACTGGCCAAAGTCCATTACTTTTCTTCTACAGTTTCAAATTACGTTAACCCCATTTCCTTTCTTCTTTCGGGGCAAATGGAAATCATCTACCCCTCAAAAAGTAAAGTACCAAACAGGGTCCGCACAATCTTTAGGAGACTAAATAACATCTTTGTCGCCATGTTTATGAGCTTCATATTTTTTGTTGTGACTGGTCGTTTTTCTGCATAATTCTAAAATAATCATTTGATTCGATTATGCTTTGGCCAACCACATATAAGTATATTTTCCCCCTTAAAATTATGATTCACAACCTAATGGCGCCTCATCATTGAAATATATCTTAAATTATCAAATAGGAGCTTCTTGGAAACTGCTGAATCGGTTAATATGTTCTTGTTAAATGATAAGAGTCACGAAATGCACGAAGCTCGACACTACCAGGACGGGCCTAATTCACGACTGAATACCAGCTCGCTGCATGAAGGAAGGTGTTAATGCTACGTTAAGATAGATTTGAAAGTAAAACACTTACTGTATACCTGTCGAAACCAGCCAACTGCTGATCAGACAAGTATCTGTGGAATAACAAGCCCATTTTGAACAGCATTCAACTTCTCTGCCCGTTCTTGGGCGTTTTCAATTTAACCACGCTGTTGTGTCTTGTGTTTGTGCTTTGCGCAGAATTGTGTTGAATTGAATAGTTGGGTACCATCACAATGGCATTAGGGACCCGCATCCATGGCCACATCACAATACCACGCCGACATGGTGGGGGCCAAGATTCATTCCTATGAAAAACTGCATTCCAGACAAATACTAAAATATGAAGAAAATATTTGTCGAAAAATTTCTTCGGGTAGAGTACCAACTGTTAGAACTGAGTTGGGTTGCAGGCCTTCAACAGTTTCAGGATATGGAACCAATTAACCACTAGAATTCAAATTAGAATGTATAGAATAATGCCTTGTTGGGGAGATCTCACTCTTATTGTTTGAGACAAAAGGCTTAATGATTTGTTCGAGCCAATCAGCGTCGAGGGGCAGGAACGCATGCGTATTCTAATGAACTATCCTACAAAATCCCCGGCCATGCTCAACACCCAAAGCCAGGGAACACAGCAAGATTTCGCAAACATATTGAAAACAGTAATTTTAGCAACTTAAAGAAGTTTCATCAATTTCTGAGGAGTTTTACGCAAATATTTAAAGGACATACTTTCGTTTATTTTCATTTAGAGGTTTCCTCGGAGCTTGCTTGTAGATATAGCTAAACGGGAAGATCAAAATTCGAAGCTTTCCTTTCCGCCTTGAATAATTGAATTGAAGGTACGTTTTCTGTTGTTTTAGTCGATTAAATTGCCTTGGTCTGGCTCTAGTGTCGGAGATCAGTTTAAATAAGGTTTTATTGTTTACATTGAATGTCTAATCTACGTGAACACTTAGGCAGCCTCATAAAATTATCGATGTTTTTGCTTACCTTTGGAAAGAAAGTGAGCCTTATAACAAACGAAAAACATAAAACAACAGAGAATCCAGGCAGGTTTTTCAGTATGAAAGATATTTCTGCAATGATCAAACTCCCATGTCAATGTGAATGTTAAGTTCCATTCTCGGGGGGTTCTATGCCCCTTTGACTCTAAATATATAACACGCATGTGCAACCCAAAACGGGGGTACTCATTTTACATTCAAGAACTTGCTGCATCTCATCTCCCTAACAATGCCATAGAGCTTTTACGGTATGCCGTATGCCCACAGACTATGTCGAGCAAGCAAGACAAGATGCAATGATTGCGGAGGAGGATACGCCTAACAATTCACCATGAAAGTTGCCTTCTTTCTGTCATATCCGGGGTTTGTTATACCGACAGAATTTGTAAGGAGTTTTTTAGGCAGAATCCAAGGGTTTTTTAGGCAGAATTCGTTCGTTATACCGGGAAGTTCATTATATCCGGGGTTTGTTATATCGGGATTCCACTGCATACCCAGGCTAATGTTGGGTATCGCAGTATAACCTTACAACTAAACACGATGTACAACTTAAACTTGTTTTTCTGGCGTAGCCTGACATGATTAGTTAGATAGAGTATTTCGAAACAAAGACATCCTATGAAACATATTTTTTGATAGGGCTTGATGTACTTGATACTTGAAGCGTGATCAAATGGTTTCTTGCTTCTTTGCAAATCTTCAAATGAACTCTCTGCTTATGGTTGAAGGACAGTTTGTATATTCGAGATTTGACTTTCTATGTTTTCCGTTGTTTTTTGGCTGTTTCTGCATAAGAATGGAATAAATCAGCGATCATACAATACGATTATACGAATATATCAACGAAACATTTAGTGTTCCAGCTAAAAGAAAAATCGAGGCTGAAATCAGGCACGGCACGCCATTCAAACCAACAAGCAGTGGCGAAGCTAGCGGTCATGCTGGTCATGCTGAGCATGACTAAAAATTTTCAGAGCTAAAGACATTTATTATAATGATTAAAAATTTTCTTTATTGAAAAAGTACCCTCAAAACTCCATTCGTCCAGTTGATTCTTATTATTTCACTGCCCTTCCCTACCTTGGTCCCTTGTGGTTAGTCATGCTCATTCTGGAGAGCATGACCTGCCATAGGGTTTCTTTCCTCAGAGAGCCCAACCGCTCCTGTGAGTCGGCTGAGTTTCAATGACTTTTCAGTTGGTATCCCTGCGGTAAGTCATGCTCATTTGGAATAGCATGACCTCGTCATTATAATCATAAACCTAGCACTGATTTGATTGGCTGAATTCTATCTTGCGCATGCTATCTTGGCCCGTTTTGGACCCCAAGTCATGCTCATTTTTTTCAGCATGACCGACCTAAATCTCCCATACATGAAGTATCTAAGGTCTACTTGAGCTGAGAAACATTGCTGCAAGGGAGTGGGGAAATTCAATCGAAGCTATTTCCGAGAGATATATTGTTTATTAACTGCTACAGGGATCACTTGCGTGTGGCTGAGCAAGGTAATTGTAAACCAAAATTGTAATTGAAAACCAAAGGCCGACCCTTATCGATGAAGAATCCTACCACTACGTTGCTGATCATACCATAACTTGTTGCTGATGGACGAACTTGTACCCTGAAACTTGCTTGTGTATTCAGTATTTCACCAAAACCTCTTGCTCATGGAATTGTACTCTTGAAAATTTCCTGTTTTGTCAAAATCACACAATAACCTGTTGCTGATGGATGGAATTTTACATGATGGATGGAAATTGCCTGTCCATTCTATCTGGTTTATTCAATATTACAACCTTACTTGTTGCTGAGAGGGACGAACTTGTACTTTGAAAACTTGCCTGTTTATTCAATATTTCACCAAGACCTGTTGTTGATAGAAAGAATTGTGCTCTTAAAAATTTCTTGTTTAGTCAATATTACAACATAACTTGTTGTGTATAAAATAAAATTCAAATTGCATCTTGCAATTTGCCTGTTATTTAATATTACACCATAACTTGTTGCTGATAAATGAAATGGTACCCTGAAATTTGCCTGCATTCAATATTACACCAACTCTTTTTTTGATAAATGAAATTGTACTCTTATATTTCCTTGTTTATTCAATATTACACCATAACTTTTGTTGATAAATGAAATTGTACCCTTAAATTTGCTTGTTTATTCAATATTACTCTATAACTTTTGTTAATACATGTATGTAATTTGCATTGTACCCTATGCAATGCAAATGTATTGTACCCTGTAATTTGCCTGTTATTCAATATTACACCATGACTTGATGCTGATAATGAAATTGCACTCTGGAACTTGCCTGTTATTGGATATTTGACTATAATTTGCTGATGGATAGAATTTAGAAATGATTTTTAATCACACTATATATGTAGCTTCCACACAGCCAACCTTCTCAGTGCAGTTTGATTTCCCCAGGGCTTTCGGTTGCCAGGAAAACTATGGGGTTTCTTAAACATGGAAGACCAAAGTTATAGGAAAGCCCTTGATGTTGGGCTTGGACTTAACTTGTTGATGTTTATGGCATGTTACACCTTAAATACAGGGGTCAAAACTTTTTGTATATGCTAAACAGTACTATCCTTGATACATTTGTTTTAGATATGTAAAAATTAAGCTTATAAAATTGAAGCTAAGTATAAAATTCTGAACCAAGAAACAAGCATCCCACAATTCCCTGTATCATAAACAAGGGAGGGCCTACCTATCACTGAGGGCTTATCTTGCCTAATTCATCTTAATTCAGAAACATCATCAAAAGTCTCAATAATTAATAGTAAGAGAATGGATATTTCTTAGCCCTTGCTGATTTGAATAAGCTGATTTATCAAAAGTTTAGATTTTGAAAAATATTTGTAGATATAATATTCTCTCATCTGCAATGTTTTTCCAGTATGATCAGTAGTGTTTGTTGGGGGTTTTCAAATGCACAATTTTTCAAAAACATTGTCCCAAAGATATTTCCAAAACACAACATTGGAGAATGGGGTGGAAAGAACATTTAGATGTTGAAGTCCTTGACATCATTGATTGCAATCTAAACAAGAGCTATTTGATTCAATATACTAAAAAGGGCGTTACCCCCCTTTTCCGAGCATCTATAGGGTGTGGTTGTGTGTAATTTTCCTGGGGGCTATGTCCCCAGACCCCCATCCCCTTTCTCTCCCATACAAAGCATGACCATTGACTTAAGGCCAGCTTCGCCACTGCCAACAAGCACGAATTTTGGTAGACGAGGCACGTCCGTATCTGTAGACACGTTAAATTATACCTGTTTCAGCCGTTAGTTATTGCAATTTTCAACTTCTCCGATTTTCAACAACGCAAATTGCCGAGTATTCCCCCCTCATGTTTTCCCATATTTCTTACAAACGTGCCCAGAACCCTATATTGATATGCGAGAGTGGCTCAGTATGATGCGAGGATGGCTCAGTTGTTAGAGGCGCTGACTACCGACCCCAGGGGTCCGTGGTTCGAGTCCCTGACATGACAAAACTTTCACCCAGCATGAGGAGAGTCGCAAGCTGTCTGTAGTTCCAGGCATAGGAATCACGAGGTGTGGTCACATCGAGAGATCACGAGGTGCTCTCACCCTGAAAAAGGCATTAGACGCTGCCAATTACAAAATGTTGATAGAAATTTCGGAAATATTGGACGAGAGCATCAAATGGCAGGTTTAGTTCTTATTTTAGCAACAGAAAACAGTATTGGTTTTTTTGCAGCATTGAATCCAACCTCCTGAAAAGCAACAAAATGGAAGTCCTCCTTAAGATAGGCAGAGGCTGTTCCCATTTATACTGACGCACTTGCTATATATACTAGCAAAAAGTGGAAAATACTTCCCGTTGTATAAGAGAAAGTAAAGCAAAAAAATGATAACCAGTGAATGAAAAGAACCTTTCCGAAAGAAGGTATGATTGAAAGGGCTGGAAAAAGATACTTGTCATTGATGGGTTCTTAAAACAAATGATACCATGCTATTAAACTTTTGTAGAATTGCCTTTAACTTAACTTAATTTAACTTAAAAATTACATAAGTAACCGCAAGAATGGCAGAGCATGAAATTATTTATCTTTAATGCAGAAACCAAATGCTAAATGGATTTGAAAACGATTATGGGCCGCCTTTCGAATCAACTATGGTTAAATTTCATTTAACCGCCGATCTATATTCGCTCATTCTAATTGGTCAAAATCGTTTTGGCGTTTGGAATTTTTTGCTTAAAAAAATAATCAACATGCTCACAAACAAAATCAGCAATTTGAATTTTTTCTCTTTTGTATATTGAAAAAGTAGGTCATTCTTTCCTTACACATGTCGCTTCTACAAAGCCTTCCCGAAATATTGTCTGCTGCTCCGCTTATTCACCTATCGCCAATTTCCGCGATCGCATTTATGTGGATCTGGTACCCGGGGCAGCTACGGACAAACTCCAAATAGGAAACGAATAAGACAGAGCTTTGAACAAACTAACAAATTATTCTTTTAATGTCTATTGTTTAATCTTATTTTTGATTATCTTCGATCAGGGAGATAAATTTTCCACTTGCTTCATCTCGAGTTAAGGCATTCATTTTTTGTAGAATGCAAAGTAGTTTGCTTTTTAGTGCATTCTTTAATTGAATTAGTTGAAAAAATCAAATCTCCAAGGCAAAGAGAAAGTAACGTATGACGTCATAGCACATATTCTTGGAAATTTGAACATACTGTCTTGAAGAACATTGAAAAACAAAAACAATTGTATTCATGAAGAAACAGCCATCAAATCTTACAAACATTTTTCGAAATATAGCCAAATGAATTCATCGGCATTACCAATCAGATTCCTGTAATTTGGTTTCGTTCACTATGCTTAACTCTAGTAGCTGTTTAAAACTATAGCAATTTTGTTGTTAATTTGAGATATTTCATGAATCTCAGTCAATTTGCGACATATTTAAGTGGCTTTGCGTATATAAAGGTGTTCTTTAGTGTAGGCATGGTCCACATTCAAATTTATGTTTTTATGGCGACTACTTTCAACTCATCGCTCGCTAGAAAACTTCTATGACATTTATTTTTCGGCTTCAAGCCCGTGCTGTTCCATTCGATAGGGAACAGTTAGAATTTTAATGAAATACGGGCTTCTATAACAGTAACCAAGTAAACTAAATGCCGCTTCGATTTGAATTTAACAGGTCGGGTCAATACCCAACCACGCGAATCGGTTTTCACGGTTGATTTCACTTCAACTACGACGTCTTTTTAGGCCGTTTCACCTACCTGAAAACATGGCGGAGTGCTTCTTCGCTCGAGTAAAAAAAGATAGTTTAAGGTTTTAAAGAAGCTGTTGCAACAAGGATAGCGCAAAAATCAGAAAGGAAACAGCGCATACAAGAGTTACCGTTTCTTTATTGAAAATTCAAATATAAAGAATTACAAAATATCGACGCATTTATGGAAAGTGCTATCGATTAATGTATGCTTGCTTTTTAGAAAGGTAATATTGAAGTTGGAAGAGAAAGATCAGCTTTGCAACATTTCGAGGAACATGATTGTTTATTTTACACTGTATTGATTTGCGTTGGAGACTACCGGATTCTAATTCCTCAACCTCAAACATGGAAGGAAACTTTACATTCACTGCTAAGGAGAACAAATTCATGCAAACGGCGGTCCTTTTGCCAGCCACAATGACGTTAGTTTGCTTCATATGCACAGTGATGTCTTTGACTGTAGCAGCTTTTATTTGCCTTCGTGACAGAGAGGCAAAGGATGAAAATGAGGTAGCTATGAGGCAGCAACGTGAAGACGAGTTTGTGTCTAAAACGATAACAATGTTTTATACGATTCGAGCTTTCAATGTATTTCGATTGAAGGAAATAATAAGTGACAAAAACGATCACAGACCGGCATGGTTAGGAAATAAAGACGAAATAGTCCGGAAACTTCATCGTTTGGGTATATCACTGACAGAAAAAGAAGACCGGGATATTTCTTCACTGTCGGACGTATTTGAGGTGGACGCGGATGCCCTTTTGTACTTTGAATTGGAAAGGTTTGCTAAAGCAATTGCTATGTACGGAGAATCGACCCTTGTGCAACACCGCTGCATTGAGCAGCAAGGGATGGCTTTCCCAAATTTCTTTATTCCTGGCAGGAAACAAATATACGAAAAAGACTTAATTTACACGATATACCGAGAAATGCGACAAATTACAGACATATTCGTGCTGTTATTGACCGGTATTGACGCCGGCTATATGAAAAAAGACAAAATCCCGAAGCAGTTTGAAATGTGTTTGCTGAAAGAGGAACTCTGTTCCCTAGAAGAGTTTTTCTATAATTATTATCATCGCATTTATTCTACGCAATTCTTTCACAGCATGGAGAAGCAAGAGGCCATTGAAATGGAAGCAATTGAGAACATGCAGCAGTCATGGCAGCCTTCAGTGCAGCCTCATTCTGAAGCTGCCAGGATTCGAAAATCGAGGTCTATAGAATCGGTAGTGGAGGTACCAATGCCTGAGCATGAAACGAAGCTGTTGCCAATGGAGCAGGCAATGCCTCTCGAATACGCAACGAAGGAGCAGCCGAATCAAAGACTGTCTGAGCGCACTAGACAAGTAATTTCATCGAGACTAAGTAGAGTGAGGCATTCTATACAAGCATCAAGTTTAATGCCACGTCAGGCACGGAGGAAACCCTCTACGACAGTCAGACCTGATTTAAACATTCCAGAGACATTCGAGGAGAACAAGTTGTCAGAAAGCGATCCAGATCTCTCAGGTAGCAGAGAGTTTCTCGAGATTGACAGTGCCAGAAAATCGCACACGGGCAAAATTGATACGGTACAAATAAATGACATGCCAGTGCAGCCAAAAGCTGAGCCTAAACTTCTGAAAAACCCATGGTCCAACCGGCGAAGAGGAAAATTAAAGACAACTGTTTCTTTAGAAAAGAACCCATTTATTTACATGTTATTCAAAGTTCTCGAAACATTGAAAGGGAATAAGCTCGACGACCAAAGCTTTACAGTAAAGACATTTCAACAAGTTGACAGAAATTTCATAATTTAGCATTAGGGAAACGCACATTTTTATGAGCAAAACGCGCTTTTAGAAAAACAACGAGAGTGTAGGCAAACGGAGGTCATTGCGAGTTGATATCTAAAATGAAACTTCTTTTAATTTTCACATTTATTAACAGCAAATTAAAATCATAAAATCACACTTTTTAAATGATATATCACAGCAAGTCGCATTCTTTAACGAAAGGACTACAAGAATACGTATTGTGTACAGACATAGGCCGTAGGGGCAGAGTAAAATGGGGGTATTGGTATAAAGACACCCTTATACTTAAAACCGTTGTTAAAATGAAGCAAGCCCTTGCAATTTTCATCAATGTTTTTTTGATGATATTTTCTTGCAACAACGACGTCTCTTCAAAAGGAAGCAGTCTGCTCAAAGGATTTAAAGTATGGCACGTCTTTGAGTTGACCTGGGTTGAAATGAAAATACTTCGAAAATCCCTATTAAGTTCAAATGCACCGTTCTCAAATAAATGAATAAAAATTGAAAAGCCTTTAAGCTAAAAAGACAGCTAAAGTTTTAGCTTCTCTTTATCATCTGTGCGTTCTGCGCAGAAGTTTAATTTCAGCCAATTGCCTCTGTAAAGGAAGGTTTTCAAAAGTAGAGATTTACGAACATGTTTTGAGTCGAGAGAAATGGTCGGCTCTATTCCAAAGCAACAAAGAGATATTTGTATGACATTGCTAAAGTATCTATTTTGTGGCCTTAATTACTTATTGTGCTATGTCACAGCTTTGGCATAGTCGACGAAGGATGGTAAAAGAGGCTTGGAATAATTGTAAAGAATTCTTAGACAAAACTCGCTGCTGCAAGAACGAAAAATGCCACACGTACTAGATAACCGTCAAAAATTTCAATCCTAAAGGTTTAACTAGAGTGCAATGGTGCGAGATACCCGAGGTAGTACCACAATTTAATGCGTAAACAGCTAGTAAAAATCAAAGCTTGCACTTTCCGTTTCTCAGCGAAGTTTTCTTTGTTTTTTCACTGCCTACGTTATAGCCGCTCTTGCTCACCATCTAAACGAAAGCAACAAGAAAAAGGTTCAACTTGAAGCGGAAATATATTATTTATTTTAAATATATAAATTTGCTGCATAAATATCACTAACAAATCTTGACTTGGATTAACAGTTTAACAATATACATGATAATCTGCGCGAGCGCGCGAGCGGCGCTCGCAGGCACAAAATTCATCCTCAGGAATTTCTGAAGGCACATTTCTAAATCGATTTTTATTTACTTTTATTGTATTACAGTCATTTTTACTTTAAACATCTTTGTTGTCATTGAAATTGAATGGTCAAATAGAATATAAAAGGTAGTAGTTGCAAGTCTTTATTACCAAAATGACAGAAGGTCCTTATTCTAAAGGCGCAATTTGATTCTCAAAATCAAGTTCGCTGTTTGTTTCTTTTCCTCTATTATCTCTTGGTGGAAGATATCATTAACAACTATTGTATCGCCTTTTTCTCAAAGTATTATGTTATGACTTGTAAAACTCGCTCGTGCATAGTAGGCTGAAAATAGCACACTCCCTTAAGTTAAAGTCTTCAAGATTTCGAACCTGGTAGCCATCGATTTTTGACGTATTTGATCAAAATTTAATGGTAAACTTCCAAATAATCCATTAAAAAAAAATTTTTTGACAATGAGTGACAACATAAGCAACCTCTATTTCTTCAATTTTTAGAATGAAAGCACTTTCATTTTAAAAGTACCAAATCTTACAAGCATGATAAACTCAAAGCTAAGAAACAGAATCCTAATAAGATTCTTTTTATATAAGACATTTCAATAAAAGTAATCGGGAATGGAACCTTTGATGGCTATTTTTCATATCTTTGAAATGAGAAAAGCCCAGTGTATAATCGAAATTCTTGCAACCTTTGCCAAGGAAGCGAATGCAAAATCCTCAAATTTAGAAACCTTGAAAGAAGATGTTGCAATTGAACTAAACTGCTTCATTAAAAGTGAAGCTTTTATGATATCCAAAAGCGTTTTTACTGAAGATGTCTTTATTTGATGAAATCGATGACAACGATAGGGCTACTTGACAACCCGAAACAACCCGTAGATAAAAACTGGTAGCATTTATTATGTCATCTGTTCAGTTTTACATGTAGTTACATATAGTTCATGATGATATTGATAAGGTATATGCTTTTGACAAATGTAAGTTGGTGTAGCAGCACTGAGCGTACCATGGAGGTTCTCAATTTATAGGGTGCAACTTATGACTATAAATTGCTCCCTATTTTACTTGCAGCCACATTTTTTCTCAGCTTTGCGCTCGCAGGCACAGAATATTATTAATGAGCCCTGATACATATACATACAACATCTATACACAGATGAACTGCTTCTGCTTTTATAAACATTCTTTATATGTAAGAATTGAAAAAATAAGTATATTACATCCATGACAGATTCATCACCTTTTTGATTATTCGTTTTCCGCTGCACGTAGGCATCTTAACCTTCAGTCTTGATGGTGCGATCTCGTTTCTACAAAACATGACATGCTTATTGCAATGTTGTAAGCACGTAGTTAGTTAGAATCCAACTAAAACACGAAAAACTAAAATAATACGAAGTAAACATGGCGCATATTAATTGAAATAAGACTTTTATGGTACCATTGTATGGTAGAAAAGAAACTGAGTGCTGCACAAACGGTGAAAATTTCACATGTGTTGAGCAAATAGTTGCATGAAATTTACATGAACATCACTTTCCTTGATTTTCTCAACACTCAGATAAACAATTAAGAAATAGCCACCTTTCAAAACAATTAAATACTAAGATGTTAATGTACTTAGAAATTCTGACTAACAACTATAGTGACTCTGTTTTTCAGATCCGAAGGCATGAGTAATTCAAAACAAATCTGTAGCATTGGTGAGTTCTTAAAGTCAGCAATCAGAACTGCAGCTTACTGGGAATAAAAAACATCTTGCAAGGTGGCGTATTCATTGCAAAAATGGGAAACTTTGAAAAATACTGTGTGGGAGTTCAACACCTGTGTCTTGCATGTGTACTTTGTGAAAAAAAGCTGCGCATTAATATGAGAAATAGGGGCAATACGCAATAAAATATTGCCTTTGTGCACATTAACAAAATCGAATGTTCGTATGTTCAATGCCACGTGGATACTCACAAACCATTCAACTCGGCTTTACATTGTTTTCTACTTGAAACCATGTCGGGAATTCTCTCCTGCTGCGTCAAAATAGGAAGACTCTGCAAAATAAAGAAAAAATGAAAGATTGTCGAAGATTCTGTTAAGCTAGAGAACATGGGTAACCGCACGAAGACAGTTGGAGAGAAAGAAAGTTTTTGGCAAATACTAAACACATACTTGAATAGCGATGTTTTTTATGCCAAAATGGGGGCCTTTTTACAAAATTAAAACTACCAAAACCTTATGCTACAATGCTTGCTAGTGTGAAGATATCTCGACTTGTGCAGCACAAGATCAGCCAAACCCTTAATATACTTGCGCAGATGCACATTACATGGAAAAACTAGAGTCAGTATGCCAAAGAAAGCTCATCTCAAGGGGATGCGTCTACAAAATCTTACCACATCTCAAGGGGATGCGTCTACAAAACCTTATCACATCTATAAACAAGAAGGAAAAAAAAAGACTAACCTCGCTTTTCTGTTTTGACTCCACTTCAAGCGACATCGGCTTTCCTCCTTTTCTTGAAACATCTAATAAATTTGCATCTGAAAATAAAAATTTATTGTTAATCAACTGCCGGCTATAGCATTAATTAAAACTGCCAATCAAGGTTTTATTGGCAAACAGGATCAACAACATAAAGGCAATTTAAAACGTGTAGTGAATTGTTATTCTGCCTATTACATCAACCCAGAGCAATCAAAAAAACCTATGATTAAACAGAAATGCGCAATTTGAGATAAATACCAGAATGTGACGTCAAAAACTTTGGTTTACGACCAATTGAATCAATTTCCTTTGGCTTTCGTTCTGTTAGCTTCGGTGTTTTCCTGACCACTGCAGCGATTTTCGGCTTAGGCAGCGTCTTGCACGGTCTCTGAGTTTTTGCATTCGGAAGCCTGAAATGATTTTCAAATAATAATTATATAAAAGCAAATTGGAGATGTAAACATGAATTACGTATTTATCAAGAATAAGAAATCAAAAGTAATCATACATACTGAAAAGAAAATTTGACATTTCAAAAAGCTTGGAGTTTGTTTGATTGATTTTGAACTATTGCATAACGCAGACCAGGAGGAGAGCTAGGTTGGTGTCATCTGTCAGGGCAGTTTGTTAAATCAGTTTATTAAGCATAATTCTGGGGCGCTGATTCCGAAAATCGATGTAAGATGTACGTTCAGGGGGGCTTTCAGCCTCTATTTGAAAATAAAACCTCGATTTCGTCATTTATGTTGTAATGACTTACATCATTACTACGCGCAGGGAATTCATAAAAAGACTGAATGAAAGTAGTCTCAGAAGACAAGAATCGAACAATTTCTATTGAGAGAAAAAATTGGTAGAGCTTTGTATTTTCAACAAAACAAAAATGCATAAACAAAACAGGTGTCAACAGTAGAAACTACATTGCAAAACTCGAAAAATTCAATAGTTTCAACTATTCATACTGCGAGATGTCTTTGATATCTTCATCAAGATCCTCTTCGAATTCATCACTATCGATTTCATAATTGAACTCGTTATTTTCTTTATCTCTTGGTATGAGGAGCTCGCATACATTCTCAGGATAGCTTTCGTTGCTCCACGTGACTCTACCCTTATTGTCCCAGCCATGGTTTACAGGGTCATCGTGTGAGATGATTAACGTGTCAGCATTCCGATAGAGAAAGGCCACATAGTTGGAACGCATCATATGAAATATCAAGTTTGCCTTGCAAGGCGGAAGAGGAATGAGGTTAACAATCTGCTTAATTTTGTTAAATTTTTGCCAGAAAATTGACTGTCGAACTGCATTGACCTCATTCAGAGTTAGTACTTGGGAGGTTTCTGTAACTTGCGGTGATAGTACTTGGAAGCCTTTCAGCGAGTAGCCGGTTAGTGTTGGGCCTTCGAACAATGCTTCGTAAGCAGCAGAAAGATCCAGAAAGTATGTGTGCAGCTTCTCAACTCCTGGAAGGTCTTGGCTTTCTACAATATGCAAATCACTCATGGCAACTGAAAAAAGTTAACTTTTCATGGTTTTTCCAATAGTTTCATCAGTTGAACTAAGAGGCATGGAAACAGGGGCAAGTGGGTAGCAGAGCGCAGCATCAATGTCGACAAAATATTTCATCTTTTGAGAGCTCGCAGCAAGGATCCCGAGGATGTCTGAAAACCAGTTCTTGCAAATTTCCGCTCTTTTTATCACAACTGAATCATTCCAACACTTGAATTTGTTGCGCTTCAGTGGGTCAAAAAAGAGTTTAGAAGCATGGCATGTTTTCTGATCTGTTTTATTTAGATCCGCTTATTTCAACCAAAGATTCAACAAATTTAGCCTGAAACGGACGATTCATCACCCATTTAGCAACATTTGTTTCTTTTGAAGCGAAAAGCGTTATCCCTCCAGCAGTTTTAGCACTCTTCATGTAGCTCTGTTCCCCTGCCATATCCACAGCTTCCTTTTCTTGCGATTTCTTCTTTTGCACCTGATCGTGTGCTTTCCAAATGATCCAGCATCAGTACACAGTAAGTTCCATAGCGTGAGTAGTGGATTCTATTAGTGGCAAAGCATAGTGGCAATAACTGTCTTTGGCTAAATTGCTGAAACAGGTGTTTTTTGGGCCTCTTTCAGCTTTAAAGACCTCCGCTTCGACCTAGAAATATTTACAGCATCTTCACGAATCCTTACATTGTCTGTCTCCTCCTGAAACAATATCCCAGGGGTGTTGTGCAAAGAGCTTGCTCCTGAAGACGTCTCAATGTTTCGATCAAAATTATCCCACCAAAAAGAGGTCGCAACTTTCTGCGTCGTGTCAGAAGGAAGCAGAGGGAGATTCAATGACATGGACTGCAGTTGCTGTACAAGCTCAGCCTGAGCTGTTTCTGTCTCACATATTCGGTCATACGTAATGGAATGTCCAAGTCGAGACAAAATGACAAGTGGCAATTTCTGACCAGTTATTGTGAAAGTCTAAACCTATGCACGCGTGCTTGTATGTTAGAAAATTTCCTTTTGAAACTGCATATAGTACGTCCTGGCAGAAAGAGCCAATCATACGTTCACTAGACAGGCTTGTATTGCTACGTTTTCTTCCCCAACAATGTTTCAAAAAGCAACGTAAGAAGTTCGGGAGGGCGTCTATCGTTTGATCTCAAACTTTCAACAGTTGGATGCCGCGGTAACGACTTTGCTTTCCTAATTTTTTCTTTAATTGAGTCGGGAATTAGTTCTCCAGCTTGCTTTACAACTCGGCTGGCAGAAATTTCCATTGACTTTGAAAAAGATTCTTTTTTCAAACATTTTCTACTTATAACAACCTTAGGAAACTGCTGTTCATACGTAATAAAAAGCAAACCACTATTATATTTAGACAGCAAACAGCTTTTCTACCTATATCTTTGATGCCTACCATCCTCATTGATGCCCTGAGCAAAAACAAGGCTCTCCATTGAGAAACATTGTTTCCTTTCAAGAACTAGCTTTTCAACAAATGTGCAAACTGCACCGAAAATATTGTGTACTCTAAAAAGCACTTCTCGTGCTTTCTAAATTCTTTGGCGATCAGGTCGACGCCACTGATTAATCTGAGCATTCTTTCGTCATTTCTTAATGTTGCTGCTTTAGTCAAAGTCTCTTCTGCAGTTTTCGTGACCATCCTTGCAGGGAAGTGAAATTTTCCAGAGACCTTTATTCGTTGCTTTGAGCATATCATGCGATGGTTGGGAAAAATTCCTCTTGAATTAACAGTATCAGAGTTTCCGATCCTGGTAGATCTCTTGCTCGATTCAATACCTTTAAAAATCAAGTATGCATTATGTTATTACACCGCAAATTTGAAATCTTTTATATGTAGAACATAAGACCGTAATGGCTATTTTTCGTACTGCTACTTTAAAAAGGGTTATTGAAAAGAAGAATTTCTATTTTACACATAAATTGCTTGCCAAAAAGCAAGAACACACCTCTGTCATCAGAGTTTTCGAGCTTTCTCTTCAGTCTTGGCAAAATTGAATTTTTGGTAACATTTTCGATGATAGCATAAATCTTCTCCAATAGTTTCTGGAACTCCTTTGCACTGCTCTTCGTGGTGATTTTCACCACCACGTGACTCGCGTAATAACTTACATTCTTGCAGGGTTTTCGATGAAATCTCGCTACATTTAGCATCTTAGCAGGGTTTTACCAATTTAACCGTGGTTTCAATCGAATTGTAATGAATGCAACAAGCTTTATCGACTATAATCTCTTTTCGGAAATCAATTTACAATGAAAACTCATTTAGGCCTATGAATTTAAAAAAACACGAGAAAACTCGCTCTCAAAATATCATAAAACGAAATCGAGGCATATTAATAAGACTGGGGGCCCCCTAAATAGCAGGACAACATTGGTTTTCGAAAAATGCTTTATAAAGCTGGGTAAGTTGATTCATTTTGCGCAGAAGTGAAATCACGAAATAAACACGAAATCGAGGTTTTTTTCAAGTAGAGGCTAAACGCCCTCCTAAATGTTCATCTAACATGAATTTTCGGAATCAGCCTCCCAAAATTGTATCCTGATTTGACAAATTTCCAAGACGGATGGCGCCTACCTAGCTCTCCTCCTGCTCTAATGGCTTTAAAAAAGTGGTTTGAATTTCGATGGTCAGGTCGTATGAAATGCTATCATCGTTATTCATTTGTCAAATTGTGCAAAACTTATGCTCTCTATGTGTAAATAATACTAACTAGGCATTAGAATTGCTATCAAATAGAATATAAAAGTTGCAATTAAAATGCATAGGTAAAAATCATTTAGGATTAATGTTTCCATTTATTTACATTTCTGTACAGAATCATGTTTATCAATTAAAAGAGTCACAAACAAAAACACATCTTCAACACACATTTAAAGGTCGACAGCTGGTAGGAAAATATCTATAAATCAATGTTGTTAGATTTCATAAATTGCTCTTTGGGCTAACCCAGGAGAGAGTCCTTAAAGAAGGATTTTCACGAGACAATCGTTTAAACAGTTATTGAGGCAAAATAGAGCGCCTGTACGTGCAATAATTAAGCACTAAAGTGGCATTTGGTTCCAATTGTACATATTACGTACGCAATGGCTTGGCTCAAAATGTACGTATTTTGAAATGCACAAACCGAATAAGCTAGCGCAATGCGATAGGATGGATATCGCTCAGCATACGATTCTCACTCGCAAACAGAGCGTCGCTGCATTCGAGCTGACCTCATTAACTCTGAGCAGACTTCTTCTTTCGGCTATATCTTCTGATCGTTGGCTAAAGCTGATTGGTTTGCGCTTACAGTCACCTGAGCAAGTAGACTTTGGTCGGACAACAAAAATCAGGGCAACAAAAAGCCATGGTGATTGATTTTACTGCTAACTGGAAACTAGAATACGCTTGAAGCGAGGAATTATCCTAATGGAAAACAAGCTTCATTGATGAGTGCACCTTAATTATTGCCCAAGTGTTAAGCGTGTGAAACCAGGGTTTTACAATAAAGCATGACCTACTTACGTGTCTTCTTGGCTTTTTGAGTTGCCAGTTTTCTTTGTCTGCTGGGCAGGGCCTCGAGTGCTCCGTACATAGACGCCTAGCCACTTCTTTATACCTTTCAAAGTATGGAACTCAGATGAAGAAACTCTAGAGAAAGGATTCTGCTCCGCCATGTCTAACGCTGAGATGGCTATTGCTCTTCCAACCTAAAGATCCAATAGGATAAATATTGTATAAATATGTTTTTTATCTCTTCTGAAAATAAATATCTCTTCTATAAAAAAACAAAACTTTGCGTTGGGAAATATTGCAACAAAAATAGACACGTCGTATGATGACGTCATCAGCAAAACAAAGTCATAGCTGCATTCATGACGGTTGGCAAGATTGTATTTAGTCTGGAAAACACACGTGAAAACATGTGTATCAAACTTGTTAGTGCGAATAGCCCTTGGTCGTTGTAGTTAAAGCTATTTTCATTTAGCCTCGTTTTTACATTGCATTGTTTTCTTTACGCCTCTTAGTATACGTTTCATTAGCCCATATTTGGTATTTTCGCTTTTGCGTGTTCATGCTTCTCCTCGTTCACTTCCGGTAGCTATAAAGGATTTGCACCCCACGTTTTGGGTGGTTATTGACTCGCCTTGCATTGCGCTGTGTTGGGGGCAGTTTTCTATCGTTTACATGCAGTTTTTGGCCTGGTAGTTTCTACATGCTGTGTTTGGCCGTCGTGCAAAATTTTTATGGCTACGAGGACTAATAGATTGTAAGTTGTATGTATTATCATGTAGTTATCTTTCACTTTATTTATAAGTAGCTCATACTTAACATTTTGTAGTCTAGTTGGGTTTCTACGTAGTTCTATCTTCTGCTAACATTAATTAACCTTTTATAATTATTCTTTTTCATTATATTGTAATATTAAGCTTCTTGTCGTATTCTCAACTTATAATCTTCATGTATGTTAATTGCTAACATTTTTCTTTAGCGAACCACGTTTGACACATCACCTCAGAACCTGTGTTGTTTCTTGCTGTGTTATCTGCTGGGGATTTAGGTGTGGTGCGTTCGATATACCAAAAGTAGTCAGAATTACAAATTGTGGATTACAAAACTATTTTAACAAAAGAGATAGGTGAAAGAAAAGGTATTCTACATACCTGAGCATATATATCAGGGGTGTACTTCGGGGGAAAGCTAAAATGGGGTGGTGGGGTCAATGTGCCATCATCATTGCAAGGGGGTGGCAGAAAATTCGTGTAGCGACCAGTGTTGTAATTGCACTCCAGTGTATAACTATGGTAAAGAAGAAAATCGCATGAAACACATTAACGGACCATCACATGTTTAATTTGGACTTATTCATAAACCAAGTTCATTCCCTTATGAGTATGGATCATCAGACTTCATCTACCCTTAATTACTTCTATAGTTAATTCAATCCTATGATGTATGTAGTTTTAAGAGCCTTTCGAAATAGCTACATCTTTAATCAAAGCCGAGTGGCATTTAAAGGTTTTAAATTGAATGCCGGTAAACGAAGAGATCATCTGAAGCTGATAAACAACAGGTTAGACAGGACATTATTTATATAACGTACATAATACTGATGCTGAGCGAGAAAGGAGGTTAGCCTCACCTTTGGATGAGTCCAATTTCCTTGTACACCGCCACTCTACCACTTCCTTCCTTCGACATCCCGTCTCTTTTATCTCTATGCAGCATATTCTTTAAACTGAAATTGCAGGCCTCAAAGTCAAAATTTGCCGAGTTCAGTGACATCAGCTTTGGTAAAAGCAATGCCTCAACTTGATCTTCAATTTTATCAAAATAGTTGGCGTATATAAAACAGCCTCTTTTTGACGCGTGTCCGTGCAGATCGATGTAATACGCAATGTTTGAGCTACTTTCTTCTGTATTGTTTTTAATTGCGGTGCGAGACCCAGAAGTATTTCGTGGGAAATTCATTGTCTTATCGCCATATACTGGCTTATCACCATACTCTAAATTCGATGCCCAGGGAATTCTGCATTCCTGTTTCCCAATATCTCTATTGCGCACTGCTGAACCGCTGCTAATAATGCCAAAACCGGGTTGCGTTGCTTTCCCTTTTATTAGACATTCATCATTGCTTTGGGTGAAGGCTCCCTCGAACAAGGAATTTTGGCATGTTGCACCATCACGGTCCAATTCTGTTGTCTTCAAAAGAGAACCTAAACCCTCATCCACTAAATTTACGTTTCCAGCGTTTTCTGGTATTGATGCGGCTTTGGGACAGTCTATGCGTTCGCCTATGTCACTGGGTACCATGGCATGACCATCGCTTGCCCTTCTGCCAAGTGAAAAGCAAGTATTGGCAACAACAAAAGGTACCGTACCATCATTGACACTTGCAGGACGACACTGACTGGCAGTTTTATCAACGGCACCTAGAGGTCTTACGAAGCTTTGCCAATCATCAATGCAACCCTTTGTCTCTGCTGTATTGATGGCAGAAGTTACATATGTACTTTTCTCAAAACTTTCATCATTGTCCAAAGCTAGTTTTTGCTCAAATAACGATGCAAAGGAATTATCTGGGACAAAGTTATCAATGTATTTTGCTTCTCTTTGGTTATTCGTTTCACTTTCCCCTTGGCAGTCATCAATTGCAGCTGCAATATCGTTAAAGGGTTGCCCATTAGCTTCACCTACACTACATGGTCTCAGATCAAACTGCACCTTTCTGACCTCGCCATCAATATCGCAATTATCGCTGCCAGATAAACGAAAATCATCATTCGAGATGTACGGTGGTGCCTCATTGTCTTGATTAGGTAGACCAGGCGTATTGAAACACGCGTTTACACCTTCCACAAAATTGTTAGTCCCAGAATCAGCTCCGGTTGGCTCAGCCTGTACCGTGTCATTCTTCTGGTGGTGATATAGGATTAGCTTTTTCACAGCGAATATGGAGGGATGGAGATTTGGATCTGGATCGGAATATACCCGGTTGAGGTTCATGCCTCTCGTATCAGTTCGATAAAAACCGTTGTATACTCCGTCCGGGTTCAACATGGGCACTAATTTGAAAACAAATAGCTGCCTAAGGGCCATGGCACGAATATCATCTTTTCTGAGAATGAACTCGAGAAAGCCATTGAAAACAAACGATGCAGGAGTTTCACCTGGATGAACTCGTGAAGAAACAAAGAAAACCTACAAAAAAGAACGCTTTTTTCATCTCTCAAAAAGTAGAAGAAACAAGAAGGCTTCTGCTGTGATTAAACAGCATCATATCAGCTAAAAGCTACAGAGTAATCCAACATCTCAGCTACACTGATATCACTATCTTGCCCAATGAAAGGGGGGAGCAATGGCCCATGGGTCCGTAAGCAAAAAGGGGCCCGCTGCTTATTGAAGTATCTCATTTAAAGTGTGACTCTAAATAACATCGTAATAATAAATTAAATTTGTATTTAGAAAGTTTGACAATGCTTTATGAATATTAATTAAAAGTAAAAACAGAATGTTTATGCATTTTAAATTCATACTAAACGCATTTAAGGTTTATGTCTTTGGGTAGGAGGGGGCCCAAGGATCTGCCTGCTAGGAGGGGGCCCAAGCATTTTGCCTGCCCCTGGACCCGGCGTGGCCCAAGGGCCGCCCTAACCACAATCCACCCTTTGAATATTTTTAAGATATCACTACTCATCTCCAGCTTTCTCAGAATTTCCTACATCCCTGAATTTATCGAAGTCTCTCGAATCATCAAATATGCAAATCACTATTTGTTACATCGTATTTCTTTTATAACTATTTGGTGTCAGTCTTTAATAGCATTACCTTTTTCCCATTAAACTTGTGTGCACGCTCAGTGGATGCCTCAGGAAATAGACCATTTATCATATCTTCTCTTTCCTTAGTTACTCCTTTGCACGAGCTTATCGTTAACAAATCTATTCTTCTTTTCTCCAGTGACCAGCACAGCAATTCCTTGTGGAAGTAGATCATCCTCTCCAGCGGCTCAACATAACTTCTCGTCATGTGCTGGTCCTGTAATTCACTTAAAGCTGTTTGGCACTCCTTGTATGAAAATGGATAGCAAAATGCAAAGAAGACACTGGCAGCCCTTGTCTCTGGAAATCTGTATGTAAACGTCATGACAAAGTTGCCGTCCACCATCTGCGGATGAGGTAAGAAATTATGCGATCTACCTAAGATTGTATTTAGGTATATAATTATGATTACTTTCAGCCGAACACCATCCATTCTAACAATCTTTTGGTGTTACAAAACTTGAAAATGGCTTTGAAAAAGCAAACATTTGAATAAACTAAAGCTTTTCGTCTGACACTCTTCAGAGTTTAGAATGTCAGAACATAGATCGAAAACACTACTTTAGGTAATATATTACCCCAGTTGTGGATCGAAATAGGCCAGTCAGAAATGCGAGCACATGACTGTTGAGGTTGCCCAATCAGTGCCGCTTGCCTATAGAGAAAGTTACCAATGGATTCCTAAGGTGAAAACGAACTCCTTTTACCTACACAATAGCGGTTTTTTTGACCACTCAGATTTTCTTTTGCATAGAGAACCCCCCAACATCGAAAAAATTGTTGGGCGAAATGTTGGGTGAAATGTTGGATCGTTTGACCAGGTCTTAAGACCCACAGGTTCACAATGTTCACAAATGTATGGCCTCCCTAAAATACATTAGCCGAATGTTCCACTTAGGCCAATCTTGTTTACGATTGGCTCAGCAAAACATGAAATGGCCAAGTTGCTTTCTAAAGTTTTGGACCCTGTTTTTAAAAAATATTCAAAACATTGTATCAAGGATTATTTTACGTTCGCTGAGTTCACAAAACTTGAACATCAAAAACGAAACATCTTTCATGTGTTCTTTCGACATTAGTAGTCTTTTCACAAATGTCCCTTTGAGTGAGACCATCAAAATATGTGCCAATGCTTTGTACCGGAGCGAGCTTAATTGCCCACCACCACCATTCTATGTTCTGATGTTTTAAACTCTGAAGAGTGTCAGACGAAAAGCTTTAGTTTACTCAAATGTTTGCTTTTTTTAAAGCCACCATCCATTCGCCTCAATAAAACTTAATAATAAAATTAAGAAATGTTACCTTCCTCCAATTCGTTACACATTTTCTGATGAGCCTCGTTATGTAAGAGCAATATATTATTGCTAAATCTATTTTCAAGATTTGGCAATCACAGGTCACTTCCTTCTACAGTTCATAGATAGTGTATCATTGATTGCATTGTTCCTGCATTCTGCTAACATTAACGAATCTAACAATTTTGTTTCAATATTTTATCACAGTTTGAAATTCTAACACCTAGAAGTTTATGAATAATCTGATCATTTTAGCTTTTAGTGGTAGTTTGTCTCATCTACATTCTGTAGCATTTCACCCTTAAAACTGCAAAACCATTAGAAATCCCCTATGTCAAACAAAAAACACCATAGCTCATAAACAACCAAGAAACAAGTTCTAGGTTTATTTCTCTAGTCTTTTGCCTAATGAAACATTAAATATATTGCCCTAGACTTTTATGCAATTTGTTTAACATAAATGTTGCCATAGCCCAAAGGCAGAGACAGGCAACTTGGCTTCAATTACCTTTCATCTATAGACTTAGAAGCACACATACCTGATAAGTGACTCTGCCCTTCAGTCGTTCCCAAGGACCTTCTTTCACACTGCTGCATACACGGACAACTGGGGCCATGCCTTGGCTGTACAATCTGCATTGCTTGTTCATGTTCATTACATTAATCTTGACTGTTTTTCCACTTGGCAGCGACCTAACACCAAAATGAAACCATGTGCGATTCCCATTTTCAAAGGTAGTATTCATGCAATCCGGCTTTGTCCACACATTATATTCGAGATCATAAAATGATCTTTTCAGCGCATCTTCACCTTGTAGTGTTGATTGTTGCTCCTCCTCTATCAATTCAACTCTTGCCAAATTGCCAGAGTCAAAATTTGAGAAAAAGAGTAATGGTCCACACTTGACCTCCATTTCAAATCACTTTGGTGCTGATAGCAACTTGATGAAAATATTTGCCCCACCCTGATCTGACTCTTGGTTGATTCTGATTCTGGCCATATCCTTTCACAAGGCCAACTCCATTTTTCTAGAATTGTTAGTCTTGAGCTAATTTTAAAACATAATAATTTGTTTTACCATAGTGATTGGAGTGAAATGATACTTTATATTAAATTTCTCCTGTTCAAGGGTATGGGTATATTTTTAGAAGCACTGAATCGTTTAAACAATAGGCAGTTAACATAAATTACAGGTAAAACAGGGGCAAAAGGTTATCCAGCTTTGAATCAGACATAACTTTCAATATGAAAAATAAATATAGAATCCTATTGATGGTCATTGAAAATTTTATAAACAATTTATCAAATGATCAAATTAGAAGAAAACAAAGGCCATTGTGAATGAGCAACTAAGGTGCAATGTTTGCCAGAGTATACGATTATAAGATAACTGATATATATATATACCACAGTCATACCCCTAAACTAAGATACATTCCCATTGAAAAATGGCCTTTGCAACCCACAAAAACAATGATTTTTTCTCACAAAAAGGGTGTATCTCACACTTTAAGTTTGTAGTCATAAGATAATAATCTTATATGCTGTTTTTATGTGTTGGTATTTCAAATTGCATTCTTCAGTATTTTGAAATATGTTTTGAAAGTTCAACTGCTACAAAAATTGTTTTATGTTACAAGTGTTGCACTTCTTCTGCACAGCAAAAATCGTCTATGTATTGGGGGTACAGCAAGCCCCATATCCCTCAGGTGACATCCTTGAAAATATTTAAATTATGAGTACAGGTCCCTACCCTTTTAATTCATTGCAGACACAAAAATTGCCAACCTCAACAAGCCATAAGACAGAGAAAATTTACTGACTTTTAGAAATCTCTAAGATATGGCTTTGGTAGTGAAAGAAATGAATTATTCACCAGCTCTTTGCATTGAATTAACTTGACCTTTGTAGGCAACAAAAAGTGTACACAGATATCTATTATCTTGATATAAAACAGATCATAAATAGAATCTTATGAAGGCCATCATGAAAAAAGTCTATGACTTACAGGCTCAAAATTACACTTTGCAATACACAAGGAAACACATATTTGAAACAAATTATTTTACCTTTTAGATTACCAAAAAGCATTTTCTCAGTTTATTCAATTGGCTTGCTGTGGTCTCTGGTAAAATAGATAAAATATAACTATTCAGCAAAATTAACTGGAAATTTATATATATATATATATATATTGAAATATTATTAAAATATGAAAGCAACATTTCTTCGATTAAGGCAAAATTTTACTTGGTTTCATTAATTATCAGATCAAATATGTCTATCCAATACCCTAGTCCTGATATTTTCATCAAAATCCAAAAATTTTCGAAATTGAAAATTAATGCCAACTTTGATAATTAACATATAAACAAAATAAACAAAATAAACAAATTAAAATAAACAACATTTCTGAGTACAGCTGTTATGTCACATTGGCCTACAATTTTTATCAGTCAAGAACTTACTGTTTCTAGTTTCATAATAACATGCTTGCTCAAGTAGACAACAACAATTTTTTTCAGCATGGTAAACACAAAACAAAAATAACTGGCTTAACTGCCCTGGAAATACTCTAATATTAATGCATAGCTAGCAGTCGTCGTTTCTTGCTTCGTAGGCCGTCTTTTTCATACTACTGCCTACTTCTGCTTATGAATTTTGAGCAAACGTTGGAAAGACTCAAAAATCGATTTATTCACGCCGTTGTTGCTTGTTTCGAAACACCCATCCCCTTATCTTAGCAATCAGTTTTTTATAAATTGGCCGCTACGGTAAGTTCTGCTCTGGTTTGGTCTAAACAATCTTCGCCGACACCACACCACAGCAAGGCGACAACATCATCTAAAAATCCCATTTCGAAGTTGAGGAATCACCAAGCTAAGCACAACTTTGTTATTTTGCTATTCTTCATTCAACATGAGTTTAGCATAAAAAGCTCCCACATTCCAGTTCTTTACCGGAGCTGGGAGACACAAACTTACGAGTAAAGATCAACCAGAAGCTTCCCAATTTTGCCGCCATATCTATCAGCCTGAAAACCACTTGTTGTTGCTGTTGCCTTCCTGTAACCATGACATCATCATCATATCATTATCATATCATCATGTATTCGTTTCCCATGTCCAGCATGTTGCCAGGTCGGGGGCTAGATCATTTTCTTCCAACGTTCTCTGTCCAGTTCATCCACTTCTCTTATTCCTAGTACTTCCATGTCCTTCTTGATGTTGTCCACCCATCTTCTTACCGGTCTTCCTCTTGGCCTTCTTCTTTCCACCCTCTAGGTCCATAGTTCTCTTCACCTCATTCTCAAATCGGATTCCCATTTTATGTCCAAACCATCTCAAACTTGATCTTCTTATTACTGTTGTTATAATCTCCACTTATTCTGTAAATATCGTAAAAACTTTTTTTGATTTCGCGGCAGTTTTTCAAAAATGTTTCAAAATATCACTCTTTTAGATATCAATCAGCCAATTTTCCCTTTTTGTGGGTGTTTTGTCAAATTCTTGAATTTGGATTGGTCAATTGTCCAGAATTTTCTTCCATTGCTTAATGAACGATGTTTGTTCTTCCTGTTACATCAAAGTATCAGAAAGAAATCGAGAAGAATGTGCATCAGTAAAACATTTGCACGATCAATCATCAATGCGAAAAATGACACGAAATTGTAACTGACTGGAAAATCTGATCAATGATCAGCTTTTTGAAAAAATTAATTGAATGCTTTTGTTTTCTTTGAGTTTGGGACCACGATAAAGCAATGAAGATATAACGAAAATGAGATGGATTATTCGTGCAAAAAATTAAAACCTAGCTATTTTGGAGTACTGAGCTTGGGTTGGACGGAAGCCTATTCCATCCTGTTTTACAATCCTGTTTTACACGGGAAATGGATGACGTTTGACTCGATGTTATATTCTTGGCTTGTGTCTGATCTGCGACACGGCAAACATGTTTACTGATAGCCAACGTGAAGATCTACGGAGGAGAGATTGTTTGGCTCTCTTTCATAGCCAGCGAAGTGACCACATACAACCAAGTTAAAACACATAAACAACAATAATAGAATGAATTTGCTTTACAGAAACACTACTCATTATCCATTGCCATTCAAGCTCAGGCTACATAGTAATCAAATTACTTGATGCCTCCTATTCAATACCAAGCTATACTGTGTATCATGTACCCAGCTTTCTTGCACATTTGAATTGGCAGTGCAGTACTGCTTAATAATATAAGGCAGAAAACACAGAACATTATCAGAGCATTTCTCATTAACTTTATTCAAATAGATACAACACGAAAATTTCAGAACTGCAAATTATCTGTAAATGTTAATCTCGATTGCGGCTCAATGTTAATGTTCATCAGAAAACTACTTTAAATCAATATCATTCTCAATGTTAATGATAATATTACTCACAAAATTGTCCGTTTTTTAAACAACAATAAATTAATGACTTCTTTGACATTGAAAATCTCAAAATTCCGCTTCACAACCTTAGAGGTCTTTTAGCTTGTAATTTGGGCTACAAGAAAGCGACAACATATTTGAAGTAATGAATATTGGTAACAAAAAATGAGAAAAATACAGTGGTTTACAAATATGACTTTTCAGAGACTTGCCTCTCTTAAGTATAAATACACTTTTACATAATCATATTAAATGAAAGCATCGAACTTAATGAACGTCACTTGATATCTAATGCGATTATCTAGAACGTCACTTGATATCTAATGCGATTATCTAGATATCTAGGGAAAAGGATTAACACTGGTGAACGCTGGTGTATAATTTTTATACCAATCAGCCAATCAGCCAATCAGCATCTTCAGAAGACAACACTATGTACATGCATATATGTTTTATAAATCAAAATGTTGGTTTAAACAGAAAATTGGAAGCTGCTGCTCTACCAGGAATGTTGCTAAAAAATTATTTGAACAGTTTTTGGCGGTACAAAACTTGAAAATGGCTTTGAAAAAAGCAAACATTTTATAACATATTGGCTAAAAGCTTAATAATGGTCATATCTAAACTACTGCGAGGGCATATCTAAACTGCGGAGGAAACGATAGATCGTCTAAGGTCTGAAAGAACACGAAAGAAAGTATTTGCCAATCTGTATCTCTGTGCAATGTAGAATTATAGGTTTAAGGATTATAGATTCCGTGGTTAATTGGAAAATTAATTTAGTTATCGGCCAAGGCCATAGTGGTAAGGAGGGATATTCATTTTGATGGTAGACGTACTTAATACATATGAAAGGTTTTACATTCATTCCTCTGCCAGATCCATTTCAACCATTGTCTAAAATGTATGAAAAAAAGAGGATCGAAACACGGTCCGAAACACGGTCCGAAACACGGTCCGAAACACGGATCGAAACATTGACTAAGGTCGTTTTGAATATATTAAGAACATGAAGCCTTCAAGAGCCTGACAAAAAAGATTAGAAAGAAGAAGAAAGAATTATGAGATACGCTAATTGTCATTGCTTAGTCAATATCATATAACGCATCAGACCAAAATTGATGCTAAGGCTGATTTTTGTAAATAGATGAAACTTCCTTTGTCCTAAATCAAGACGAGGCATCAATTTCTGGCTATCCAAGCAACCTTAAGTGTCTTTTAATAGTCTTTATAGAATTTTTTATCAAACAAACTGGCATGCATCACTTGACGACGTAAAAGAATATGACTAACAGCCACTCACATTGTCACTGTGATATCTTTCTTCTAATAGTATCATTCGCTTTGAGAGCAATGACACCATATTCTCAAGATTTTCTAGCCTAGAAAATAAAAGATAAAACAAAGTTTGTAAAGATTTCTTCTATACTGTGACGTTTTGAGAACTGTTTCATGTTCAATTGCAGAAAAGTTTTAGAAGCGTTTTTAAGTTTTTTATTAATAGATTTTCCTGTTATATAAAATAACATGCGTGTGAAACCTTGATAAATAAGTAAATAAGCAAAGTGCATTTATAGCAATTAAGAACAGAAAACTATTACGCTAGATAAAATCAAAGACATATATTTTTTAAAAGCAAAGAAACATAATTGAAGACGCATGTAAAAAATATTAGAGCCTACTTCTAGAAAGATAGTTCGCTTCTAGCCACTCAGCTTGGTAGTCATACCCACCTTTGAGTATATTTGTGCCGTCCTCATCTTTTATACATGAAGCAGAAAGTTTTATGATACAGAGCTAAACAGGGGCGGCCACAGAATAAAAGTTGACGGTCGCACATTAACACTACCCAGCAGGCGGTCTAGAGGGCCTTCCTAATGGTCAAGGGCGGAACAATGCTGGGGGTCCAGCCCTCCGGAACCAGAGCAACTAGGTCTGATTTTAAAGGCAAAAGCCCTAGAGCTCACAATTTATGTTATTCCAACCATTATAAATAAAAGGAATAATTTCACCTCTTTTCAAAAAAGTCATCTTGATTTTTGGTCTAGAATATTTTTTTCATGTCTTGTATGCGTTTACTTTTTAACTGCGATTTGTCCCGCTAAGCAAGACTGATTCATTTTGATCAATGAAACGCCTTGATGGACGCCCTTCTTTTTAGGAGCGGAAGTTGCTTCACAAACGAGGTGCGCAGGCCTTGTAGCAGTTTTGAGGGTGGCGACGGAACCGGCCCCCTGAAATGTTTAAGAAGATAAATCTGTATGAATCGCAAAACCAACGTTATGATTTCACCTGTTCAGCTGCATCCTTGAAGCCTTGATGCTTTCTTTCTGCAAAATAAGATTAACAAAGATTTTATGATTTCAAATGACTCATAACAACTATAACAAAATCACATATCAAATATGATTTGTAAGTTTGTAGCAACTACTCTTTGTGATATCATGGCAGAAGATATACGGCGATGAATTCGTAGTTGTCACCAATTATATTAAGCTCCAGTCAAAAAAAAGGATATGACAGCTAGAAATATTGAAAAGAAAGAGCTTCAAAAACCTTTAGAAGATTGTTCAGAAGATTTTACTTTTGCCTCAGAGAACCTTTTCATTACGACGTTATCTTGAATTTTCATTAATCACATTGGGTGTTTCAAATGAACGGTTTAGTTTTGCCTTAATATTTACACGAAGGCGGTTGAACACTATTCGAGCTCAAGAATACCAAAACATTTACCAGAAATTTGTCTTGCCGCTTTTTCTGTTTTTCTAGTTCCTTTCTCATTAATTTGAACTCAGTTGTCAGCATGGAGTCGATTTCTTGAGCATACCTCTTTCTAGAAATATGAAAAAAAAACAGCTAAAAATTGCGGAGGCGTAATTTTGCGAAATAAACAACCCAGTGTAAGTACAATGAACCCAGTGTAAGTACAATGAACCCAGTGTAAGTACAATGAACCCTTTTAGACTTCAAAAGGAAAAAGGCAAAAAATTTTGAGAAACCTTTGCTCCTGCCGTTTTGAAAGTAGCGATGTAATATTCTCTGATCTTTCGAATTGTGGATGCTTTAAACAGAAAGACAAAATTAGAATCCTGGCGGGAAAAAGGTGCACTTAGGTGCACAGTGTTTGAGGACTCTGATCACGGTTAAGACACATTCCTTGTCAAGACAGCACGCGTTTTGCTTTCATCATATATTCAGAACACAATGAAAGCGCCTAGAAATGCTACATAATTAACCTTGTTATAATTAATATTGGATTGCACAAGATTCAATTTTACAACCTTTACATAAAGCGTGTATAAAGTATAAGGAAGGTTTTCCCTACCGAAGGATTAAAAAGGGCTAACGTTGGAAATTCTCCTGCCTTGAAATTTTCCAGAAGCAATTTTTTGGCATAGCAAGATATTTCAAACTTCCTTGTAGAAATTTTTGAATTAAGATTCGAATCAAGGTCGAGAAATTTACCCTACACAGGCATCTTCAGAATGCTAGAGCTCGTTGTATTGATTTTTTGAAAGAACAAAGCTGGGAATTTCATTAGGAATTGAACCGTGATCAGCAAATGAGGGAGAAAAGTTTAATCGAACTAAATTATTAGGTTCAGTCTCCTGTAAGTTTTTTCAATTTAAAACCCTAATGTGAAATCTACAATTAGAACGCAAACATGTGGAAACTAAAATGATGGTGGTAAATTCTAACCTAAACTCAAACATGTCGTACAATGACTTTTGGAGTATAATCAATAACGAGGCTATAAATTGAATTGGGGTATTCCTACCTGGAATACAGTTTTCATTTCATCACGAAGCGATCCAAGGAAACTGTTGGCATTATGCCTAAAAGTAAAGCACACTGTTGAACTGTTTTTCATATTTTACTTGTTTGCCTATACAATATCAACTTGCAGAAGTACCAGTGTATTCGACTTGTGCAAGTTATTGTTGAAAATATATAGGATTATATTGTTTTGTGGATGATCTACGACTCTACAAAAACCATAAGAGGTAGCGCACATGATTGTTTACACAATAGAAATTTTCATATATACACAATTAATGCAAGCTTTCGACACCTGCAAATTTGTCCCAGGTTTTTGGTAGTTTCAAAGATCGTTTGATTAACAATTTACTTTCCCCAACTGCAGGTCCAGCAGAAGCATTTTAGTCCGTTCTAACCTTGCCAGTAAAACCTCAAAACAGTCTTCTGCTACAACTCCCACGAATTTCCGAAGTTAAAAATCTCAAGCATCTTAAACTTAGTCATTGTCTTCTTGGTCACAGTCTCTACTGCAGACCAAAATTAAATACAGGATGTATTTCCCATAAATCTATTTAAGTATTGACTTTCAAAAAGAGCGGGTCATTGTTTAGCATAATTGAAACTATTACTTTTTGGCTTTTGATGCAAACGTGCAATACAGGCCTAAAACTAGTTGCATGACATCTTTTATCAAATTCTTGAACTCTGAATAAAGGAAGGAGAATTTGAACCACTCAGCCAAAAAAAGATTTAGAGCCTATGCTAAGGGGCGTTGTTTTTACTTTTCAGAACTAAGCAGGGTCAAAATGGGGTGCAACCATTAAATATAGGATTCACCGTACGCAAGACTAGAATGAGCAACGGAATCGTAGCTTAAACAGCTGGATCAGGCTGCGCAGTTCAAATGCGGTTGAGAGTCGTGCGGGGCCACAGCCTTAGTAGAGTGTCTGGGTCATAGGTTCTGCTTGCTTGATGCGTCTGTTATTCGGGCAGAGAGTCCTTCTTTTTGTGAATGTAGCAAAAACCTCACCTCGATTGGATTAGAGCATGCCCAGTAGAAGGTGTTGACTCAAGTTTCCAATGACTCGTTTCTTCCTCATCATTTGAAGAGCTTCCTTCATCACTCAAGTCATCTACACCATTTACGTCACTGCCATCGCTTTCACCGATTTCTAAATGAAAAATGCAGAGCTTATAGATTAAGTTAAAGCTATCAATTTTTAAAATGCTTCAATGACATTTAATTTCGACTATTGTTCCGCAGATAGTTAGTGTCTTTCTTCCAGTACTTGAAACTATTTATCCTTGCAAGAATGCTCAATTCTGACCAGCTTCTTACAACTTGTCGTTAAAAATAACATTCTTTTGATTTCATTTTTATTGTATAGAACAGGACGGTTAAAAGTTGCTACTCCGAGTTTCACGCTTATGCGATCATCAGGCACCTGTCAGTCACATTTAATACTTATTTCAATCAAAATAAATAGACATGAACCGGGTTGAAATCGTTTTCTTTTTGCTTCCAGCTTTTTGGTCCTTTCCTTTGTCACTGTTGGCTTCTCTGGTTTCTTTGTCAGACTGTCTTTTTTCATTTTGTCTATATAAAAAAGAAATAATTCTTTAAACTGCTTCTTGTTTACAGATGGTATGTGAAAAAGGGATAAGCACGACCTAAGGCTTAACGTTATAAGAGAATGGACAGCAAGCAAAGTTATGTAGCACTCATAAACAGGCGCAGTTACGAGGCACTGAACAGCTTACGTAATAGCCAGGCTGTTACAAGGACGTAAGAACGAGGTATACAGACGCAGTCACGAAGCACTTAATAGGAGGAACTGAACAGCCAAAGCAGTTACGAGGCACTGATCAGTCAATGCTGTTAAGAGTCAACCTAACAGTTAATTATACTGTATATTACTTATCAATTTGGCTTTAACAGCTATTTACGGAGTGTGATGAAAACAACGATTTAATAATCAGCAAACTGACCAGGAACCATTAGTACAGTTTTGGAACCATCTTCACCTAGATATGGATTTTATCAACCATCGAATGCGCACCGTTTTTCACTTTAAAGCAATGCCTAGCCAAAATACGTTACTAAATTTCTCAATAACGTCTTATAAACAGCCTGACATTCATTACAATGAATGCAACACTAGCAGGCAGAGAGCGGCAATTGTATTTACCTGACCACTGCTTGTGTTGAATTCCCTGGTTTTTTCCAATGTTACATTTCAATCGGAAATTCTTTACCACCTGGCAAATGACAATTCACACATTATATCTTATAAACATAGATAAATATCTTTACTTGGTTGTAAAGGCCAACCTCCACCTCAGATATGCTGTTGGCTTTTCTCGTATATCATACAAATTTTGCTTCCGTTTAATAAAGACTCGTTTAGCTAATGCCATAGTAACATTTTTAAAGAAAGAACACTGAAAATGTCGACGCAATAAACTAAAAGGATTTATTACCAGTCAGGATTTTGAGTTGCATGTGTTTGCCAAGAAATGGCTTATCAAATGATAACAATCATGGATTAACTACGGTAGCTGCATCTTCTTAGAATAGCAGTAAGAGAGAAACAGTTTTCTCCTTTCAAACATGCAAGTCCTACCTTTGGCGTGCTATAATTGCATTCGAAATCTTCATCTTTGGCCATTGAATCATCACTTTCTCTTGCCTTTGATGCTGCTATTTTTGCATTTGCCGAGTCCAATATGCGCTGAAAAACATCTTACAAATTTACACTTTTTGGTTCAAAAATATTAAGCAAGAAAAGTTTTTGTTTTTCAGTTCACATGGACAAATTGGGTGCTGTTACAGTCAGATCGAGAAGTTAAAGAACGTACCTTAGAAACGGAGGCAAATGATTTGAGTGCATTAGCAAATTCGCCCTTTCTCACTGTTTGTCCAGCTTCTTCTTCCCTTGCTTTGGGCAGCAAATCTTTAGCGGCGATTCCATTTGATAAGTTTGTTACTTCTTCAGATTCTGTCGAAATCCTTTTAAACCCAGGTTTTTTAATTCTCGCCTTTGCTCCCGAATCTTTGATTCTGGGTTTGTCAGCTAAAGTGCATTTGGCGGCTAGAATTCGTTCATCAACCTCGTCTAAATCAAAATACATAAAGAACAAATGTTTGAGGCTAGATCTTAATGCTTAACGTAAATGGCGCAGTCGCCCAAATTGTCCAAATTAAGCAATTTCCAATTCCTTCGTTTCATCTTCACTGAGTTTTCATGAATTTGTTACGTGAAATTTGTCATACTTTTGGTAAACAACTTAAAAGTTTCTTTCCATTAAAAGTGGAAGCGACAACAGGAAAGTAAACACGATTTGATATTTTGTAGTTATCAGGAAATGGCCACTGGAAACTTTCAGAGTTATAAAAGCACTCTGTCAGACAACGAACAGAAAAGTCAATGCTTTCTCACGTGTGGCCCCTCATCTGAACTATGAAAAGAGTAAGATCCTATATAATACATTTATAATGTCAAATTTTAATTATTGGCCCTTGATTTGGATGTATCACGGGAAAACTTAAAGTATTCGGGTAGATCGAATCCAAAAAAGGGCACTACGAATTTTGCATAATGACTTCAATATGCCATTTGAAGAACTCCTTGAAAGGACGGAAGAACGAAAAGTCCACACAAAGAATTTGCAAAAATTAATGCTCCAAATATTTAATTGTCTATCAGAAGAAAACCCACCATTCATGTGGAAATTCTTCGAAAAGAAAAACATAAAATATGAATTACGAACAAAAAATGTATTGCAAATACCGAATATGAAAACAAACACATTTGGAGCTAATTTTCTTATATCTAGGGGCAGGGCCGCCGATAGGCGTCCTGGGCCCTAGGGCAAAGTCCTGGCTAGGGCCCTAGAGTTGGATACAAAAAAATTTCGAGACCACGCCCTTTTTGAAATCGGAAACGCCCATTATTTCCAAACGTTTGCGCACGTTATAGAATATGGTTAAAATATCATAAAATGTAATAAAAAGCATTAATTCTAAAGGTAAGCGATTTAAATACGCTCTAACACCACCCTTTTAGCTGATTAAAGAGGACTTCAAAATGTGTTCCTTCAATTCTGACTCTTTTTTTCTGGTGAGCCACGCAATATTAAAATTTAAAATGAAAGAAAACTTTTATTCTACGCACTTTTATTTAAAAAATCCCATGGAACTACGCTTTTCAGTTCTTTCGTCTTTCAAAAGTTAATTTTTCTTGCTTTTCAGTTGCAAACTGATCAATGATATTGTCGTAATCAATTTGTCTTGCTAGTTCGTGCTCGATCGAAAGAGTCATGAGGCTTGATAGTCGGTCTTGAGTCATTGTTGAACGTAAGCGGTTCTTCATTAATGCTAGTTTGCTGAAAGGGGCCCCAAAAGTATAATATAGCTTTATGCAACGAGTCTAAATGCAAACATAACTCACTTGAACGGGCCATAGATTAAAACAAGATTATATGGGTTACCTAATTTTTTATCAGGGCTCCCTTCCAATAAGTACGATTTTGCAAAACTCAGGGAAACTCAGCTTAAAAGACGAATCCGTAAAATATGTGATCTAAGGTTTATTCAACTTTTTCGGGGCCCCAGACCCAATAAATAAAGCTGATAGGCTTTAAATTCAAACAAGACTCAGTGTACGGACCCAATGAAATTACTGCCATCATTTTCGACATTAACAAATATATCTTTGAATGCATTTTCAGTTTCTCAAAAAAAGACATTTTAAAAAATTTTCAGAATAATTTTGGGGCCCCTTTCAGGCCGAGGCCCTGGGGCAAACTGCCCCCCCCCCCCCCCCCCCCCCCTCTCTGTGCCACTGTCTAGGGGTGCTCTCCTTTGGAACATGCTACCCGATGCCATAAAAATTGCTAGCTCGACCGCAATATTTAAAAGAAAGATTAAACAATGGAATGGGGACAAATGTAACTGTCAAATATGCAAACAACCAAAATGTGGGTATGGTGAGATCCTAAAAAAGTTGTTTAAAAAAAATTGCTAAAATTTCTCTCTTCTGATTATATCTTAATTTTGTGATTTTGTAGAAATGTAAATAGTGGTATGAATTTAGCTTTTTAGGCTATGTATGGCACCAACTGTAAATAATTTTATAACAATAATAAAAATAAGTCTTCGGAATTGTATTACAGTTGCTAAACAATTATTAAAAGTAAATAATAAAAAGAGTCAATTCCATCTATCTAGTAAAAGCAAAATAGCGGTTGTAATCTAGTAAGGGTCACTCACTAACATATATCAATGCAGCATGCAGTAGCTATGCAGAAGAGGATCTATAACATACCTGGTTGGCAAAGGATTTTTTTGGCGGAACTGACAGTTCTTTCGTCAGGATGGCTTTCTTGATTTAGGAGAGAAAGAGTTGGTATGGCTACCCTGTTGAAGCTTGCTTCTGAATCACTCGAGGACACCGGGTTCCTTATTTCCTATTGACAGATATTCAATTGGTTTTACAGTGAAGTTGCAGCAAGTATAAAATAATGGTGTGTATCAAGAGTTTTCAGACAGATATTCAATTGGTCCATATTTGTAAAGACAATTATGCAGCGCGATCAGTCATTAAGACTGACACGGGCAAGCCGAAAGCTGTAGTTAGGCCTTGCTCACAAAATAATTAATGTAACCATTGAGATTGAACAAAGCAACTTTCGCTTGACTACCTCATGGCCAGAGAGAGCTGCAATATAAGAAAAACTTTCGGCATAATTTATCTGAGCTACTCTACACAATGTTGTTAACAGCAAATCTCCCTCACCTTGTCCTTAGAACTTACTTACAAATGGCTATGTAACACTGTACACATAATCAATATTATCACTCACGCACACAATAAGAAGAAAAAATTGGTTGTAGAGCCAACAGTTAGTACTTAGATAAACTAAAATGCTGTTATATTCATTAGTGAAGTAGCGAATAAAACCTCTCGTCTTCGAATCCCGCTGATGATTTTTTTGCTACATTTTGAGCGATGTTTGGCGTACGTTTGCTTGATTCGCTTTCTTTTAGGCTTTCTCGGGTCTGTGAAGCTGGATCCGAGGTCTCTCTCAATAATCTACAAATTTGATAGAGTTATACCTTTCAACGGTTTCATAAACAAATTGTGATAGATAATGATCTATTTTATGCGCAGAACCAGAAAGTTTTGAAACTGTAGGAAGGAATATGTCAAGGACAAAACATTTCATAGATGAAAAGAAAATACAAACTTAATTAAACGGAACATAGCTGAAGTTTATATACCGAAACAATTTTATTTACTAGGAGAGAGTGCATACACCTAATTACTTTAAAAATCAACTGGATCATGATGGATACATCACCTTTGGTTCAACTGTTTGCCCAAAGGCTTCGCTGTCATTCTAAAAAAGATTGCATCATGTAAATGAAAGGACCAATCAAACAGAAAAATATTTACTGTGAAAGAGCGAAGAACCAACGAGACGAGATTTCAAATGCAAATGAAATCAAGTTAAAACAAAAAACACTTATTCATTACGCAAGCAACATTTATCTCATAATGATGTGAGCTAGAGATAGTCTGAAATGATTCCATATACCGCCAATCTGTACAGCCACTAGACAAAGCATACTTAGTATCTGCACAGGCAATTTGTGCAAACTTATTGATTTTTTAGTGTATCCATACCTCTGTGAAGGAAAATGGCGAGTGAGCCTTGGCTTTAGCTTTGCGAGGTTTCATTGTCCGAGATTTGATAGGTTCCTTGGTCTTTTTCACTTCCTTTTTCAGTTTCACTTTAACTGGTGGCACCTACATCGCAACAATCAATATATTAATCGCAATATTCTTCTGTCACTTTTCAAAAAAGAATCAACCTCATTATAACCAGGTAAGAAAAATCAGCTGTAACTAATCTTTCGATGTAAAAAAGACCTAGGTTGAGCTTACGGCTGAGCTTACGGCAATTGCTGGCTGGTTTTCTTCCGCATCTTGCGTTTCAGGGACCACATCAGATAATTTTCGATCTTCTTCAACGACGACTGGATTATTTTGCCCTTTCTGTTTCTCTTCCTAAAGTGGCAGAACAAAATAATATTCAATGAAATTGTGACGTGTACAATAGTCGAGTTTCTCAACGGCTGACGATGCCTTTCCTTGAAATTCACTTTACTTAAGAATAAGTGAATTTTAGGAGCAGGTTGAAAATTTTTTATACAAATATATGCTTTATATTATCAATGCTATTATCAAATGAATTATTTTTTTGTTTCTTCTGAAGTCCCTTTACATCCACTATCCTCCTCTTAGGATGCATCCTGGGGCGGTTTCTGCTTGAAATGTCGTGTATTGAACATTCTAGTGAGAGCATAGAACAAAAGGAACATAACTCACTGGACAACAACCATGCTCAGCGTTCTTGGCATTTCCAGGTTTTATTTGTTCCTTTGATGATTCTCGCTTTTCAGATGTATTTTCAGGCTGGCTGGTCGGTCGTAAATCTGCTGTTCGGTCATCTTTGGGCAATTGAAGACTTCTGATGGACGGTGAACTTTCCATCAACTCAGAGGATTCATCGCCTTTTTCAGATGAAATCTTAAAAGGGATTTTGGCAGCAGACGCCTTCACGGAAATGGGTGACATGGAGGGACTGCTGCGTGGGAGATGCACAAAGCGAACTTCACCAAACAAATGCTGTATGGCAGTTTTTATGTTTTCTGACCAAACAGTTGAGGGCATTGACAGCAACACTAACTTTAAACATTGCAACAAAGACTAAACAAATTCATCCTTTCTATCTATCATGTGACAGGGCTTTTAATGAGGGGGGAGGGCGCGATAACGCGCGAGCGTGCAGGCACGCGCCCGAGGTTATCTTGAGAGCGATTAGTCACGCGCCCAGTGATAAATATTTCTCTTGAAGAGCGCGATTACCGGATGCTGATAGGTCAATCCACTCAAGAAGCTCTTTTTAGAAACGGAAGTTTGACACCGAATTCTTGTTTCAACTACTCCGTTTTCGTATGTCGCCGTTTTCCGATCATTCAGTTTCCGTTATTCTTGAGCCGTTCCCATTGCTGGCATTTATAAATAGTTGGCTTTTATTAGCTATTCTTGGCTATTTTATACCTTTCTTATGCCAGCATTGTAAATTAAAAGTTAGCAATAATAATAATAATAATAAATAATTGCTCCGGCCCACACCGTTTTGGCCAAAACGAAAACGAAGGTTTTCCCATTACTCTGTTTTGTCCTTTTTCATATCCTTTGTTCGAGCTGATCTTGTAACTGAAGATGAATGAATTCGTTTTTAATTGACCCCGTTTTCGATTCTCTCATTCAAACAATTCTTTTCTACGTGACTCCGTTTTCGATTCTCTAATTCAAACAATTCTTTTCTACGTGACTCCGTTTTCGATTCTCTCATTCAAACAATTCGTTTTTTGATGACTTCGTTTTCGCTGTTCCATCTTCATCTTCAAACAACTCTGTTTTCGGTTGATAACGTTTAAAGATGAAATATATCTATGTCGCACAGTACCCTTTACGATTACTCCCGAGAGAAACAAGAACATAACTATACAATGTGTAGGATTCTGTTCATTTATCAAAAGGTTTGTCACGTTTAATGATTCATTTGAAAAAATCTTATTGCTTTGTGTTGAAAAATAAATTTGATTCGTGCGCCCCACTCTTATCACGCGATTTTTGGCCGCGCGCTTGATTTCTGAACGTGAATGCCCTGTATGAGTTACCAATAATAAAGAGTACTCGCATTGAAGAAATTTTGCTGCAATAGTTTTCAAGATATAAAGATTGAGACATCATCAAAGATGAAAACTTTCTGTCAAAATGTAGCCAAATGGTGTGACAAAATAACGGCAAACCTTCATTGCAGTGAACGAGAAAAAAGATTGTCCATTGCACTAAAACATATGAACTCATTTAGTAAGAAAAGGATACGGTTTTTGTCAAAGGAAATTTTTGCGTAGTGTTCAGGAGCAGAAGGACAGAATGGTGCCAGCTCGGACGCCGGGGTTGTCAGTCTCATAATCAATATGAATTCATCCCCTGAATCTAAAAGAACAGATATAATCAACGACATTTCAAGCATTAAACTGCACACATTTAGTCAATTTAATGCAAAGTTTGCTAATTGAAGAGGATGATTACAATTTTAAATATGAGAAAAGCAACAAGAAACACATCCCCAGATCTCGAGAAGCCAATCGCAATCGAACAAACCTGTTACGCGGAGGTCTTTTACGATTTCCAATTTTATTACCACAGTTTCCCAAGTCGCTTCTCCGACCTAAAATGAAACCAGTGAAGGTAATTCTCAATGGCAAAGAGACTTAGAAATCAATTAAGGAGCAGGCGAGAAATTCCAAATTTTTCATTGCCCTTAAATTTTAAATATTCATACAGTTGACAAACTTCAGCACAGATAAACTTTTTTTAAAAATTGACGGAGAGAAAGCAAAGTATGATGACTCAAACGGAATTTAGGTGACTCAAAGCAATCTGTCCTGGCTTGTTGAATAACATTTTGAAGGCCTAATCGCAGACGCATAAGTTTCAAAACCAGTACAAAAACGATATGCACCAACTATAAAACAAGAAAGAGCTATATAAGCCATTTGCTGGTGGAATTTTGATAAGATTTCGGTGGAGTATTCAAATTCAAGTTTTTGAAACGTATTTTTGGCTTTCAGGAATAAGTGTTAGAAAAGAATTCTTAACACATTGGTAGTTGAAACGAAAGTACTTAAAGCACATTGTGGTTGAAGTGCAAGGGATTTGGAGGGTGTTGAAAAAATACCTCTTGGATGGCATCATCATTTACAAATGCCGTGAGTGATTTACTTCCCAAGTTGAAATCAACCCATATTTCTTTGCATGCCTGGTCCAAAGGTGCACTCAACTGCAATAAATGATTTTGAAAGTTATATTAAGGTTATGGGCGTAGGAAAGAGATCAAGAAAAGTGGAAAGATCGTTGCTAGAACAATCAATTGAGGAAAGAAGATAAACGCTGACCTTGTACATTCCGAGGTAAAATGATTTGCAAGGAATTGAATAGACACTGCAAATAGAAAAGGTGTTAATCATTAATGATTATAAAAACAATATCACTCAAAGATGGGCTTATTTCACTCACTTTTATACTATCTTACAAGACTCAAGAAAAGAACGTTTTTTAGAAAACATTTTCCATCAAAGGCTTTTCCATCAATTATTTCCTTTACAGTTTCATACCTTCTGTTTTCAGTGTATGTGTCATTGGCTTTGTTAATAAAGTTTCGACATCCCTGAAAAGAAAAGGCTTTGGCCACTGTAGATCAGCAATCAAGGAAATTCAATAGAAAACGGGTTAGACAGAGTTTTATAATTTTATAGAATAACTGTGAGCGCGTTGTCAAAGTCTGTTTTCAAAATTGTCACAAATTTGATAAGCACTTAAAAATTGCAAAACAATGCTGCAGGTGATTCGGAGCGAGAGGCCGTATCCAGTATGCGAAAGGGACGTACAGGAAGAGGAGTGTTAGAAGAGCCGTGGCTGTTTCCATTTGGAGATGTAGCAGCTTAAAAGAATAGCGGGCGTCCTGGCAATTCCTGGCAACGTCCCCAGTGTAGAAGCCGCGTAGGAAACGCTCCCTCGATGATTGACCCAAGCAGCAAAGTTGATGTTGAGACTGCAGAGGATTTTGTGTCAAATGAACATGCATGTTTAGAAAAAATCAAGGCAACTCACATTCTCAAAGTCCTGGTTCTGTATAGCACAAAAGCTTTCTTTGATGGCCCCATCTTCAAAATGTTTGGTTATAAAATGTTGCCTCTCTATCGGGGCTAAAATCCTTAAAGCTGCTTCAGTCAAATTCGCTTGAATGTCGTAATCTAAAAAAAATATGATTCCCGTATTTGAAAGTCATACTGATGTTAATCTCTGTTAAAAGCATAAACCGCTGTGTAAATAGTTATAAGAATAATTTTATTAGAACGCGAGCCACATAATTGTTGAAATGTTAAGAACAAATTCAGAACAAGCTTAGGCTGAGCTGCTGAAAAGTGTTATGTTGAACAATGTATCATCTCAAAACGAGGAGTTTATTGCCCTTAAGTGGTATTCTTCGATGAATTTTCAAACTTTTCGGCAAATAACGGATTTCTTACTCACTTTTTGCCAACGAGGCCTGGACACCTCCTAGAGCGCAATAGCCAGCAGTTTTAAGAACAAATTAAGAACAGCCAGCTTGAACTTCAATTAACTGGTTCTTATAAAAAAAGAGTGTAAAGCAATGAAACGCTTTAATCCTTAAGAATACTTCACAGATCGATGAATAGGAACCAAAACTATACACAGTGCATTTAACAAGCACAACATTTTAACAAAAAACAATAAATTAAGCATTGAGCATCATGATGTTAAAACCAGATAAATTTTTGAATATCTATGAGGAGCACCATGTTGAGAGGATATTGGAAAAGCTGCCAGGTATCCACCATCTGGCAACTAATGTTGGAAATAATGTTGACAAGGTTATTAAATAGCACTGTTAAAGAAATCTTTATAAATAAATTTCTTATATACCTCCAGCCAGCTTGAATTTGGTTCCAAATTTTTCTCTTCAAAAATGATAAAAATAAGAAGGTTTGGCTTATTTTACAAATCCAAAATAAATGCAATTTACGTAAGAATAGTGTTGTTTATTGAAAACATGCCATATATCTAATTTTGTATTCAAATATCTTAATTCTGTATTCGGCTTAGCTCAATTCCACCTAAAAAGCATAGAAGAGGTCATTTAAAGTTCCCATTGGTTTGACTACACGATAGACCTATTTTACGTAACCAATCGGCAATGTAAGAATAATTCTCAACATCTTTTCAATCATAACAACCATAAGCTGTCGCATAGCCTATTATTAACTTTGCACGGTTGAATGACGGCATATAGCTCCCTTAACTGATCTGATGCTTTGAATATCTGAAATCAATGATAGAAGAATATTCAGTGTCACATACTTACAAAAAGTTGTCGAAAAGGGAGTCAAGTTTCATTAAGGTATAATCTCCTTTGGGCTGCTGCGAAAGTAGCATATTGATATGCTGGCCCAGCTGCAAGAAAAGCAATAGCAATTATCAAACCTTACAAACCTCTCAAGTATCACTTTCTTCTTACAACCAGTCAGTGTATTCTAACGCATTCAGAATTGTAAAGGCCTTTCAATGCAATCCAATGAGCTCTGAAACTTGCGCGCGTTTTTTTCAAATTGTGAATGAATGTAAAGACAGCCACTTGACTAAACCGAGTTACTACACAAAAAAACAGCTAAAATTTTAACTTCAAAGATTATAAAAAACGCTTTAGTTAGCCTTTCTTGTGAATTATATGTTTTGCCATCTTTTTGCCAAAATCCACTTACTTATCCTTTTTTCTTCTTAATCCTACAAACACACCAACTGAACGCTGCCTTTGGATCTCCAGTGGGGTTTCATTCGGAAGTTAGGCATACGCTTGACCTTGTTTCAAAACATCAAAATAGACATTCCAAATCCATTGAAATATGGACAGTTCCTAACTTTAGATTGCTTTATGTTTTAATGGTAGAATCCCCTGTTTTGGAAGTCAAGATCTGAAGAACATTTTTAAGATACAGTTGCACAGATACACCCAAATCAGTATTACAGATTAATGGAAAACCACCCCTAACCACCCCTCCTTTCATTTTTAATTCCAGGACTAGTGCTTAGGTACTCATCCTCGCATGAAATTGGGTACATAGATTTTTGTTTATTTTGGAAACATCAATAACAACTTTTACCTCTAAACATGTTGAGAAATTCAATGATTTGTCCACAAACATGTTCAAAACATCTTTCAGAAAAAAAATTCCAATTTTATAGCCTAAAACATAAAGAATCGTTCTACACCAAAAGTCAGACATTTTTATTTGATATTTAAAAACATAACACTTAACAAATATGCATTATCAAAATGCCAAACCAGACAACCTCTTTGTGGAAAAAAATCAGTTCAAAGCTATATGTGTAAAATCTAATACGGATAATATCTTGACTAGTTATAAATGCAATTTCTTCGTATCTGATCCGAACGCATCTCTCTTGATATTTCAAAAGTGCTTATCAGTACCTTTCAAGTGTAGATTAAAAGAAAGATACAAATAATGTAGGATAGCTAAGCAAACTGTGTAGAATTAGTTTTCGATATACAAACCTTCCTTTTCTTTTGAAAGAGTCTAGAAAAGTATAAGACATTTATCACAATGAAGTTAAATCTATATCACGATGGCCCGTAGAACTGGCACGCAACACAATAACCTCGCTGCAAACACAAATTAAATTTGCTGTCAGCACAACAACCATATTGAAAATATACAAAATGTTGCCGCAAATACAAAAATTGATGTCAATACAGGAACTTCTAATAAAGCAAAGGGATTCTAATGTTTTAATTCAAGAGTTTCAATCTAAAGGACGGAATATCGGAATAGCAGTCTTGGCCTAAATGCGTTTATTTTTGGCCTAAGCTTGGAACATTAACTGAAAGTTAGTTCTGTTCTTCGACTTAACGAGTCGTCAGTCAGGGTGATAATGAGGTGCTGCTGGAGCTGGCTTTGCTCAAGTTACTGCTCGCTAGTAGCTCTTGAAATTCTCTAATTCCAAAACTCTACAAACAGAAGAAAACCTTCAACTGTTTCAGCAGATTCTCTTCTACAAACTTTACAAAACCTGTCTAACCACACGGTAAAGAGCACTTTCTTTTGAAACCCCTTTCATTTTTTGATTACTTCAAAACTATGATTACGCCAGATAAAACCTATTTCTGTGCGAATTGGCTGACACGTCTTTAGAAAAAGAGCATTTACAGGCACCAACCGAGTCTTCTGTCATATGCAGAAACTTTTTCTGTATTTGCATCATCCTTTCTGTTCTTAAAGCAACATACATGTGGCAGCAATTTTCATTTGCTTTTGCTGCAAATCCCATTTTTTGCAACAATTTGCACTTCTTTCACCAGCAATTTTCATTTATGTTTGCAGCAGCTTTTCTGTAGTTGGGTGACCGCTACTGGCCACCGCAATCAACTGAATCACTTTTATAAAGCTTTACCGCCATATGAGATCTTGTAATATGAAATTTTTGGCATGGGAATTTCAGAAACACGAATCCTATCACATTATCAAATTTCTAAATTTATCATTAAGAGACCTTAAAAATCTTCAGTGCCTATTTTTTTAGAGATTAAATGAAAAAAGCCACCAAACCACATAAATTTTACATGTATAGAGCAAAAGTTTAGAGTTTTGTTGCAGATTATAAGTATATGCAATTAAAAATAGCAAAGAGATGAAAATATTGTCCTACATACCAATATGCATTCCAAAATTTCATCTAAATTAGATGATACAACAGAATTTTCATTGTTAATCAGCGCCTAAATAGAATGCACAAAAAATTAAGAAAAAGGTATTGTCTATGGTGTGAAATATGGGTGCACCGGATATCTCGTAGGCAGGGTGTGCAGACGGTGCTGGTTCGCCGACTTTTAAAGAATTCTCTTCCGGCATGTTCTGTTTCTGCAATAAGGCCAGCTACCAGTTTTCGAGTTTTTTTATTTCAATGTGAGGAATTTGCTGAGATAGCAAACGCAATAGTAAGAGTGTAGATATACTGAAGGGGGCCCAGAAAGTGATCAGAATCAGAAAAACAAATCATTAAAACTTGAATTTCAAAGTCAAAAATGCCGCACGCAAGCAGGGGTTTAACTTTTTAGTGATCAATATATTGAACATTAATTCCATTACATAACTCTGCTAAATGAGATTTAACCGCTTTCGTTCTTCTTCCAGAAAGTCATTCCCAGCGACTAGTCCTGAAATAATTATTTTCTATTTTGCTCCTTAACAGCTTCAACAAAGCAAAAGCCTCTTGCGCGAGATCCCTTAAGCAATTGGTCCCAACATAAGGCATAATGGCAGCAGACTTTGCAAATATGGTCAGTTGTAACGTTTCATGCAATCTGCCGTGGCTTAACGCCGTGGCTCAAGGAAAAGATTAAATACATCTATTTCTTAATCTCCAGCCTTCTATATTATTCAACACAGAATCACCTAGAATAACAATAGTAAAGAAAATGTTCTTAAATTGATTTGCTCCCCTTTTGTCTATTCCTTTTGTTTTTCTCTATCATAAATTTTAGACTTATAACCTTGATACGGGTTTTTACATTGACCGACCGGCTAGTCCATGTACCCAACGATATACTGTTTTCTGCTGCATGTGCTGTTTGGGTTGTTTTATCTCCCAATACGACGGCGTTCTCATTGCTTCCTGTTTTGCTTTTACCGTTGTGTTCTTATTAGCTTCTCATTTGAGGGGCTTTGGGGTTACTTCTTGGCTTCTTCAATCACTTTGCTTTCATACACGATCAGCAGCCTACGTATTTGTTTTATCGTGGCTTTTGTTCGAGATACTACTTGATTTTTGCAATTAAATTTTGCAAAACTAGTCGACCTGTCTAGTTTTGTTTTTGCCGAATTTGCTTTTAAGACTATTGATTTCAATTTTGATTCTACAATTTTTGGCCAGTAACTGCTCATATTTGTCTCAAAAGGGATCCTGAGGTGTAAGGGGGTTGAAGCTCCCCCATTCCTAGCGATAGTCACAGGAGAGCAAATCTAATCTTCACAGCGGTACAAGGTATTTCTTTATTCACCTGACTCCTATTGAGGCAGACCTGCTAATTTTTAAATTTAGGCTAATATTTTGAATTTTTTATTTCTGAGGCTAATTTTACTACTATTTACTGGGGGTTTCAACCTTATTTTTTTTCTTTCCAAGGCTAATATTACTACTCTATCAAGGGGTCAATTAGGTAGAATTCCCGTCCAAAGTCTTTGCTTGCGTAAACCAATTCTTGTTTGATTTGCATTACATTAAAAGCATTCTTTATACACAAGTATTTATGTTCACTTTATTCACTTCTATGATTAACCGAGCAGTTACAAGACAATTGAAATGAAATGCAATACCAGTTTTTTTCTATTGTACACAGCACCTTTAGCCAGCCATTTCTAAAAAAACGCCGCCCTCTGATAAACGCCGCCCTCTATTGAATAAATAACGATCAATGTAAGTAAATTGTACCAGGAAAATTTTTAAAAATAATTATTTAAAAAAATTTCCTGGTACAATTTACTTACATTGATCGTTATTTATTCATCATATTGTACCGCACGCATTTTAGTATATTTATGGCCCTCTATTGAACACAGCATCTTGAAACACAGCGTTCATTAGAAAACACAACAAACCAGAAGTAACGAATAGTTTATACGCTTACTATTCGAAAGCTATGAAAGTTGTTACGTAATAGAGACGAGGACTCTGGCAGAGGCGTGAACACGTCTTTTGTGAACTTAAAACAATTTTTACACAATCGTTATTACGGGTGTTTACTGTACTTGTACTGCAGGGGCTGTTACGAAATTTGTTGCATTTTTAGAAAAATTCCAGAATCTTGATATTATGGAAAAATTATCTTATCCATGAGTTTGATAACTAAATTGATGGAAAACACACATATTTCTCAATTTTAGCACATAGTTATCTTTTTATAGCAGATTTAGAAGCTGAGTATGGTAATATTTGTGATGGACGTACAAATAATTACTTTTCATATTTCTTCCAATTAAATTTTTTTCATACAAATCTGCACCTATCTTATAACTGAGAATCCTGGTTAATATCAACGGTCATTTCATTTCATTTTTCATTCTTTATTTACGGTAACCCCGTCGGCAAAGGCCGCTTTTCAGACAGCTGTGAAAAAAATTTGAAATCTACAATTTACAAGTAAAATAATCTACAAACGAAAATAAATAATTCAATTACAATGTTAAAGTAAAGTCAAAATCAAAACATAATTAGCGTACAAGCTTTAAAGTCGATGTTTAAAAGCATTTGAAAGGGCGCTTGCTTTACCTCAGGATCAAGGCAGTTCCACACATGTACACCACGAAATAAAAATTATTTTTGCCTATTACTGGTTCTAAGAAGAGGGAGGCGTAAGTCAGTCTCAGAGTTTCCCAATTTGACAGTGCCCCCTGTGATGAGTTCTTTGAAAAGATATTTGAGAGAAACGTTGGTGCAAGACCATTTAGGGATTGTCCGTCACAAAAGTCTACAATCACACTAGGTATTTTTGTGAGCTTCAGTTTTTTTCAAACCGTTGCCAACGATGAACCTTTCCACGAACAGTGATAAAGAAAGGATGGTGATCCAGTACCCTGGGTTCCAGAGCGTCATATCGAGGAAATAGGGCGTCAACCCCCTATTTCCTCGACGCCCTATTTCCTCGACACTGACGCTCTGGAACCCAGGGTAGTGATCCAGATGTGTATGGTCATGCCACTTTGCCTCTGTCGTACGGCCCAAATACCCCTTGTGGTCAATGCCATGGCAAATATATAATTGAACTTTGGATCAGTGGTTTCATCAGAAATGCTTCTTGAAATGATTGAAATTGTTAAATTCTTATTTCAAGATTCAGAATTAGCCTCAATAGACACTTTAAAATGTGTTTATTATTGTTAAGGCCTTTTCAGCGAATTTCTTTATTATTTTGGTAAACATTTTCACCGAAATTTTGTGACGGACGGACAATCGTAAGTTCCCTAAAACAAGAAAATCGGCATTTTTGCTTGTATCATCAATATGAATATTGGTATAGAAGTACCATATCAAAGATGGAGCAAAAGAACAATTTTTGTCGCTATTTGTAGGAAGGAAACAATTTCTGAAAACTTCCTGACGGACGGACGATTCTAAATTTGTCCAATAACTGCGCACGTGGAGTTTTATTTACCAAATAAACGATTGAAATCGACCATTTTTCACCTGTACTAAATGTTGATGGCAAAGGACGTGCTTTTTAACAATTTTAATCTCAAACGACATTTTCCAGTCCTTCCGTCACGTCCATCCGTCACGTCCATCCGTCACGATGATTCATTGGTACTTTCGGCATTAAAATTTCCAAATGTTGAGAAATATAGTTGTTCAAAATGTTCAATGATATTTCAAACTGATATTTGATTGTTAAAAATATTTCAAATTTATATCAAGTTCGTTGCCTTAGGTAGAATAGTTGAACGAGTGAAATTAGTCTTTTCAATTTTTGCTATCTCGTCCGTCCGTCACGAAAGAAATTTGTATCCTTTTGAGGCGATGTGCTTATTCCATAAGTGATTGCTTTTATTCATCTACACCTCCTTATGGGTTCTTTCATGACACAAAAGGAGAAAATTCTGGAATTATCCGTTAATTTTTGAGACCTTGTGAAACTATCGTTTGTCCGTCCGCTACGGATAATGAATTTTGTAATAGACCCTGCAATGGTGCAGTGAGACACCTCTGAGAACTTGGGAACAATAGAGATTCTCACTGTAACTATCTGTTCTTTTCAAGGGATCGACTACGTCACAGTTTTCTCGCAAGTTTCTCACCAGTAACAATAAAAATGTTCTCACAAATTCATTGGTTCAAAAGCAAAATTCTGCACTTTCATTGGCCGAGAAAACAACCACTTAGTTAATCGAAAGATAAACATATTCAAAAAGAAAAGAGAATTTAAATCTCTATATGATCATAAGCTTGACGACAGCTTTGGTTCCTACTAGCATACAAACAAGGTAGTCTGTAGCTATCTATTAGCGCAAAATTTGGTATTTCAAGGTTATTTCTCACAAATTTATTATTCATGGAAATTGACATTCTTGTGTGGTGACAGTGAGAAAATGTTGATTACCCCCTAGAAGAAAGAACAGCTATCTGCAAAAGATGCAGAGGAAATCTTTGACTATAAAAGAGTATATCTTATACCTCATAGAGCTCAACAAGAATGTGACCATTTTTATAACTGATAATTTCAGCTTCTCTGCCTTTGTCTGCTACATTTTTCAATGCCTGGCTGAGCTTTTTCCAGCTTGTAGGATGTTTCCTTGCCTCCACCTATGACAGGATTTAAGCAGGATGATAGCAAATCTAAGCCCTAAATCTAGCACCTATACTAAAGACCAACTGAGAGGCTGTTTGTTTTGAAATAAAACTCATGTAGGTTTTCGAAAAAGCAAGTTTTATGCAAAATTCATTCTATCACTGTCCTTGAGAAAAATTAATGGCAACTAGAATATTTTCAGGAATGGAAAGTAATGGCAACTTTTTACTTTAAAATAAAGCAAAGAAAAGGTAAAGGCAATGATATTGACATGCATAAAAATTATTACTTTTTTAGTTAAATCAAAACTGGTAAACTGGAATTACTTTTCAAAAAAGCAAAAAAAAATCTTAAGGATATTTTTGATTTCAATCAAAAACATTGCATGTGGATATTGGTATACAAGAGATTAAACATATAAACAATAACGCATATTGCCAAGAAAGAACTGATCAGCTGAAATTGCTAAGCAGTCTGCTGCAATGGCTAATGGATAAGCCTAGCCCATTGCCAGCATATATTTAAAGTTTATGGTAAATTAAAAACTCATCAATTTCTGCAGACACACAGACTTTTCTTATGATAATTTTTCTACAGATTAACTTAACATTTTTAACCAATCTATAGTTGATTAATTTGTTGATCTAATGAGAGAGCTTCTTCTTTAGAAAATTTATCTGGATACAAACCGTCATTAATTTTATCATCTTTTTGCTTCTATTCTATTGTCATATTGTGCAATTTGTTCAATTTTATCGAGGTTAAGACCTTTTATAATTATTTTTAATTATATGAAGGATGTATGAAGTGGCATTTTAGAATTGGAGCCAAGCTGGACTGAACTTATCGAATCATAGGCAGGCCCTGTTGTAAAAAAATAAAGTAAAGTTGTACTTACTAAAATCTCTTCTATTTTTGATGCATTCATCTTCCTGTTTAGAATGAGGTTTGAAAAATCAAAACCTATTAACTTTGATGAACAGCAAGTATTATTGTCAAGGTTAGAATGGTCTTAAAATGACCTCAAAGTTCATGAGCTGAATATCCTATTTTTACTGTTTTGAATCAATGGTTGATTTTTTTTACTTTTAACAGTCTAAATCGACCCTCTAAATAGAATAAGTCATTAGGACTGTTCTAGAATCACACATTGCAGCTTTTACATTGCTAAGGCATTATTTCCCAATTTCTAAGGCGAATAGTTGTATGAAGCTATTGTGAAAACATTGTAAACATGATCATTACTGAATTTTGTGATGTCATTGAGCATCAATCTATACTTGAAAATAAGGCAAATTGGAATTTAAAACATTGGCAACACAATAAGCTTAAAATTTGAATAAAGATACTTTTTAAAAAGTGAAAATTTTTAACTTCCTACACTGCAAATTAATTTGACAGTCTGAAAGCTTCGAGGGCTTCCTTAACAGGTTCAGTTAAAGCGGAATGATGGATTTAAAAATATTGGAAATATCCCATCTAGTTATTGTAGTACCAAGAAGACCAACTTGGCCTACGCCATTAGACCAGTTACAGCACACAAGATGTGCGACAAATTTATTTTTCAAATAACATCGAGAAAGATAGACAGTTTTAGACGTCTAGGCACAAAGTAAGTAGCTCCAAGTTCTTGAAAACGAATTATCTCAAGTTTGCGCAAATATTAACTTCTTTATGGCAAATATTTCACAGGTTCGTACCTACCTCAATTTCCGTTTTTGCACATGGTCGAAATCGTCGAGGAAAAGGAAGATTCAAAAACATTTTTGAATTTTTTATCTTTATTGCTAAACTTTTAAACATTCAAAGCCTAAACAGCTATCATAAGACTTTTATTAAACCTGCTATAGCTATTTTAATTTAGTTTGCTAAAAACTGGAGCTTTTACCTACCTGCCATTTCATAGTCTTAGAATGAAGATTCAGATGAATAATATGAAAAAGGACTCAAATTGTTCTGATAATATATTTTAAAAATTGAGCGTTAGACAACAAACAATAACTTACCAAATATTTCAGCTTTCCGCCAACCTTTTCCGAACGAACCAAACATTTAAAATTTGATAAACTGCTGACGCCAATGTATCAAATTTCGCGGGAAATTTTGGCACAGGGAAGCGGGAGAAAAGAAAGACAGCCAACGCTGAGTCATTTCTATTCTCTGGCCGAGTGCTTGCAGAGTCACGTGGCCTCTCAAATAGCTGAGAATATTTTTTGTTTGCATTAGCATCAAACCAATGAAAACGCATAATGGATATTGCACACCCAAAGAGAAAATAGAATTGGATCAAACGCAACAGAGAACCTCGCTTCTTCAATATAAAGCTGCGCAGAAAACAATTGCCATTAAAAGTTAAATCGTCCTAATCGAAGAAATTTTGAAATATGTATTTATCTACTAAAAGTATATTAAAAACTTAATCGCTCTATTTTTTAAAGTAAAGTTGTTAAAAAGAGAAAAGCGATGAAACCTTTGGCCTCATTATTGAAAAGCAAGGCTTTTCCATCTAAAGATTGTGTTTCCATCTTTTGGCATTGTTGTTGGATTTATGGACAATTTATATAGAAATTGTTTTGTACATAATGGAAATATATGTTGAATATAATAGAAAATAAGATACGGCCTTCTTTTCTGTCGAACTCAAATAAAGTCCACAACAAAACTGAAATAAGCCGGGCAACCACTGCATTTTCAATTCAAGTTGCCGAGATAAACTTCTACTGCTAACAAAGGAAGTTTCAGATTCGTGGAAAGTTGAAAAAGCCACTCAAATTGAAAGACATTACTAAAAGATAAACCATCGTTTGATATCATTCTTGCCTGACAACTTGAAGGTAAATGACTTTGACTGGTTTTTTGGCAGCTGAGTGAACTATACCCTGGCTACTAATCTCATAAACAACGAGTCTGGTACCAAGAGTAAGTTGACTATGGTGGACTTTATTTTTGTGGAAATTGATCCCAACGGGACTTGAACCCATGATGTTCAAAACTGAACGCCTTTGAAGGTTTGTCCTGCCTTATGTACTGAGTCCTTATGTAGCATGCAGATGAAGTTCTTTTTGATGGACAATAATTTGGACCTTCATTGCCTTTCCTGGAAAGCTACAATTTGGATTGAAAGCTAGGACCCACTAGCTTCCCCTTTGTCCATTCTTCTCACATACAGCTTTCGAAGCCAATAAAATATGATAACCTTGGGAGATTTACTTTTGCATGACATTGTTTATCCATTTAATGCCATCCTACCCAATATTCTTTTCTAAGACACAATCTCTTTATTTTATGAAGCTTAACAATAAAATATCTGTTAGGAATGCAATATAGATAAAAAGTCACTTGACAAGAAAAAACTGTTGCGATGCTCTTAAAATTTCGAATCAACATTTGTTGCAAAAAAGCATACAAAAAGCTGTTAAAGCAAGGAAGGAGAAAGTTCGATCGCTTTCTTGTAATAAAATTAGATGCAAAAATAATATTAAATAATAGAGCTTAAAATTACATCTTTAATTAGATCTGCTTCAACCTGTGATTATAACAAAAAATATTCAGACAAGGTAAAGCTATTTGCTGAAAAATATCATATGGCCTGAATTTCCAATAAACAAAAAATAAATGCGAGGGCTTGCTACTGTTGGCATAGATGGGAGAATGGACGAAAGAGAGAAGGAATATTCTTTCTTCAAACCTTAAAATGTGTGCTTTGTCGATCTAACCAGAGAACAAACCTCTAGTCGTTACACAAATCTCTTGTCGATACACAAATGCTTGACATTGCGAGATGGTACGTCAAGAACAAGTCGGACAAGAGAGCAGGACAAGGATTTGACCTATTCCATTCTTGGCAAGTAACGTTACAATGTAGGCTTGTCAAAGTTAACCTATTACGCCAAGAAAATAGAGAAACATCATCGAATCGTCAATAAGGGATTCCAAAGGTTGGACATTGCGGAGAGCTGAAGGTTTTTCAATGAAACACATTAGTGTGGATCAAGGGATAGGACCGGTCAGGTCAAGGGATAGGTCAGTCTGTTTGGGACATTGTGGCCACAGTAAGCCAAGCTAAAAACTAAAGCAAAAAACAGGCATTCTGAAATAGTCACTGTTGTCAGCATTTATTTTAAATTATAAAATGCTCTCAGAATAAAAATGTGAAATTCTCCCTTTTACCAGCTTTGCGACGTGAACATGTGCTGAATACTGTTTTCTACCGAAAAAGTCAATGTAATTGCGTATGTTACTTAAATTTTCATTACATAAACTACGCCAGGAATACACCAATTGCAGTCATTTTAGATATCAGGAACTGAATGGTCCATGTGCTTCTTGACTAAACCTTCCGCCATGCTAAATGAAGAAATAAAACATTAAAAAACGAACGTGACGAGTAGCTATTAGCTGATGAATTTGTATAAGAATGTTGAAATGGCATTTATCGGAAAGAAAACGGCAAAAGAGGCATACCATTTCACCATGTGAGAGTAGACAAACGATGGCATAATTGTCAATGTTATGGATCTGTCTGCTTCAGCAAGGATTCTACTGATCTCTTTGTCCTAAAAATATTGAAGAAATTCAAGTAAGCCCCTTGCAATAAAGCTGGAGTATTTGGTCTTTGTTAAACTGCATTATAATTTTAAAGTCTTTAGAAAAAGAGAAATAAATCAATGAACAGAAGAGAAATCGAATTAGTGACACAACTACAAACCTTTAAGCCAACAACATTCTGACCATTGACTTCAAGAATATTGTGTTCTGTCAAAAGCCCATTCCTGTATTAAAATCAACCAAGAGAGTTAGATCATCGTCGCCAGCAAGTAGCAAGAAGTGATGTATGTATAGGCTTAAAAAAATGAGAAAATTCCGTTTTGGAATAGGGGACAATGGATGCTTAATGATTAAAGCCGAAGCAACCTTTCACAAAGGGTAGGCGATTTTCATACTCAGTTTTGGTTTAGAAAACAAAATAAGATATATTTGGTTACATGTTTCCATCTAAAACTAGAGCTAATAGGAAAATCAAGCAAAGAGAAAGACAAAGAGATCTACCGTGCTGCAGAAGAGTCTTTCACGATCGAACTTATTCTCCCGTCTTTGAAAATAAACCCAACATGGCCATGACTGTCCTTTTGCAAGGTGATTGCTCTTTCAAATGGTCTGCAAATAATTTATTTGTCCATTAGCAAAAAAAATTGAATTAAATTCCAAGATTAAGATATAAACTAATAATGGAAGAGAATATCTAGGAAGTTTTGTTGCACTGAATATAAAGGCATAAATTTTTGGAACACGATAAAAAGATGAAAATCAGATTGAAATTCTCTAGTTTTGGTGATGTGTTTATAAAACTTAGATAGAAGGGATATATTTGCTAACACAAAATGGAAATTGAGAAAATGAATCAAAATGGTATGTAAAATAGATTGAAAAATGGCTCTTAGAATTGCTTTCTGTAATCACATAAAACCAGACACACAGGAAAAATAAAACCACAACAAGCATTCCAATCCATTCAATTCCCAAAAACAACAGTGCACTTCTGAGGTAGCACACACAGATCTGTGTTGATCACTGTTGGGAAAGGCGGCAGGGTGTCTTGTAAAAACTATGGCCCTAACAAATTAGCAAACTGCAAAGTTCCAAAACAACTCAAATTTAGCCTCAAAATTTGGGCCACGTTCCTGAGATTTAAAGAAAAATGAACTTTCTTTTAAAAACAAAAGAACATTTTTACATGGGGTTGCTTACACCCTGAGCAACTAAAAAATTAGTTTTATGATCCTAACTGCAAACATAGATTAGCGTCCTTGGTAAGTGTGCTCCAATATTTTAGAGTAAAAGCCCTGTAGTTAGAAACATATATATATTTGTGACAAAAAGAAAATAAATATATAATTGGCTTCAGTATTATGGACCAAAGCAAATACCTGTCTCTGACAGCAAAGTGAATCCTTTGTGCTGATGCTTGCTTAAGAATCTTCATTACTTTTTCATGTTCATAGCCAGCAAGTGTTTCACCATTGATTTGCAATATCTGGTCCCCAAACCTCAGGCCAGCCAAAGCTGCTGGAGATCCAGCCATCACAAATGAAACAAACACGCCTTTGTTTACTGAGCGAACACGTAATCCAACTTTTCCACTTTGGTCCTTGCATGCAATTAACTCTCTAATTCCTTGCTTCACTTCAGCTCTCATAAGGCCAGCATTCTGATTGCCAGTCACTGGAGCCACCATGCCGCCAGATGAATATGATGTAACAGGTCCTGAATGCTGGTACTGGATGACAGCCTGAATAAAAACCAATTATGTAGCTGTGAACTTTTGCAACTTTACTTGCAGCCTTGCAAATATAGACAGATCCTTTGCAAGAAACTACCCAATTAAAACAACAGAGAACCCTGTTGCATGCCAGACTAAACAGATTATTAAGCAATGAAACCTTTTGCAGCAAGCATGGGCAATATTTTCATAACATTGCCAATAACATTGCCGTGAAAAACTTCTCCTTAAACAACAAGGATCCAAAGCACTTAAATTTTCAAGCAAAGTACCTTGAATAATTTAACAGTCTCTCCAACACAAATAACCCTTGGAAGTGAAATTTCTAATTGCTAGCATTGAATGAAATGTTTTGTTAAATATAAAAAGGTGAAGGTTTAAATACTTGCAAAAAGGAAAGTATTTAGACTAGACTTTGTTTGGGTAAGTTCTACCAATGATAAACCAATGAAATTGCAATACCCACCAGGCCAGATTCAGGCATTTCTTTGCTTATAGTTCCTTCATCAATTGGCAAGCCCATCCATTCCGTCAATGATGGGTAGAGACTTGATGTCTAAAACAACAAGTTATTGAGCTAAACACTAGTTGAAAACTGAAGCATCTAGTTTGCAATGCTGAAAATTCTTTATATGGGAATTTGTTAAAAAAAAATAAAAAAAGGACTGCACACTTAACCATATAGTACTTTGCAAGTTACTTCATGATCACTTCTTACCAAGGCTGCACTAACACATCCTTACAAAACAATCAATGACTTTTTTATTTCACTGTTAATGATTTTCACACAGACAAAGTGACCTAGCGGATAAAAATATCTTTTTGGTTCAGTATCTAGAAGTCAAATTTCTCCCTAATATCCCTTAACTTCTGGTGGGCATATAAACATTTTACTAGGGAACAATGTCATTTATCATTGAGAATCATATGGAATTTGTGCCAGTAACAGTGAACATTTAAAATTGAGCAGTATGGATAAAACAGCATAGAACCATCCACCAAAGCATATATAGCTCTGCCTATTCAGCACTGGGGACTTTGATAACAGAGGAATAAAATGGCAATTATCACAGAGTTATGTTGATAGGACCCTGTTAAGTATGCCTGACTGCAGCTTTTCAACTATTTAAATCATTCATAAATATTTAATAATCCTTAAATTGCAAACAAAGTATTTGAGTTCCAAATAAAATGTGAAAGAAATTTACAGAAGAAGGATATCCTTGGGCTTGGGCTTGTGGTGGTAATGCCTGCTGGGGTATTTGCTGCTGTCCTGCTTGGCTCTGAGCAACTTGTGCCTGAAAAAAACATAAACATTGATTGACCAAAACATTGAACAGAGACGGCATTTATGAGTAGAAAATAGATACAGTGCGTGCTATTGCCAAATACACACTGGAGATTTCTGCCTCATGTGTGTGGAGTTTTTTTATTTCATATTTTGTGAGCCGAATTTCTACATATCAAACCAGTTTCTAGATAATCTTATCTCGCTTGGGGCAGTTTGCTCACCGTGTGAGGCAGTCTGAGTATTTTGCTCATGACCTCAGCAATACTATGTATTAGTAGAGAGTAAGGGAAAATAACCGACCCTCCCCGTAATAGTCTTTCAATAACCCTGTCTAAGCCAAAGCCTTGGTGTAATTGAAAACAATTTTCATTAAAAAATACAAGAAATGAAATCTTTTAAGACCAAAAATAAGCTTTTTTAAAATTTTGTTGAGATTTCCTCCTGTATCCGAGGATATTTTGTTGGAAAACTATTTCAGTGAATTTCAATGCAAATGGGGGCTGCCTAGATTCTTGGGGGTCATCTGACAAGATATAGAGTAAAGCAAATGTTACTTGTCTAAAAAGTTTCCTTTTTTGCAATTTGTTAAATTTATGTTTATTTTTACAATCGGGTAAAATTGCAATCAAAAATCTCAACCAGCAATCTTGTTGTGTTCCACCGATTTTCTATGTTGTTTTTTGAGCAAAGGATTAACCACGTTTGGCTCCAGGCGATCGTACTAATACTTTTGTCACGTAAGTGTACATTACCACATTCCTCTTACCATCATTAGGCCTAAACTGTTCCTGCTCACCCTGATTTTAGCTTTTTACAACTATTCTGGCTTTTTTCCCTGGGAAATTAATATATAAGAAGGAAAAATTTAGATGCATTAACATATGGTATAAAAATTGAAAGTTGCTGGCTGCATTAACGCATGGTATGAAGACTGCTCAGTGGTCAGTTGCATGGAATAAGAGTCCTTGCAATAGCCAAACTTTCACATAATTGCCAATTCTCTATGTATTCCACTCCAGGATTTCAGGGGTAGGAAGGCCGAGGCATTGTCACATTGAGTGAAAAGATCAGGACACTGCTCCATAGGCATTGCCATTCATTTTCCTTTTACGTTACGACAAATGCTAAGTAGAAACAAACACTATATTTCAGGTCATCGCCATTGGGTTTACCAATTTGTGCCTTAATAAACAGGCGAGGCCTAATAAGAAATTACTAATGCCTTGTTTCCATAAAACATAAAACACAAACCTGAGCCATTTTGTCGACTTTCATGTCTTCGAGTGTTGGGTAAAGCGACATCTTGGCGAATTTCGTGTGCGATTTGTCCAGGTACTTTTCTTCTTCAAACTTTTGCAAGCTAACTTCCTCCAACTTCGGTCTAATTTGCTGCCCAATCACCCTCGGCTTGTTTTATCTCCTGCGCAGGTCATATGATCTCCAATATTACGTCATCATCTCTTTATAGGAAAACACGTCAAGACCGCCCCCTCGCATTGCTCATCATTATCACAAATGTGTCATTCCTCTAGGCGAGTGGACATGAAATGAAATGAAGCAAGGCTAGATTATGGTTCTGAGGGGCCCTAGGCCAAACATATTTTGCGGGACCTTAAAGCGTGGCAATATGATGAAATCATCCAAATCTTTGTCAGAACTTTTTGATTTTGAACGAATGACAAAACGCATTATAAAAAATTTTCAAAGTCAGCAAGATCTGTTACAGGTTGGCCGCATGAGTATAGGCTCTTCCCTTTCAAAAACTGTATTTTGTTTCTGGTTCTGAAACTTATACAATTCACATACAAAGTGCCTATGAAATGAAATTTGCAAGTTTAGAAAAAGAAATGTACACATATAAAATTTTCTGATTTCAATTGTATATGTTGAGGAAATATTTTTGTTGATTATCTAAAAATTTAGGTTGATTATCCCATTTTCACGTCTTCGACTGTGACGAAGCGCGCGTTTTCCGTGACGTCACAAAGTTTGGAAGCACAGAAGCAGTTGCCGTTCAGTACACTAAGCAACATGGAGGTCACTATTGGAAGTACAGTTAAAATAGCCGAAGAGGGCAGTATCCCAGTCTAAAAAAAGAAAAAGGGGCAATGTTAAGTTAGGTTCTATATCTCATCTTTTGAACTGTATCAAACTGTCCTTTGTTGTAAAGTTTCGCGCTATTGTACCTACTTTCAGAAGAGATAATGTAATATCGCCGTTAGGGGCCTGGGGCAAAGAACCTCGGTCTAAAAATAGCCCAAAAGGGCAATTTTCAGTTTGATTCCATATCTTTTCAGCGTATCAAGCTACCCCTTTTGCATAATTTCATGCTGATATCAAACTTTGCACAATTCTTTGACTAACAGCCTGACTAAGTGGTCTGGTGTGTTCGCAAATCTTGTGACGTCACAAACTCTTATACTTTTTCACTCGCACACATTGTTTTTAAAAGCCCCAAAACAGCCTTTCCCGTGCCAAATTTCGAGTTAATGTTCCTTTTATATTGCAACAATATGTAGAAGTTTCAATTTCCTTTAAAAAAACTGTGTAAAATTTCATTTCATAGGCACTATGCCATAACATTAATTACAATAATAACACTTAAAAGAAATTCTATAGAAGATAGCAATCATATGATCTTACAGCGATGTTCTAAAGGGCACTGAGAATTGCAATGAAAGACACTGGGGATTTGTTCAGGTTCTGTAGGGTTTGGGGCAGGAGTTTTGGGGCATGGAATGCACCCTGGAAATCAATACAGCAGCTTCTTGTTTTTAACATCGATGTGAACCGAAGGTCACCCTTTCTTTCTTTTCCCAACGCATGAATCCTCCCCTCCCAAATTTTTCTAAAAATCTAAAATCAATGTTTTTCTGAGCATCGTGGAACTGTCTATTCTGGGCAGAGCAGTAAATTGTTAAATTTTGGTCTGGGAGATGCATTTTTAGCCATTCTAGAAGGCTTGATTTCAAAAAATTTTTTCCACGTCGGAACCAACCATAGTGGGTTCTCCTTTGTCACTAAACTTTATTCTTAGCCTGACCGCAGATTCAAGTACCTGTGCCCTGCCACCGTCCAATTCAATAGTGCGATTCAATGCTTGAAACTTTCAAGTTGTTGAATAAACTACTATTTAATAACTACTAAAGAATAACAAACTTGACCAATGTTTGTTTATCATACGTCATAAATACGATGACACTAGGCGGATAAAATCGCCCATAAGCAGTGGCGAAATGGACTAAGGTTACCTTTAGTTAAAAAACACTGAGCCTGAAACAACGATATTTTACTCTGAAGCTGGTATTTTGGATATTATAAACGAATTCAAGGGGCCGCCAGCCTGTATGAAACATCATTGTAATTGAACAGAATGTCCTTTGCTTAGTATTTTATGTTTTGCCTACCGTATTTCCTCGAAAATAGTCCGACTCTCGAAAGTAAGTCAATTAAAAAAGCTCGATATTTTACCGAACCGCGATCCAAAAGGTCAAACGTTAGGATTACAACAATATAACTTTTTGAATTCATATTCGCATTTTTAGTCAAAATCTTATTCATGGAAATTTTGGATTCAAGTTGCAAAAATCGACTTCCCTTTTAGAAACACGTGCTTTTATATAACCACGATATATAGATAGCATTTCCCAAATCGACTTGGCCACCCCAGGGAAAACATAGCCACCCCGCTACTGGTTTTGAATGCTTGTAGCGATAACTTGTCTGCAAACGTAAGAGTACTGTTTGATAGTGGTTCGTCTGAAACATTCGTTAGTTCGCGACTTTGCACTTATCTGAAGCTGCCAATTATAGGCAAAGAAAAATAATCGATAAAGATTTTTGCCGAATCATATTGTTACCCATCACCTCTCTCTATTTCTCTATTAATTTATTAATCTAGAAAATAAAGGAAGAAAAAAAGGAAAATGGATAGGAAGAAGAGAGACTTGTAGCAGGTCCACCACTGCTACTAGTCTCTCTCTCGCTCCCTCTCCATTCTCTCTCCGGCCAGGGTCCCTCTCTGGCATCGAATGCTATTCCACCAGCTGACAATGATTCCAGTGATAGTAGCGATAGGCTTGGAGATGAATTCATTCGTGCAACATCTGGCATTAATGAGATAAAATAAGGTACAAATGAGGTTGAGGATAGTTTTCAAGCTGAAAGCCTGTTCAGGGAGGCAAAAAAAGGAAAATGTTGACCAATGTTGTCCAATATGGCCCACAAATATAATTCTTCTGAAATTGATGACAGCGGTAACGGAAGAAATTTTTTTTCAAAATTTTGCTGACGAAAACCCAGCTGGTATTTATCCAAAGGATCACAGACGTTTCCCTTCATCTTTCGGGGTTGTTCACAAAAATTGGACCTTCTCGCAGGGCAAAAGTGATTTTTGCAAGGCAAATGTTTTCTACCAATAGATCTGCTTTGTTGTTTTTCTGATGTAACTTTACAAGAAAGTAGGTTATGCTTGGAATTTGTCTGTTCCAAAAGTAAAATGATACAGAATACCAGTGACTCGAAAAAGGAGTTGCCAGCGTGAGCTTGGGCTGGATGGAATGAATCTCTAAATAGATTCTGATTTCCTTTCACTGTGGACGTAAGTGTTACACCCTTGGTCGATATTTGCATCTTATTATAATAACCATGAACAAAAGACAAGCATCGCTTGCTAGAAAATAGATGTATTCCAATGAGATGATGTATTCCTACCCGGGCGTTGCCACAAAGCCTTTTGCCGGGAGAGGTCTGGAATCTAGTTTTTTGCTAAAAAAGTATGCCTAAATATAAGCGGTGCGTGTCAGAACAGAAATACTACAGTACACCAAATGTTGCTTGAAATCTTGTGACAGTAAACCGAGTATGACACTGCAAACAGGGCTACTTGGGTCTATGTTTTATTGAATAGCTTTGCATAGTTGGGTAAAAATTTGATCTAATTGTAACCAGTAGTGTGATTTTAAGCGGGGTCGACTGTATTCTGTTTTTAATATCTATTTTATTTTTCTGTGGATGATATAGGGTGCATTGTATAAATTCCTGTAGGTTTTCAAGCTTGCGTTGCCAGAAAAAAAGTATGTCATCGATAAATCTTTTCCAAAATATGCACTACGCCTAACCGGGACACTGCGGTGCCTTAAGGGATCTTAATAAAATTTACCATTACACTCTTAGTTATAGAACCAGTAAATTGAAGTTCAGGCTGGTTGTTCTTAATTATTTCGAAATTTTGAGGCTTAATTGTTCCTAATTTGTTCTTAAATTATTAGCAGTGAAATTGCTAGCAATTGCCAACAAAGTGAGTCCTTCAAAACATCCTTTATTTTCCGACAAGTTTGAAAGATCGCCGAATAAGAACCCTAGATAGCAAGAAACTTCGACAAATAAGGACCCGTTGTGGATAGTGATTTTACATCTTGGTGTAACGAAATCAGCGCGTTGCTAGTGGGCATATCGAAAGTGTGATGTAAAAAATGAGCGCATGCTCTTTGACTTCAGAATGGAGGGTTGCCTGACTCTATTAAAAAAATTTCTCTTGCTTGTCTCCTCAAGGTTAGGCAAACACATCGGTGAACCTGTGGAGACAATAAGCTAGTGCCTGGTGTGTACGACTTACTTTGAGAATCATGTTAGTGTTACGGGAACCGAAGGCCAGCTCCGCACATTTTCAGCTTTTGCTAGGGCAAACATTTCTGCAGGATGAATGTAGAGCCACCTCCCAACAGAAAGTATGAAGTGACGCTCCTGCCTACTTTATTGTAGCTGGCACCGCCACTGATGCTACCTGACTTTGCCTCAGAAAACAGTTCCTTATGCTCGCGGGTAATGTGTTCTAATATTGGGTCATGTAAAATCCCCTGGTAGGTGCACTTTAATTGCAATACCACATACATGCTTGTCCATGGAATCATAAAAATACCCTTTTCACGAATCAGCTTGAAATTTAGTCCTCATCACTAACATTTCACCGTCGTTCAATATGCTCGTTGATTTTATGGACACCCATGATATGCATTTTCCCCATAATAGTGCACCCGCCCGGTGTAAAATATTCTGAGTTTGCTATTTGGACACCTATGTATATCTCGCGGTGACTTATTTCACCTCACAATTTCAGAGTGCAGATGTAAGCAACGCTAACGATAATCTTAACCTTAAAGCTAATGCAAAGACGTCGAGGTGAAAGTTAGGGTTGCTGTGTTGAAACTCTCTGTTATCGCGGTGCAAAATTTTAGACTGTAGGGCATGGTTTGCCTCGTAATGGGCAACACATACTTTCTTTGAAGGCATTGATTTTCCATTTTAAGCCATCAACAAAGCATTTAACAATTTTTGTTTTGAAAGAATGCACTGTTGTTAGTCAAATACTGCTGAAAGAACATTGAAAGTCCAAGAGATAACATCAACAGAGAAACTGGAGACGAATTGTTAAAGACATAATGGTGGAAAACCGCTGACCATGTTTTTAGTAGTGTATTTAAAGCACAGTCGTGCAGTATTTCATGATGCCAATTTTGACGATGGTTTACACTGCTGTTATCGATAATGCACAATTGTTGTTCAGTTTGATGGATTTAAAAGACAAGCATGACAGGTACAAGCAGATTTAGAAGCATCATAAAATAGCATAAAATTTTGATAATCCGTGTGTGTAACCTTCACTTCTAATGGTAGAAAGTCGCAAACCATAACTATTGACGATATAGGCCTGACGATTCGGGCGATTCGCTCTGACGATTCCCACGCAACTACCCTCCAGTTTTCCTTCAATAACTTTTGACTTACTAAATCTGTAGGACTGATTTGATTTTTAAATATCACAAATACCATAGTTTTACTGTTTTTTCGTATTTTCATAGTTAAATAAAAATTCCAGTTTCAAGTTAATATGAAAGTCTCCGAAACTTTGACAAAAATGTGCAATTTGTGAAAACAGCCCTCCGGTTTTCCTTGAATAACTTTTCGCAGAAAAATGGTACAAATACCATTCAAAGTTGAATCGATTGAAAATGGTCTGCTACACTGTTTGTTAATAGTTTGTGAGAGGTTGAGAGTGTTTCAAGAACATTTTCAGCCCCCCCCCCAATGTTGGTAAAAACGAAATTTTCCCAAAACCGCTCTTCAGTTTTCCTTTAATAACTTTTTTAAATCTCGGGTTTTTGGCCCAAGCAGCCGTTAATTCTCTTTCTCGATACCTGCTACACTGTTTTTTGATAGTCTGCAGTCGGTTTTTGCACTTTGTTGTGTTTTTATTTTACGTCGAAGGTAGAGGAATTTTGCAAAAGTGCAACACCCCCTCAAACAAATACGAAGCCGCCACCCCTGGGCCGGATTTTGAAGAATCGAAGCAAATTTCCAGATGAATGAAAAACAATAGAAAATTAAAGACGAAGCAGGGGTGGCACTTAGCACGACTTTGGAATCAAATGATAATCTTCGTTATGATTTGAGGAGGTCGTGCACTTTCGAAAAATTCCCCCACTTTCCATGGAAAATAAAAACACAACTAAGTGCAAAGACCAACTGCAGACTATGAAAAAACAGTGTAGCAGGTATCGAAAAAACGAATAATCGTCTGTTTGGGCAAAAAACCCAAGATTTAAGGAAAAAAGTTATTAAAGGAAAACTGAGGTGCGGTTTTGGTAATTCGAGAATTTCCCAACATTCGGGGGCTAAAAATGTTAAACCTCTTGCAAACTATAAGAAAACTGTGTAACAAGCTATGTTCTATCGATTAAACATTAAGTTGTATTTTTACAATTTTTCTGCGAAAAGTTATTAAAGGAAAACCGGAGGGCTGTTTTGCTCGAATCGTCAGAGGAGGGTTACGAATTGTCAGAACGCATTCTGTGTCATGGTCCTCCCCTCAATCAATAAATCGACTCTTTTGAGCCGAGTAGCGAGACTTTTGAGCAGAGTAATGAGATTTTCGCTCTTTTCAAGCCCCTGTTTTTGAATCGCTAAGCGTCCATTTTGGACAACCAAGGCAACAAACTCTAGGTAATGGCATCATTTACAAAACTGGATAGGTTAAAAATACAGAAAAAAATCTGAAAAGTTTTGACGGCAGTTGATGTGCCGAGTGGTTTTGAACATGGTGACAGGAAAAGTATCTCATTTTTCTAGACCTGGCAAGTCAAATGAAACGTATAATTTTTTTGAACCGTATGTCTGTGAACTTTGCAGAAAAGCTGCACACAACTTGAATGTTTTGAAAAGACACAGACAGTTTACTGCTTTTAAAGAAAGGAAAATTCTTATCCAAAGCTTTGTGCACTCATTTTAATTATTGTCCTCTTATATGGTTCTTCTTGTCAGCTAAATCATTGCAAACATTGAAATGACTCAAGAACGCGTCCTTAAATTCTTATACAATGATTAGCTCGCAGTTACTTAGTTGTGACGTCAGAAAGGTACAATGCATGTTTCCCGTATGAGAGTTCTTTGCATTGAAAAGACTATGAAAAATGTAAATCCATCGTTCATACCTGACGTTTTCAAAAATAATAACTAGATCCTCTACTTACTCATCAAGAAATCCAAATGATTTACAACATTTCAAATTCTAACCAAGTAACCTTTGGTTCTTACAGTCTACAGTCATGATAAAAAACGTATGCATTGCATTGCTTGCCAGTTTTTCTCTGAAGTCTAGCTTTTTAGATTTTCCTTCAAGTATAATACTTTATGAGGAATCATTCTTTTATTTAGATTTATCTATTTATTCGTTGAGCCATTCAGTCATCTATCAATTTTAATTGGTTTGTTTTGTACATATGAAACTTTATATAGTAAACTGATGTAAGCAATCAGTATGAAATGGGTAAACACACGCACAAGAGTCTCACCCTCCTTTTCTTTACAAAGCTCAGTTGGTAGAGTAATAAACGATCAGAGTCCCTAGTCGCAGGCTCGAGTCCTGTTCTGTCGCCTCATTCGCTATTGTCACTACGCTATCACTGATCAATGGCAAACATTTGTCTGATTTAAACTTTCGAATGTTCGGTAAGTCAGGTTGTTAGATGGTTTTGCGAAATCCCGTGTCTATTCTTTGAAAAGATAAATCTTAAATAAGATGGATTTCCAATGGCATGTTCCTTTATAAACAGAAACGGTGCCTGCTTCTTGAGACTTTTCAATCGTTCATTTCCTTTGCTAAGGAAGCGATGGTATTTCCTGTGGCTTGTGCATTGCTGTCATGCAGTCCTTTACATGTACTAGCATTATTTATATATTGATAACATCTGAAAACACAGAAATTGTCAGTCGTTAGGAATTTTACGTTAGAAATTGTTGTGATTACTCACTTACATCTTCTCCCATCGCTGCTTTATGCACTCTTTCTTCCATATAACAAGGCCAACTCGATATCTTCTTTATAACAAATCCACCATCTTACTTAACAGAGGAAAAAAATCGACAAGAATATACAGTATCAACCTACGGAGGAGTGAATCTCATTGGAAATGGTGGAAATGTCACGTTCCATGCGAGTAGGTTTTTTGTCGAACGTTCTCTTTAACTGCATTCCTTATGGCCTTCAATAGGGGCTTTTTGCTGAGACATTACTTGAGTGTTAATAATGAGGTGAGGTTTTGGATGCTAGGCGAACACCTATTTACAGCATAAATGTCAACAACGAACATTGAAACTGTCTGGCCTAACTGTCCTGATTGCCATTTTATAAGATCCTACTGAAGCCAAAGAAGCGGCCTGAAAGTTAAAATGTTTACGGAGTTTTCGTCCCTCATTTTAAGGCATTCCTACGCCTGTTAGAAGTGACTTAGCCCGTCCGTCAGTCGGAAATTGACCAATTTACAAGCATTTGATTGAAATCAAGCATTGCAACCTGCTTAAATAGAATAAATCATTTTCATGCAATCAACTTTATAATTTCTGTTTACAGGTCATCCATACATTAATTAATTAAATATTATGCTCAAAGTATTAAAAAGCAACAAATTGGCAGTAATGCAGTAATGGTAGAAATGCGAAAGTTTTTAAACAAATCGGTAACACACCATCTTGCTATGAAAGCATTTGCATTTGTAAATATATTGTAAGTTATGTAAGATAGGCTTTAGTTTTTTAAGTTCATGGATATATTAATAGTCAACCTCTATCAGAATAATGCTTTTTGGTAAGGGAATTTTTTTTTGTTATTTGTAGATGCTGCTCCAGTATCTCTGGGATCAACAGTAAATGGTGAGTTTGATTGTTGTCTCCCATTTATTGTCGTAGTTTGCTCCCTAGGCAAAGCACCTGTTAAGCAGGACATGGTGAGCACAGAAACTCCAAAAATAGAAATTTTCAGAAATTTCTCATTTTGCTGTTTTATGATGCCATATCTTCTAGTTCGCCACTGGCTACTTAATTTTAGAAAGGAATACGTAGTGATGTAAAGCAATTATATTCAAGTGCTTGGCCTAAATTTAAAAACAATGCACACCTTATTCACAAGCGTTTAACACTAATGAATTTTTATTACAGATGTGGCCCAGCGACTGCGAAACAAGTACCAAACATGTTTAAGCACTTGGACAATACCTCGACTAAACAAACAAAAGGAAATTATATACGTTGAGAAGAACCGCAACGAGTATATGGTTGAACTGAGAATAGTTGACGATGCTTTTAGAGGTAATAATCATTTCAATGAATTATCAAAGTTCATTGACCGAGTGCAAGGCGCTCAAGGAACTATACACCTCGAAGGTCTAAACGAGGTCAACTCACACATCACAATTGTTCAAGGGATTGCAGGCATTGGCAAGACGAGTCTTGTTGAGCACTTTGTGTTAAAATGGGCGAATGGAAATATGGAAAGCTCAGACAATTCACCCCAATTCGATCTAGTGTTTTATATAAAGTGTCGAACGCTGAACAGGTACCTCGAAATTAGCACAGCAGTCGACAAGATATTTATGGATCAATTTGGAATAAGCAGCGAAGAATTTCTCTATCTCCGAAGCAGTGCAGTTGCTTCTAAGACTTTGATCGTTCTTGATGGCTTGGACGAGCTGGTAAACATCGAAAAGGTGTTCGATCATTCCCCAATGAATTCACTGCATGTAGCTATTAACGATATGATGTCGAAAGATTCCAGGATTTTCAATGGGCGCCATTATATTTTGGTAACTACGCGCCCACACAAGACCCCGCTATTGAGGAACAATGAAGACTTGACAGGACAGCTAAGGTTCATCGAGGTACTAGGATTTGATGCCGGTACCATACAGGAGTATGTAACAAAGTTTGTCGAGAATGACGCAACACTAAGTAAGCGAATAACTTGTGCAATAAGCCAAAGCAAACAGATGATGCTGATGGCAAGAGTACCTCAGCTCTTGTGTAGCGTGTGCTGTGTGTTAGCAAGAGAACCTAGCGCAACAGAAATGGATTCAAAGACTGAAATATTCGTTTGGGTGCTTATTTCTTTTGTTAGACACCATTCCATGAAATGTAATATCCCGCCATTCAGAATTTTGCAAGACGATACTGTGAAGAGGTTTCTCAGTATTATCTCAGAGATCGCATACAATTTGTTGTGCAGTGGTAGCATCGAGTTTCAGTCATACCCAATTGATATTGAAAAGTGCGACAAAGGTCTCAAAGGTTTGCTCGAGTCCTTTCTCGTTCAGATTGAAACATCTTTCGGGTGTTCATTCCAGTTCAGGCATTTATCAATCCATGAGTTTCTTGCAGCCGCTTATTGTTTCACGCACGGGGTGAGCATAAAGGCCTTACTAAATCGCCATCTCTATGAGGTTGTTTCCTTCATTAGTGGTTTCGCAAGGGCATATCAATATCGCCAGGAAACTCAATTGACCAACAATATTGTAGCTCTCTTTTGCAACTGCATGGTTGATGGAAGAGAAGACCTTTCCAGACTACCCACAGTGAACCAGATAGCCAAAGTGGTATTATCAAATTGTTTGCATAAATTATCGGAAAGAGAGTTTTTGTCCATTTTCCATGAACTTGTCTTGAGCCAAGACCCTGTCCCACAAGCTCTAGATTTCAGCACTGAGACATGTTTCACACTGATCCACATGACAGAATGGGATGCCCTACTTTTTGAGCAGTGCATTGGAACTTTTTTGAGATCACGTGGAACACAGTCAATAAGTGGCATACGACTCACTTTATTCAAGTCAGAACTCTCAAGCAATAACGAAAGATCTTTGTCACTACCAAATCTAGTGCCGCTCTTCAACGAAGTCATGTTTTATGACTGTAAAATTGACGATGATTTTGTCAAAGAAATGAAATTTGCTGGAAATGAAAACACAAACTTGAAGAATATGGGCTTTATTCACTGTAGCCTGACGGAACAACAAATTTTAGGACTCTGTCATTTGATTGCATTGGTGGAGAGACTAGAGATCAGAAAAAACCAGTTCAGCCTGGTTGGAGTACGTTGTCTTGTTGATTATCTTGTTGATTACGAAAATATAAATCATCTTGCCACCAAATTGCGCATTCTCGTTATGAAAAGCTGCGCATTTGACAAAGCAATGATGTCACAAGTATGTCGACTTCTCCCAATTATAGAAAAACTTGACATTTCAACAAATGCCTTAAATGAAGAATTGATTTTTACTCTTTTTAAGAATTGGGAATTGTCAAACAACAATCTCAGGGACATGAGAGGAAACTTTATAAAGTTGAAAGATCTGGTGTTGCGAGAATGCTCTCTGGACGAGGCCTGTGTCGCTGCACTTTGCCGTATCCTTCCTAGGCTACGCAGCATCGATTTATCAGTAAACAAACTGAGCTTCAGGCAAATTGAGCTTATTGTTGATTGTTTTCCTTGTAATAACACGAATGGTTGCGAGTTTAATTTGAAGAGCCTGAAACTAAGGAGCTGCTTTTTGACTGCAAAGAGCCTCTTGAAGCTTAGTGACGTCATTAGTCAAATTGATTGGCTTGACATTTCGTATTACGTTGGTCATCAGGAGAACGCCTTGACTAGCAATGTGCTTAAACGCATTATAGAATGCTTGTCACAGTCAGAGCAATCTCACCTTCAGACACTTGTCATCAATTCGTCAAAGTTTAACGATGAAGAATTTGAGCAATTGAAACGACTAACGAATGAATGCAATGTTTTGGTGAATGATGATAACGATGACAGTGACGCCGAGGGTTATGATGATGATGACGACGACGATTAAAAAGTAATCGCAGTACTGGTCGAAATGACCGCAAAAATAAGAATATCTGATATGGTGCCGGCCGGGTTCATTTTGTTTAAAACATGTTGCAAAAGGTGTTATGCTTGTTATGGTTGTTTTATACAACATCATAGGAACTTGAAAATGTCGCTTGGAATTCGAGCACGAAAATAATCTGCTTGTTCTATAAATAAACTTCCGTGATTCTAATGAGTAGATCTCAAAATCTATGAAACTAGGATGGGTTTCAAGGAATTTATAAATTTTTCTAAAGCAACCTTAGCCCCCCTTCCCATTTTTAGAAAATAACAATATTTTGCTCTTTTCAGGAAAAGTATTTTATAATAAAACAGCCACTTTTTTCATAAAAAAGTAGTTCAAACATAACGAAATTTCATATTAAAGCAATTGCATTTTGAATTTTAAAATAATTAGTGTAGCGTTTTCTTACGTTTTTTATATCTTCTTTAAACGTAGCTTCGAAAATACAGTTGCTCTAAATCCATTTTCAATGCTGATCTCATGCTTTTGGTTTCAATGAAAATGTTTTAGAACGATTTAATATAAATCTCTCTTTACGGTAGTAACATCTCGTTCTGGATCGGTCAACAATACTTGAATGATCCAAGATGTAAAGTGTCACTGAATTTGTGTTGCTCTGTTTTTTTACGCACTTTCTCTAACAGCCAAATGCTTTATTATTGATTGAGTATTGAACGCGTCCAAAATCAAATTCCAGTTCAGGTAAGTGACAGCTGGTCGAATGACTATACGTTTGAATGTCAGTAGTATCTCTGACAATAATGACATATAAAGAGAAAACCATGAATTATTCTTTCGATCACATGACTTATGTTGATAACACAAAAAGTGATTTTAAACGATTGCTAAGATTAGAAAAGATTGGCAGAAAAAGCAGACTGAATTCTGGACAAATTGGCAGTTGAGTTGATTGAAAATATAAGAAGAACAACAAGAAAACAAAGCTGTCGGAAAGCGAAATGCAGCAAAACCTGAACTCAAGCAAGCAGAACTAGAGGCATGCACTGAATCTATAGAAGAATATAAAAAAGGTTATATTAAAAAAGAAGGCATTGTTGAGGCTGGCACTCGTATAGATTGGGCACGTAAAAATGGGAGAGACAAGATAGACAAAGATTCATATTTTGAAAACGTTGGCAGCAAAGAAAGAAAAAGGTTGGAATTCAAAATATTGTCAAATTACAAATTACATAGGTCAAATTACATATGCAGGATGATCACATGTCACCAACATGTATAAGCACGGAGGAGAACTGATCGCTTTTAAAAATTTTGGAACAGTAAGTAAAGAATATAGGAAAGTAAAATATAAATTAAAACATCGAGTGTTGATTTGGGGCCTGCTCATGATATGAATACGATTGGATATGAAGACGACTTGCTCTGTTGCTGTTGCAGCAGTTTACTGAACTGTAAATAACTGCTATATACTCAATAGAAATTTTGTCTGTTCTAGCGGCTTTGTTCCTTTCCAATCTTTACAGGGCCTTCATCAGGACCGGCAAAACCGGGGGTCGGGGTGAGCATGGCCTCTCCATTCCTTTACAGAACAAAGAAAAAATTTGAAAAAAAGTAGAAAGAACTGTAATCTATCATTTTGTAAGTTTTTCTTAGCTTAAGTTTCGTTACTATGTCTTTACCATTCAAATATCTAGAAGATTAGAACATGGGAGTTTGATCCAGAAGAAACCGAATCATTGTTCAAGTTGTGCGTTATATGTTGCACAAGCAGCATTTTTTTAAAAAGTGGTCCCTAAAAACATTGTACACCTTAAAATTGCGTGTTTGGCTTAGAATATAAACCAAGAAGTCTGCTCAAGAATAACTTGGTGCTGGCATTTCCTTTTTTATATTGCTATAGAAAGGAAAGAGAAGGAAGATTCAGAGTATTTCTGGGGAATAAGGGATAAAAGATCAGATCTCCTGGTAGCAATGTGTACGGAAATAACTGTTAAAAATGGATTGGTTAGCAATACAAAGCTGAGGAAAAAGAAGTTGCAGAGATTTGTAAAGTTACAGTTGTCGATGAGATGGTTAGTATTTTACTGTAAGGATTTAGGTTTTGTGGAGAAGGCATAGAAAAGATTTAGAAGCGCCAAACTAGGTAAGAGAGCAATACACCAAGAAATCATGGCATTAGACCTATCAGAGATAATGCTGTCAATCCACCAAATAAAAGTGCGTTGCAAACCAAACAAATGGTTTTTAGGATGACGAAATTTCCTGCCAGACAAAATAAAAAACCTTAGAGGTGTCAGGGCCCACGCCGCGAATTTGAAAGTGGGAAGTGGGCCAAGGCTAATGAAAGTGGGGGACCTTTGATTGTAGCTTTGAAATTACATGCTTCACAAAAGAGTAGGGGGCCATGGCCACCACGCCCTCCCCCCGATGGCGTGGGCCCTGAGTGTAGAAGATCACTCTGCAATTACGAAAGAAGTCGATAACAGAACACCATATGTGAGCAGCATGAGCTGGAAAAGCCCAGGTAGACCTTGCTGACCAAACCCTTCACTAATTGGTTACTGAACAAGAGATTAAAGCTCAGACCAGGTGTGCTGGAACTCTTATTACACCCCTAGATCTGTCATTTAGTGAATACAGACAGTTTCTCTAGATCAAAAACGTAAAAATATATCGAAAGTTAGAGATAACTACTTACACTAAGTGCTTATACTTATCTATTAGAATTTAGAGAAAGAATCACAGAAGATGATTGGTATCTTCTTACTAATGCAGTGCAATTTCACGGATACCGTACACATTACACAGACACAGAGTTCACAGGAAATATGTGACTTTGCTAAAGATCATATTGACCAACAGATGCCAGAGTGCAAAGCGCTAGCAGTCCTTATTTTGGTAACCTGATCAAGAAGCAGAAAAATGACATCAATCTGTAATAATTTTGTCGATTTATTTTACATTTACTAGGGAACATAACCTGACCAAGAAGCATCCTTTGTTGATCAATTTACATCAGCTTTGCCAATTTCACGTTGTTCACATATTTTTCTTTTCTTGTCATCCATTTCTCGACAATGTCCTAACTGTGATTTCCTAAGCACATGCGTTGATACATGGGTTTGTTACCTAAATTTGCACATTGCTGGCAGTATACAAAGCAGGAGAAGTGAAAAGTTAAATCCTTCCCTAATTTTGATATTTCAGGAGCACTGCCATGATGGGTGCGAATTAAAGTCGGTTTGGCATTGTTATCATTAGTATCTTAATAATATTGCTTGTTATTCATTTCATTTTTAGCGAAGTTGTAGAGATTAGCGTGTTAGAGGTCTGGGAACGAGTACATGGCCTAAAAATAGCATTTGGGGGCATTTTGACGATGGGTGTGAATCTTAATCACTTTACCGTGTTATTATTAGCATTTGTACTAATTATCATATCATTAATTTCATTTTCAACGAAGTTATAGAGGTTATCGATTTAGGAGTCTGGGAACAATTAAGCATTCTAAAAATAGCATTTAGGGGTATTTCTCAGACTGGGACCCGACCCCATCTTATTCAGCATATCAAACTGTGTAGTTGTTCAGATCTTCATGCTTTTATCACAATTTGCGCAATATCGTCGTTTCAGAGGTCTTGGCTACTACACTATTTTGAGAACAAGAGAAACGAAGAATCAGCAAATTTGTTTTGTGAATGTATCGCCAAGAAAGATTCAGAGTCTGATTTCATCGATGATCCTGTCCTAACAAGAAACCATAATTATGAAGCTGCGACCGAATATTTCATGTCAGAAGTATATTTAAATACGGGCAAAGCAAACTGTACTTTGGAGTTCTAGACGTAATGATAAATTTTATCAAAAATCGCTTTGATCCAGTTTGAAACTAATTTCAAGTCTAAAGTAATTTTCATTATAAGCACTTTTTTCCCCAAAAAATTTTCTTGCCGCCAGGCATGGTGGCGGTCTTTACCAGAACCGTTCACAATCTTAACATTTCGTTTCACCGTGAAAGTGGAGGGGCCAAAATGTTGAGATGTTCATCGGCCTCGATTTTTATATTTTTTCGGGCCATCTTTTTCGTCTTCTGTTGCTGATTCTCCCTGTCTATTGTCCCCGAAGAGCTCACCACAGTACAGTCGAGTCCAGCTATCTCGAACTCGCACCGGAAATAAAAATTTGTTCGACATAGCGGGACTTCGAGATATCCGGACTCGGGATAAGAAGAATAACTGGGTTTTCTTTTTCAAAGTTGAAAAAAAGAGTATTCGAGATGAGAGATGAGAGTATTCGAGATAATGAATTTTATTTCTATACCAAGCCCTATAGGAAAACAAGGATAAATGGGAATCTGTTCGAGATAGAGAGTTTCTCGATAAACTGGGTTCGAGATAGAGGGATTCAACTGTAGTATCCTGACGACCATAGAAGCGTTTTAATTGGTTAGAATTAGTCACGTGGACGGTATTTTCATCAGTACCGCCATCCACGGCTCTTTTTCTATCTGGTAACAATGGCATACACAACTGGAGGAACCAAAAAACGAATTTGCTATTACTATGATGGTGAGCGTGATTTTCATTCTAATAATTTGGAATGCCTTTTATCACTTTTTGTAAATCTAGCTACTTCTCATCTGTTTGGTGTTTCCTCATCAAGATGCTTTATTACTCGCTGGCCAGTCTACACAGATTTGGCCTAAGTTGGCCTCTTTGTCAATCAGAGAAAGATTCCAACACTTAAATTTTTAACATTTTGTTTTGAATAATCAAAGATTTATCACATTCTGCTTTTAGAAGTATCTCATCGACGTAAACCAAACATTTATTTGTATAATTTATTTCGAAGACCGATGGCGTCGAGTTTTTTCGTCCGTTCCCTCCTCCATTATTGTTCTCCTCCTGTTGAGGTATTCTATGGAAGACACATTTTGAATACAAATTGGACTTTTTAAAATTCCTCTTGACCCTTTTCATCTTTCTAATGAATAAGGATGCGTAAGACCCAATCAAATTTGTGGGAATTTTACTGGGAAGCTTTTACTAGTAACATCTTCAAGTTTTTAGGCCAGAAAATTTATAAAATTAAACTCACATGTGCATAGAAATATGACAGGGTTTCGTCAGTTATAGTCATTCGTCAGTAATTCACTTACACCCAGGTTTCACCAATCCTTGTATGCACCAATTTTGAAACTTCTTTAAATATGTTTGTCTTGTAGTTCCTTTTACACTCATGTGCCAGGTAACACTCCAGTTACTTAGACATCAAACAGAGAGATGTATATGACTCTTCAGTTTCCTACAGTATTTTCAACCATTTTTTACAAAACTACACCAAATATCGCATTCATTTTGTACTATAAGACTTTTGCAAATTAGTAGAATTGTCACCAGACTAGCTAATATTAACTACCTGTAAAGTGATGTTACTGTCGTAAGTAGAGGAATTTTAAATAATTATGTTTTCATACACATTTAAAATACGCATTTACACATTTAGAATAAATTCTTCTGCCACTGCTCCAAGACCTATTATGCTGAGTTCCAAACATGGCAGGATTTAAACAGAGTCTTGTCTCAGTCAAAAAGAATCATGGACACAAAGTTCCAAACAATAAACAAAGTCAACTTAATAATTAAAGTTAAGCAGCTGTTTTCTACTCAAACCATGATCAGAAGGAAAAAGTCCCTTAAGATCCGCAGATTCTTTATGTATGATTCACAATAAGTCATGGAAAGTAAAGCTGTCCTACCCTGCAACCTTGCTTATTAACAATGGCTCAGGTTTAAAAAAGTATACCTACAGTGAAAAGGACTTTGTTGAAGCTACAGCATACTTTGACTCTCTAGATGAATAACCAAAGTTTCAATTGTCACCATTTTGTCGTATAACATTTGCTTTTGCAACACTTTGAGTTGTACGTTTATATCTGACTTAAAATCCTTAGCTCAGTACTAAGGTATCAAGTTGTTTTTTGTTTTTTAGTTCTTTGTTTCTTTTTAGAATTTTATTTCTTTGAACCAGATGGCCTCTATCAAAGACAAAACCAACCATATTATAGACAGACTACATTCCAGCACTATTTCCTAGATTCCAGCACTATTTGAACCATCTGTCTTAAGCGGGTTCATATAAACCAAAAATACTTGTGCTGTAGTCAATGCAATCACAAGATGCATATTAAATGTAATATATCTCAACTCAACATTATGAAGCTCTCAAGGACGAAACCCTCTTTGTCAACTGGACTTGCCTTTTCTGGACAGTAAAAAGACGGAAATACTGGCATTGACTTTCAGTTGATAGGCCTGTCAGAAACCAAGATATCTGTAGATTCACCTCTCCCATCAAGTAATGACATTCCTGGATACAAATTTCATCACACACCTTCTCTTACTTCTGCTGGTGGTGTAGGTGTTTATGTGAAATCAGACCTTACAACAAATAAGGGGCTTGACCTTTGTGCTAAAACTCAGAACTTTGAGACTGTATGGATTGAAATAGAGAATGCTAAGTCAAAAAATATAATATATTGCTGTGCATACCGCCATCCAAGCACTGATATCGCTCTTTTCAATGAGCACATGCAAGAGGTTATGCTAAATATTGCAAATGAAAATACGTTAACATTTATAATGGGTGATTTCAACATAAACCTACTCAACTATGAGAATCATACCCTCATTGGTGACTTTGCAAATAACATGTTCTCTAATCAATTTTAGCCACTTATTCTACAACCAACAAGAGTAACTGACTCAACAGCAACATTAATAGACAACATATTTTCAAATGGTTATAATAATAGGGTCACAAGTGGAAATATTCTGATCCAAATTTCAGACCACTTCCCCCAGTTCTCCATTCTTCAAAATTCTGCACCTACTTACAATAACACCTCATATTTTATTTACGATTAGAAAAACTTTGACAATACAAAATTCCTAAACGACTACCAAAATATGAATTTTGACTATCTGGAAATTGATAATCTCATTGTTGACAATAATTTCGGAAATTTTTTAGATAATTTAAATCAACTTGTTGATAGTAACTGCCCTAAGAAGAAACTAAACAAAAAATCTTTAAAACTAAGACACAAACTCTGGATTAACACAATAATTCAGCACATGATGAGAATAAGAGACAGGCTTTTTCACCAATTCAAACAAAGTGATTTCACCAATTCTAAGGACTACTCCTACTATAAACAGTTTCGAAATTGAGTTTTAAATGAGATAAAATCTAGTAAAACAAGCTATTATCAAACTTAATTTGAAGAGAATAAAGCAAACATTAAGCTGCTTTGGAAAGGAATCAAAAGTATCATCAAAACTAAGGCAACAAATAGTGATGCAGTCTCAGTTTCTAGTCTTACTGATGAAAGTTGTGTCCAAATATCAAATCCTTTAAACATAGCTAAAAATTTAAATAAATACTTTCTTACAGTTACTGACAAAATAACAAAGAAAATCCCAAGAAATCCTAATTCTCCCCTTCAGTATTTGGACACTCCAAATTACAGTACCTTCTTTATTTTCCCAACAGTCCCTAGTGAGGTTTCTAAAATAATACAAGTCATTTAAAAATGGCAAGGCTCTTGGACCAAACAGTATACCAAACAGTGATCTCCATATTGCCTTACAGCTCTCTCTGATCATTAATCAATCATTCCAGAATGGCATCTTTCCAGAAAAATTAAAAATGGCTATGGTTATTCCAATTCACAAAAAGGTGATATAACAAATAAGGCAAATTATAGATCTCTCTATTATCAGTTTTAAGCAAAATCTTTGGAAAACTAATGCATCAGCGACTTTATAATTTTTTTATTATATTTACGATAAAACTAAAAGCTAAAAATAGTAGACAAGCTTATCAGCCTGTAAACCTTTTTTATACCAGTTGTGTATAAATCCTTTTAATACTGTGCAAGAATGTGGCATGTAACTCCAATTTAGAGCTTCATCCTTATTTTCCTGTTTGAGAGATTTGTTAATTATGGAATATATGTATATGTATATATGTATATTTATTTAATCATAAAGCAAATGCTTGAGGAAATTTCTTTCCACAAGGGTGCTGCCCAATTGTATTGAACCACTCTTGGTCGGAATCGAACTCCAGTTTGCTGCTTCAAAAACCCCCTCTCATTCCTCATATATATAAGCTTTCTCTTTCTTGTGCATTCCTGGATGGTTCACCATCTGTCTTCACGCTTCTTTTTTGTTCTTTTATTTATACATTGTATCTATGCCTCTTTTCACACCTCCATCTGGGCCTAGAAACTTTACTTGTGTCGTTTAAATAGCTTTTATTATCCCTGCTTGTAAAATGTGTTATCTTTTGTTCTTTTGTTTTGTATTCCTTATTTTATGCTCCAAATGTAAGTGAATGTTGTTCTGAGGAAGCATATCACAAAATGTTAATCAAGTTGTTTTTACTGATCATCTATTTAAAGTTTTAAGAAACATTGTAGTCTAGAGCATATGAATTCATCTGTACATGTATGTATTAAAATATTCAGGGCCGTTGGGGGCATCGGCACACGCTGCTTCACCTAACCCATACAAAGTCCTAACCTTTGATATAGCTTAATAGACTCAAGTAAAAGCAGCTTAAAATTCAGGACAGGGAATGGACAAAAAAAGTTCACTTTTCCTCGCCATAGAACCGATGTACCAGTCCACCTTGGATATCTAAGATATGAGAGGGGAAGAAAAAACCTGACTGAATTAAGAGCCTAGTCTTTTCTAAACAAAAAATGACAAGAACTTTGAAATGAATCCACTACGTTTGATATCAAATGGGTAGGGAGGGACAGGGGAAGAGAACACCATGAAAATAGCATACAAAGTAAGCATGATAATCTCCGACCCAAAGCAATTAAATGCACCCATCTGAGTCAAGAAACCCAAATAAAAATATTTTTGTGAATTTTTCATACCCCTTTTTGTAAGTCAAATGCTGTTTTTGGAGCCTAATATTTCTGGTCTTGAAACTTTGCCTAAAATACTGGTATCTATAGCAATAGCAAATTGGCCATAAAAGTATTTTCGTGCTTTTTAGCATAATTTATACAGGTGATCTAAAAAAAACAGGAAATATTTCTGAAAAAGCTTCTTTATGTCACAACCATCAGAACATAGGGCTTTGTCATTTTCAAGGGTCAATGTGCTGCTTACTACCTAGATTGTCTGCTTGTAAAGAAAGGTAGAAAAGTGGTCAAAACACCACATTCTTATTTAAATGACCAACGTAATGGTGTGGCAATCAAGAAACTAAAGAATGAATCCTATTGTATTATGACATGTGGCTTTAAGAGAGATCTTCTGTTGGGAAAGACTCTTTTAAATAACATTTTTGGAATTAGAAGATATTACTTTTGTAAAATTGTTATTACGTTGTAGCACTCTCTGCCACTTCTGAGAAATAGCATGTCCAGCTAGTAATGCATCATCAAAGCCCTGGTTTCCTGAACAATGAGAAAATCTCGATTGACTGCTCCACTCTTGTTTAATTGCACCAATTTTTCTTATTTGCAGTTCATTTGAATTTTCATCTCAAAGTAAAGTTGTTACCAATATTAATGTTCTCTCTGACAGGTTTTACTTGTTAAATAAAATATTTTAGATTTGCTTCGTTCAATAAAATATTTTAGATTTGGACATTGTTTGCATCTATAGGTGATGTTGGAAACTATTACTATGGACAAGGGCATCCAATGAAGCCACATCGTATTCGAATGACACATAATTTGTTACTTAACTATGGATTATACAGGAAAATGGAAATATATGTGAGTAATGTTTTATTCATTTAAATTGTTAATGGTAGTGACTGTTAAAATTGTTAACAGTGCTGTTTTGCAATGTCATTTATTTAGCACAGCTTGAATTATTTTGATTAAGCTGACTGCTTATGGCAGTTGATTCCCTGAATGCGCTGAAATTATTCAAGAATCCTTGTACCCTTTTTGTTAAGGCTCTTTCTCGGCTTTTGTGTCGATAGCCGTATGTTGACGGCTTTTGTGTCGCTTTGAGAGCTGCTGTTCAAATCATTGTATATTTTATGTTGATTTCAAACTGCATTTTTTTTAATTAAAAGGTAACATTTTTAAGGTACCATTTGTATTAGAAAAACCTGCTACCATTCAAAGATGTGTTACTTTTCCTTGGACACTGGTTAAAACTTATGTTTGTACCTCTAGTTCTATGAGAAAAATCTTTATTTTCATGTTATAAGAGTCCTAGCCATGATATGATGCTGACCCAAGCAGGCCAATGATCTCCTTATAGTAGGATAATAATAATAATAATAGAAATATTTATACAGGGTAAACCTTTTCAGTGCCAAAGGCACTGTTATCAATAAGGAGATATTTAAAAATGCACACATGAATTTGTAAATTGCAACAGGCATAGTGCTCTTAAGCCAGTTACTGTAAATGCTAAAAAGCCCATGTTTTGAGCAAGCACTGTCATAAATTATTAAAGAGTTTGTTGTTTTCATGGGGTTTTAATATCTTCACTTGTGAATCTGATCCTTGTTTCTGAGGTGTTTGTTGAGGAGAACAGTTATGATAATATTAAAGAAAAGAAAATTTTCAATTATCCCAATTATAGAACCAATCATTTAAATTTTAATAAAGTGTAGATGACAGTGGCAGCTGGCATAAAAATAAGATTGTACTAGTAAAGCAAACAAAAATTTTACCAGAGTGAAACAGCTAGAGGAAGGGTGGTGCAGGGGTGAAGTCCCTGGAAAACTTTTTTTTTATAGCTTATATGGCCAAATTGTCTTTTAATGGTGGGTCAGGAGTTTTCATACAATACCTCGGTTTGTTTGACGTCATGTGATATTGCCAGCTGCAGAGGTTAAATGATCTCGGAGCATTTTATCACCAGAAAGAG